TGTGAAATATCTGGTATTGTTATAATCAACTCTCACTTGACATCGGTCAAGCTGGAGGCTGTGGGAAACGACGTACGCAGCCATCCTCGGCGACATAAGCCAGGATGAAGTGATGTCTTCCGAAGGAGACGAGTTTTGGTGCACGACGACTTTGTATTCGTTTCGGACTGTTCAAAACGTATGGACTCCAACCTTTGGCACGACGCTTTTTGGAAAAGTACACGCTACCAGTACATTCCATGAGAACACCGTTACTATTTTTTATATTTACTACTACTACGTAGTACTAGTTATTACTGTTAAACATAAATACATTGACTCCGGAGTAATAACGAAATATACCAGCAAAAGTTAATAAGACATAGCTACTATAATAGAACATAACCAGATACGGTGCGCGGCGATTGCAGATATTTAGCAAGCCTGAAGTGATCTCAAACGTGCCAAAAAGCGTTCACACTTTCGTCAAACCCGACCAATTCGCCAATCTAAAAATAGGTTCGGCAAAATTCACCGACTTGTTGGCGGTCAACCGACAACTACTGGTCAAGTACCATTGCATATACACTCCACAAATGAACATGACATCGGAATACATTGCCAACGCCGTGGCTGCCGAAAGCGCAATGGACGTCCCGGAAGCTCTAATTCAATATGCACAAGCCATCGCCGCCATCAACTCCAACTTGGCTACGTGTAGGTCATACAGTGTGGTGTTGATCTCATTTACGTATACAACTTTGACTAGGCAAAGACCCTGTACAGCGACGACAGCTGCAGGAAGCTGCAACCACGTGCCAGCAACACCTCCAAGCCTTGGCACGTTCCCAAGGCACCCGTCGTGACGTGGCGCAGCCACAACACCGCAACAGTGACCTGAAAGATATGGACGTGCTCCGCACCGCCATGGGCGCGTCGACCACTGCCAGAAGTAAGCTAAAATACGACGCATGCGCATGTTGACATGGGAAACTTTTTTTCGGATTAGACGGACTGTCGCAAGCGGGGGGCGCCAAAGTTATGATGGGAAGTGCGGCTGCTGCTGCGGGAGTTGGCCTTGTCATTGCTGGACCCGTGGGTAGCGTCCTCGGGGCCGCAGGGGGGGCTGTCATGGCAGCCCAGGGCGGCACATCCGGTGCAGTCCTAGAGTTTCCTTGCTGAAGCTGACAACATGAAAACGTCATTTTTGTTGTTGCAGGGGAGTTGGCGCGAGCGACGGGCCAGCTGGTCGCCGCGTCTTACGACAAGGCCAAGGCAGCGAATGAAAGGTACCATATGACCGACAAGGTCAAGGCTGGCGTCGTGAAAGCCACGGCGACGGCCAAACACTTGGACGATACGTATCACATCCAAGCCAAAGCGACCAGTTTGGCTCGCGGGGGGCTCGGACGGCTGTCGTCGTTCAACGACAAACACCACGTCACAGACCGAGTGGCCAAGAGTACGTTGAGTGGTCTGCAAGGGCTGACAAAAGCACTGGGATCGCCTTCGAAATCGTCACACGAGACCCACTAGCAAGGGTAGTATGCGAAACAACCAAACTCCAAGTCAGTTGCTTATACTTTCCATTCAACAACTTCAGGAATGAGTGAGGAGGAGAAAGGGGGGGGCGCCCACTGCCTGCTTGCTGGCTTACAACGTGAATCTGTGCACGGCTAGTATTTGACAGTAGAGCTGGGACTGTATCTATATAACCAACAACACCACGATACAACCACATGCCATATATACTAGTACTAAGTACTAGTACGTATGTTACGCGTATGCATATATTTAAAATAAATATATACTTGAAGTATTAGTTCTATCTAAAACAGTATTAACAAGTTGAGAAGAATTATAACATCTACAGTACTACTATGGTGGAATATCATGCTTCTATGTCGTGTATATCTAGCACGACTAGACTACGGCGGTGAATTTTGGTGGTGAGTCAGCAGCACACTCTTGAGCACTTGGATAGACTGGACCATTTCGTGGTACAGCGTCATGTTGGCGTGGGCTCTCGGCTTGAGTAGCTCGAGATTGCGATCGAGCAGCTTGTGCACAACCATGGGGGGCAGCGGGACCTGGTCATCTGTCGTCATCTAACCATGCCCACCACACACATCCAGTGATTGATGAATCCACATATTACATGTACAAACCAGCAGCAGAATGCATATACATGTATATTCTGTCGATTTGATCACTAGATTACTCGTATGTAGTTTGACATACCCCGACAAATAATACCGTATTTGTCGTTGATGTGCACCATGAAAAAATATAATATACATGAATATAATTAATTATATACCATAATAGTCATCTGACATTAATTCGTATACCAATGGAAGAATATTTAAATCAATCGTTCAAGATTGAATATATATCTACTATATACATGGTGCAAAGGTACGAGTCAAACTCGTACCGGGTAGATAGATATACAGTACAGTAAAGACTCACTCCACTGCCAATATACATACATATAAAAATATCATACCACTCCAAGCACCATTGGTATCTACTTTCTTAACATATATATATATATATGAATACCTTGGCCACGGCACATTGCAATGTCAGCACCATGTCCATGCAACTCATGATGAGCTCGGACGTGGCAAGCTGGGGCATCTGGAGTGTATCCTTGCACCGTTCGTCCATTGTGAGCCGTCGGATCGTACCCGCCACGAGGTTCCTCGACCGCTCGTGCGCAGCATGCATGTACTGGTGCGCCCACTCGAGCTGCTGGACGTTCAGAGCGGCGTCGGCGGCGTCATCCTGAAGACGCTGGTCCTCCACGGCCTACCTCGCACCATCACATTTTGGTCGGTAACTGGCTCTCGAACGCGATACAGTATAGGGAGGTTGTACATGGTGAGGGGAAGGCAATTGCATGCGATACAGTGCCGACGCGAGCATGTGATTGGTCGTGTCTAGGTTCACGAGCACCCATGCATATTGAGACTGGAACTGCTGCACGACGTCGTTTTCGTCGGCTACGTCGGTGTTTGGAAGGGCAATCTATATTTATACATACTATATCCTTAGTGTTTGTGTGTTTCGGCCTCCAACTGTATACTTCGAAGCACAGTATATATGTTATCAAGTCGATTTTCGAAATATTCGAGTGGGTGCTCTATCGAATATGAGCAGCAGACTAACCAAATCGGTAGACAATCGATGAGCGACCAATCAAAACCCACATCACAAATCAAGTGGCCAATCAAATTATCCACTTACCAACTTCGAATTAGTGTGTGAATGAAATTAGTGTGACACTGACGATGGTTCCATACAAAAGTCAGTACAAAGAATCGATCGATAGATTTTTGGCAAAGAATCAGCATAAAACTCCAAATTTTGGGTAAAAGGACAATATATATATATATATATACACGGACGCACCGACATGGTGGCAGCTTGGTCGTTCATCCGGCTTAGGTGCATCACAAGTTGCTCCTTTCGTTGCAGCAACGCTGTCACAGCCCGCATGGCCATCCCTGTCGCGTCGGCCAAGTCTCCACCGCCATGTTGATCATACTCCAGCGGAAACGAAGGCGCGACGTCGGCTTTGGGCGTTGCTTGCTGCCAGTATAACAGCGACATGTCGGTGATCCCGTGGCTGTCGTCGTGTCGAAGCAACTACCCAATCATCATCCAGAATCAACTCTATATCTCGAACTTGGCCAATCATAGACTACTATTGTCAAGTCGATTTTCGAAATTGGAAAGTTTGGGTGGTCAATCGAATGTGCGCAGCAAAACTAACCAAGTCGAAGGCACACAATCGACCAATCAAAACCCACGAATCAAGTGGCCAATCAAATTATCCACTGTTCGACCACATATTCAACATCAAAATAGTGTGTGACTGAAATTAGTGTGATTTTACATAAACAATCGATAGATATTTGGCAACACAAAAATTTGGGGAAAAGAAAGACAATACCATCACGGATGTATCCGGACATCGCAGGATTTCCTTGTGGTCGGCGGCAAATGGCAGTAGCACGTCGTACGCGTTGTCGTGGACATGCACGGCGCAGACGACGCCGACGCACAGGTGGCGGGATTTTGGATGGAGGACTACATCATCATGCAAGTATATAAGGAACAGGCGGGCGGGGAGGAGGGAAGGAATGAATGATGCTATTAATATCTATTGTCGATTTGATAGTACAAATTTGGGGAAGGGGTGCAATCGACCAAACCGATCTGATTGGTTGAATTTCATTGAGAATATTTTGATTGGCTAATAATGTTGAGCTTATCTGAGGTAGCCAATCAAATCGATTTAAATTCCAACGAGAAACCACGCCACAACATGACATTTCACTCGAAAGCACAATATGGTCAATATATCACTTGATTCAAACAAACTATCAGGAGTGAGTGGGGTGCGCTGGATCGAATGAATATATGAGCAGCAGCACACCAAATATATATCGGCAGACAATCGATCGACCAATCAAAACCCAGATCAAGAATCAAGTAGCCAATCAAATCCATTCCTGGTTTGACCACCACGTCAACATCGACTTCTTCGTGTGTGAATTCAATTCGGATGATCGTTACATACAAAAGTCAGTACAAACAATCGATACAAAAGTCAGCACAAACAATCGATCGAAAAAAATATATTTTGGGTAAAAGGACAATATATATATATATATATATATATATATGATGACGCTGGGGGATATACCTCGGACGTGGGCCCCGACCTTGAGGGGGCTGTATATTTTGTATGGGAACCGAATATCGACGGGAAATTCCTAAAAAAAGTCCCACGTAAGAAGCTAGACTTACTTTTGGACGGAATCATGTGATGCAAGGGCGACGTACGTTCATGCGTTGCGCGTACCGCACGACGTTGCGATACCGAAGCAGCTTTTGCCGCTCTTCCTTGAGGAACGTGGCGCTGAAGCGTCGTGGATGACCCATGGATCCACGGATCGCAGACCATTCCGTACGTTTGGCGCGCTGGAAGTGACCCATGTTCATTTGCACGAGGCAGTCATGGAACTCGCTGTGGGCAAAGAATTCGTCGTCGATGGCGGCAGAGAACGAGCGGACGTATTGGACGTTGTTCCGTCGAGACACCTTTCTACGCGACGAAGATGCTGCCACCACCTGCTGCTGTTGTTGTTTCTCGGCAGCCTCGGATTCCCACGCCGCTTGCGCATCGTAGTGGTCGGTGAGAATGGCATACAAGCCCTCGTCCGTGGCCATGGGGAGGGACAAGAATCTGAAAATATTACATCGTTATGCAAGGTTGCACGAAAGACGTACGATTCATACCCTTTGTGCATTTGAATGAGTGCGCGCACCATATCGGGCGTCCGTTGAGGCAGCTCCGTCGACACTGCCGCGACAACACGATCAAGGGAAGCCGTTGTGGCATCATGTTGTCGCCACAGTGAAAAGAACTCTGTCACTTCCGACTCCGTCCATCTCGGCCCCAAACGTTCGCTCCACCCCATGCTCTCGGTCGCAACTTGCCAACTCTCCTGCCGTAGCGCGCGGCACTACTCGTACTTTTTGAAATATCGTGATGAAAAAACCTGTACCAGTTGATCGTTCATTCCTCATGAACTTTCAAGAGTTTATATTAATGCAAGTTAAAGCCAATCAAAGAGGGCTATTCAACGCTTTTTAGCCAATCAAAGAAGGCTATAGATCTCTTTTTAGCCAATCACATTGGATCTACATTTTGATTGCTATGGTTGCAAGAAAGCTAGAAACGGAACAGGCCAAATCTTTTGCCCTACGTTTTTCTATTTAACCTATATGTTTTGGGGTAAACCCTACTTGGGAAAAGCGTTAAACAGTAATCTGCCAGGTTAAATCATGTGGTTCCAATTCACAATTGACGAAAAAATGAGAGCTATTATGTTAGTTTACAGTTACTACAACAGAAATGTATGGGCTCGGACGTAATTTGGCCATCCCTTACGTCTTGACGTTTGTATGGGCCAGTTATCCGTACTCTTTATCCGTACGTAGATTCCTATCATTATCCAAGGTTTGTCGAGATGCATCGTTTTGTGGTTAATTTGCCAGGAAAAAATAATACTGCACATATTGTCGATTTGATACAAATTTGGGGAGGGTGCAATCGAATCGCGCCGACGGAACCGATCCACAATCGATCTGATTGGTTGAATTTCATTGAGAAGGTTTTGATTGGCTAATAATTTTGAGCTCATCTGAAGTAGCCAATCAAATCGATTTAAATTCCAACGAGAAACCACACCACAACACGAAATTTCACTCGAAAGCACAATAGTATAACACTCTAAAAGTGCTCAAAATATCGTCGTTTGTAGCGTTTGTAGGCTTGTTGCACCATAGTATGGGAAGGCAGGCAGGAGTCCTCCTGCGTAACACGATCAACGTCGAGCAGTCCATACATTAATAAACGTCAAAAGCCAACAGAAAAGCGTTGAAACGAAGAGATGTGTTGGGTCGCCACCACGCAGCGCAGCGTTGCCGCTTTCCCAACCTCTCCACTCCTTCTCCTTCCATGCCAACCTCTTCTACGTCTACCAATCTACTTGCCAAGGGTCGACACCTACGCACCGTAGCGCTCGTCCAATCGCGCTTTCCCTTGAGCTCTCGTCAACATGTGACCGTTTACTTCTTGACAAAGGCCTTGCTCAAGTAGTCCGAGTGCTCTTGGTAAGGAGTAGATTGGAACTTGGTCGCGGTCCAGAGGTCCGGGGTCAAGTACGCGTACGTCGCGCGCAACGCGTAAAACGTAGCCTTGACGAAGTTACCCAACGTACGGGTGTGGCCGCGCGCCGACGTGTAGCAATCTTCGATACCAGCCATGCCCAACAGCTTCTTGGGGGCAGGGGCAGCGCACAAACCGGTACCACGGGGAGCCGGGATGAGGCGCACGCGCACAGAGCCGCACTTGCCAGTCACCTTGTTGCACACGGTGTGGGGAAGACCAGACATCTTACCCCAGTATCCGCGGCGGACGGGGACCAAGTTCATCTTGGCGTTGATGATGGCACCGCGGATGGCGGTGGCCACTTCCTTGGCGCACTTGACGCCGAGGCCGACGTGGCCGGCGTGGTCGCCCACAGCGACGAACGCCTTGAAGCGGGTGCGTTGACCGGCGGTGGTTTGCTTTTGCACGGGCATGATCTTCATCACTTCGTCCTTCAAGCGGTCCTTGAGGAAGTAGTCGACGATCTCGGATTCCTTGACCGCCAACGAGTAGAGGAAGATTTGTTCCAACGACTCGATCTTGCCGTCCTTGACGAGGCGGCCGAGCTTGGTCACAGGGGTCCAGCCTTCCTTGTCGCCGTCGCGACCGCGGCCACGACCGCGACCACGGCCACGGCCACGGTCACCACCACGGCCACGGCCGCGGCCAAATCCACCACGTTCACCTCGAGGAGCAGCGTCAGCCATGTTAATTACTTGAACTTTGTTGGACGATTCAATAAGTGACTGCCGCTGTCCAATGTCGCGGTGGGAACCACCAGTGCCAATCCACCAATCGACGCGATCAATCAGGATATTTCGTTGATTGGTGGAATATTAGCGAATCATACCGCAATAATTGAAGAAGCGGGGATTGGTGGGTTTTCAGCGAATCGTTACCCGACGACAGGGTCTTTTCCAAATTAACTGAAAAAAATGCCTGTTAGTGAAGACAATGTTACCATGCTTCCAACTTAACGGTATCGCTACTGTCGTGGTGTGTCATCTTCACGTTGAAATCCAGGTACATTTAATGTACCTGGATATGTACAGTACAGCTTTGATCTCCGCTACGACGAGCAATTCCATGACATACAGTGTCATACCTCGTCGCATTCATGTAGCAAATGCATCGATGTACTACGACGCCATATTGCCATATCAATACAAGCCAAGTAGAAAGCAGTAGCTTTCAAATAGCCCAAAGCTCCACAGTTGCCCAAGAAACCACCCAAGCGGGGCTGATGTCGCGAGATTTCTGGGCATAGGGGCATGACGATGAACAGTACCCCAGCTGCAATCAGGGAATTTCTCGGCGATATCTGATCCCACATGAAACGGCGGCGTTCACAGTCTATTCTTGTGACCTTTTCCAGTGCAACAAGCTTGAAATGGCACCGGAACCGTTGATGACGACCGACCTTTCGTGCCAGCACAATGAAGCGGACGCCATCATGCTCCTGGAGGAATCGCTGCCGTTGGATCCTTTGGACCAGCCCTACTACGACGCAGTGGCCAACGCGTGCGGCAGCGACGCGAGTCCTGTGTTTTGCATGCGACTGGCGCGGGCTTATCGCAGTGAAAAGAAAGCGGCGCGCATGGGCAAGACCGTCGCGGAAGCCAAAAAAGTCATGGTATGTCCTCGTTCTTGGAGTGGTTGGTTGTTGTCAGCGTACGTCATGCAACGAACGATATGCTATAGGAGTGGCGACTCGAGCACAGCGCAGACACGATCTTGGGCGTCGAGCTGGATAAGACGCATCTCTTTCGACAGAGTTGGCCCACGGTGTTGTGTGGTGAAGACTACTACGGGCACGTCGTGAGCGTCGAGCGGGCTGTGGACATCGACCTCGCGACCTTTCAGTCCAAGTTTACTGTGAACGAGGTGCTCGTGCATCGCCTGCAGCACTTGGAGCGCATTCAAGCCCAGTACGACCAAACATGCATGTCCCATGTTGTTGTTCTTATATCGGGGGCCACGGTAGCCTCGCCGCGGCGTCGCAACGAACGGGCCGACGCATTTACAAGCACATTTGCGTATTCGACCTCGGCGGCGTCGGGCTCAAGCACCTCACGCCCACGGTCATCGGGTACATCCAGCCGCTGTTCGCGCTCGGCCAGCAGTACTACCCCGAGTCGCTCTTTCGCATGTACCTTGTGAACGCGCCGTTTGTGTTTTGGGGCGCGTGGAAGGTGCTGTCGGCGCTGATCGACCCCGACACCCGCGACAAGATCCAAATCTTCACGTCGCCCGCCAAGTTTTGCACCGCCGCCCAAGCGCAGGGCATCCCTCTGACGTCCATTCCGACCTCTCTTGGGGGACTGCACGCTGCACCAACGTAATAGTAACAGCTTGCACGGACTATTGGTATTTTATTCTATTGATATCTTTAGAAGATATTTATATACTCCACAATACGAATAATTTAATAATACATTCCCCATATAGTAGTAGTAACTTGGAGCGTAACATGTCGAGCTTCAATGGCTCTATTGTAGTACCTTGACTTTACGATCCTACACTACTACTATACTACTCCGTACAGCGTAACTACAACTTGCATGTAATATTGTAAAACTATTATATGAATAGATATTCCACAGAATAATATATTAGTATATTCCACAGACCACCGACGGCACCGACGGTAGTAGCATCAACGCGCGGTTCACACATGTTACGGCGGCAACCATCGCAATGCAACACTCAACTCCATGTACTCGGCACCTTTGCCAACCAACCACAGGTACATGTACTTATTACTCATGCCAGGTATGTATTGTCCTTTTACCCAAAATATGGACTTTTGTGCTGATTCGCCAAATCTATCGATCGACTTTTGCATGTAAAGGGCGATTGCAATCACACTAAATGAATTCACACACTATTTAAACGTTGCAGAGGGTTTCCTGCAATCTGATTGGATAAACCCTTCTGTCGATTCTTCTGTACAGTTGTTAAACACAACAATATCGAGCGTATTACTACAGTATATTGGCAACATCAACCTCAACGCTAGGAACTGTGCACGTTGTCCACTACTTTTTGGCCGCGTTCAAGACAACTTGGTCGAGGATCTGCTTGAATGCAGATGCAGCGCTGGAGGTGGGGTACGCCTCGAGGAAGCTCACGCCTTCTTCGCATGCTTGCGTGAGCTTTTGATCCAGCGGCAACCGGCCCAGAAACGGCACATTGAATGCATGGGCCATGGCTTCGCCGCCGCCGGCCGCGGGCGGAAACACTTGCAAATGGACGGCCAGCGACAGAAGCTCGGGCGCTTTGGCTCGGAGGACGTCGAGCACGTGCTGGGTCTGGTCTACAGATGTGACAGGGTCGACAAAGTTGCACCGTGCCAAGTGTTGCTGCAACCCCGCCATGTTTTCAACCACCCTGAACAACGTAGATATTATATTTGAGAGGTTTGTGTAGAATGCATGTATGTATGGGTTGTGGGAGGGTACCGTACCCGAGGATCGGCACGTTGGTCTTCTTGCAAAAGTTGAGTTCCTTGCGCACGTCCGCCATCGCGACTTCCTGCGGCGTCGTTACCACGACCGCGCCATCGATTTGCGCATCCTTCAGATACTACAACGAACGATGTATGTTTCAGAATGAATGGAGCCTTCATGGTCCAAGGACGTTTGAATATGGGGAACCAATCGATGATGGACGACGTGACATGGCGAGGCACATAAGAACAATGGTATCTACCTGGACGATGCTAATGTGTTCGTCGGATGTACCAGGCGGCGTGTCGATGATCAAGTAGTCCAGGTCTCCCCAATGCACGTCCGTGAGGAACTGCTTGATGAGCCCGCTCTTCTTGGGGCCGCGCCAAATGATCGCGTCGTCCGCGTTCGGGAGCATGAACCCAATCGACATCACGCCCAGGTTGTCGTCGACGTACACAGGGGACCACCCTTCGTTGCTCTGGTGAACTTCTTGGCCTTGCAGACCCAACATGCGCGGGACGCTTGGACCCGTGATGTCGACGTCCAACAATCCGACTTGGAACCCCTTTTGCGCCAGACCAAACGCCAACTGACAGCTGATCGTGGACTTGCCAACCCCGCCTTTCCCACTAAGCACCAGAATCTTGTGCTTGACACGACTCAAGTGGTCTTTGACCGTCGCCACGGTCGGGTCGGGCAACTTGGTCGCGCCGCTCGCACATAGCGACTGGTTTGGGCAACCTGCGCACCCGGAGGCCTTTCCTGCTTCGTCGCTCTGCGTGCCAACGCAACCTGCATCATGCACGCGTCATGAGAGGAGGAAGATGGACCTGGCGACCGTACGTACATACCTTGATTCGCATCGGTGGGTTTGTCCATCGTGGCGAATTCGAAATGGTTGCAAGGAAGGGCAAGATTCCGGATACGAACTATGATATCCGGTCCGTCCCATCTGGAACGTTCTTTGTAGATGCACAACATGTATTACCGAGAAGCGTTAGTTGATGGGGAGGATAAGGAAGGGAAGGCCAAGAGAGAGCTACTAGCATGCGTCGCCCCCGACGTAGCCCAAGTGTCCGAAACCTGGGATAGGGGTACATGGCTTATATGACTCGTCGTTCGTTCATTTAGTAACATTCAGCTTTATTTGACACACAACTCTACCCAAACACAGCTTTCATTTTGCCGAGGGCGACCAGCGTGATCCACAAGATGCCCACGCCAATAGACAACACGGCAGAGAACACGTTGATGCGGAACGCAATGATCGTCGACCGTTGGCTATGTACAATCGTCGCCCGTGAGCAATCGAGTTAAAGACAGCAAGTCATGACGTACCCCAGACGAGACGTGAGTTCTCCATACAGCGCCGCAAACAGGCCCATGATAATGATGGACGTGAGGCAAAACGTTCCGAGGTACACCATCGAGCGCAGCCAGTTGTGGTACCGGACGGCGGGCATGACGCCGAGGATACCGCCCGGACCGGCGATGCCGTGAATGATGCCGACGATGAGGGCCGTGGCCTACATGTTGCAAGAACAGACGTCAACAATTCACAATCCAAAGAACGAAATTGGCGGTTTCACTTTCCAATTCGACCAATTTTGGAGAGAAATGTACCTTTTGAGTCGTGGGGTTGTCCATGTTGACGCGGGGCACACACCGCCGCCATCGCCGACGATAGTCGTGCGCGTTGGACCGGCCCTTGGCGAGCGGGACGTTGTCGTCGTCACCGCTGCCATCGTCACCACTTGCACTGTCGTCGTCGTCGCGTTGGATGTGCGATGACGTTGTTGAGGACGCGATTTCCAAGGTGTCCGCGTCGCTGACTTCACTGTTGTCGTTGAAGGAGGAAACACTTGCGTCGTCCACCTGGACCGCGGGGATGAGTTTCGTCTGTGACGATTTGACGGAGGGCGAAGGAGACTGTTCCGAGGACGGATCGGTTGGCGGCGAGGACGCGGATGGGAGGTCGGAAGCGTCACTGCTCCTACCGGTGCTGCTGAGACGGCATGGAACTTCTTCGTACGGACGCTGCTTGCATGTACAAGTGCTGGGCGTTCCTCCATGCGCATGCCCCTGATGATCCGGGTCGTGGAATTTCTTGTGCGCGCTGTAGATACCGTACACGCCAAGCGCGATCATAAACACCCCCACGACGACTTCCGTGACGATATCGAGCTTCTCCAGGTTGAGGCTGTCGTCAAGAAGAATGAAGATCAAGGCCATGATGATGAGCCCGATGCTGTGGCCGCAGCCCCAGCGCACACCGAGGGCAAACGAACGCCACGACGACCCGGCACTCAGCGTCGCCAACGCGCTCAAGTGGTCAGGGCCTGATAGGACGTGGAACACGCCAAAACCAAGCGCCGTCGCCACTAGCTTCCCCATCGAGCTCGATTGATCGACGGCATGAATGGGTTGCATGATTGTCGGACACAGACGTTGTTGCCACTTGCACTGGCAAGTCGGATGATCATTTTCAACGGAATATCCGAATATCTGGAGAAAAAGCCCAAATTTCAATAAAAAATGGATGTTTTGGGTAGGATACTTACATTCCGTCGACCAGCCTTTACTATATTGTCGAATTAAATTCTGGTCGTGAAGCTTCGTATTTGAGTGCAATTTTATTCTTTGTTCAAATTAGTGAATATAGCCAATGAGAACACGCGAACCAATGCAAGCAAAAATGGTGTGATCGACGTGGCACGTGACGAACCACGTGCTTCACGCCATGTGCCGCATGAACAAGAGTTCTAGACAAGCACGGTCTTCCCAGCTGCATCGAGAACACCCTTCTTGACGATGATGTTGCCATAGAGACGGGTTTCGCCGGTGGACACGATGGCATACACGGTCTTGGACCGTTCGTAAAACGCAAATCGCTCAAGCCGATCAACCGCGGCTGGCTTGGATGAGCCGTCGACTGTTTGGTACGCGTGATTGAGAATCATTTGGAATTCGTGGACGATAGGAGCATCGTCAGATGAGTGAACTTGCTTCATCACAGCTGCCTGGAACACATCAAACGAGTCCAATGGGAACAGGTGAAGCACAGCCTCGAGCAGGTCCGTCGCTGTCGATCCAGGGAGGTAAACGACCGCACTCACCCCTTGGGACGATGCAGGGAAGTTGGCATCTGCAATGAGAAGCTCATCGCCGTGCCCCATCGACGCCAGGATGGACAGTAGTTGCGGCGTCAATACATTTGGCACTCCTTTCAGCGGCATGACGGAAGCGAATTTGCGGCCTTCGTTAACTGCGAAATAAAACTCAAAAACGTTGTAATATTTCGAAAATTACGAAGTTCATATTCCCATAAATATCTTAATTTATCTAATAATCTGAGTTCTCTGCGATACCAGATGTTCTCTGGACCTCGTGACTGTTGTACATATTCCTTAGTATTTCTTTAATCACCACATTGATTGGAGAAAAGTTCCACTTGATCGAACTGTACCTACTGTACAGTACACTACTGTCGAGACACAACGGGACACTCTGTTAAGCTTATGAAAAATATCGTGCGCAAGATCTACTTAACGTTAGTATATACATGCTGTCGCTATAGACAGCCGCAGCTCCACCTAACTACTACTACGCCTAAACAACTATCCTCTCTGGATTATGCGCCAAACCAGTGGTTCGAGCCAAACTGCCAGCCCACGGTGGCGCCCGACGAAATGCCAAAGAAGAGCGCGAGCACCATGAGCGCGCCGGCCGACTCGCGGTCCTCTTGCGGCACCAGGCGCGGCCCCAGCGCAAATGTGATCGTGGACAAGATGCCATTGGTCAACCCGATCAACACGTTCAAAAAGAGCTGCCAGAACTGACCGAACGCGCGGGCGTCTTGGAACACAAACAGCGAGTTGGTCGGGCTGGCAAAGGTCACGGGGTCGGCGCCGGGCAGCCCGATGAGGAGCAGCACGAGGAACGCCCAGCGCAGCCACGTCAGGCCAAAGCACCACTTGAGGTCGATGCGCGTGAGCAGCAGCGGCGCCAGCAGTCGGCCGAAGAAGTCGCCGTAGTTGTACGTGGCAATGATGCCGGGGGCGCAATACCAGTTGGCCCACGAAGCGCCGGCGGCGTACTGGAACCCGGACGAGCACCCGATGCCCGGGAACACGGTGAGGGACACGAGGAAGATGATGAACTGCGCCACGAACGGCAGCATGATGACCGTGGTGATGCGCCACAGACGCGCAAGGTGGTTGCCGAGGGTCTCCGAGTTGGCGGCGCGGCGACGGGTCTCGGCGTCGTTGCGCTCGAGAAGGTACTTGACGCCATCGACCTTGATCAGGCGCGTGAACAGGTACATGGCCACGACGCACACGACGATGAGGATGCTAAAGAAGATGTAGAACGACACAGAGTTGATCGACGCCTTGTCTTCCGGGGCGGGGCTCGTGCCGCCCACGAGCAGCCGGATGATCGTGCTCAGCGTGATGTTGATCACGCCGGACGCGCCGTTGCCGATCTGGATGGCGGTCGTGAACGACGAGTCGGGGAACAAGGCCGACAGCGCGTAGAACGCAGACTCGGTGAGCGTGTTGATGGCGCCGATCATGCCGAGCGAGAGCAGCACGAGCGTGGCGCCCGTGCTGGGCGACGTGTTGAACGCTTCTTGGGCCAGGATGATGAGCGCGCACCCGATGAAGAGCACGTACCCGACCATCACGCGAGTCCACATGTTGATCTTCTTGTCCCAGCCAAAGAACAGTTGGAGCGCGTGGCCGACAAACATGGGCCACGTCGACACGGGCGTCGTCAGGTATGCAAAGTTGAAGTCGGCCGCGCTGAACTTGGCCGCGTAGTAGTCTTGCGCCGACAACCCCGAGTAGTACGCCCACAGCACCGACCCGTTCAGGAACAGCAGCGACCACCAGATGAACCGCCGGTGGTCGTGGATGTCGTCCAAGACATGCTGCGGGATCTCGCCGTCCAGGTCCTTGAGCATTGTGGCGTCCTTGTCGGTGGTGGGCGTCGCCAGCGGTACATGTTTGATCTCATCCATGGTCGTCCCTCCTGATGTGATGGAATTCGCAAAATGCAAAGTGGACAACTTCGGTTTTTGGTTGGCTCATAGTTGTTGACTTGGCTTTCTGTATTGGGCAACTTCAACTTGCAACGGTTGATGTTGATACATCGCCATATTATCACTTTATAAGTTGGTGGCCCCATGAGCGCAACAATTAGCTCACGGATTGCTAGCGTTTGTCTATGGCGCGTCGCTTGAATTGGTTGGCCGGGCACCGCCAAAGCGCCAAAGCGCAGGTCGGCCCGGCGGTTTATATAGGCTACGTATTCACCGTACCGGATCATTTAGGTATATCTAAGCTGTAACTTGTGTAAAAAATACGTAGGATTAAACATGATTATGAAGACCCAATTTTTCTTTATGTCAAATATGAAGAGAAATGCTGTTAAATTTTACCAACATAAAGTCGTATCGTGATGGAATTGTCGGGGCGTCAAAAATAAGTCGCTTGTACATGTGTCCACTTGCCCTGCTTACGTACGTCGACTATCAGACTATCTTGACCAACTATCTTTGTCGACACAACTCTGCTGTATACTTCGTATTTCGATATGGGCAGGTAGGCGGCCCCGCAAATAGCACACTGGCACAGTGGTGGCAGCACTTTTGGGACATGCATTGCTTTGCGCACCCTCGATCTAGGAAGAAGAGGGCGATCATTGGAGATCCGTACGATTCGCTGATTCAACATGCGTGTTTTGTCAATTTGAAAAAAGTGCAAACTGGATGTGTCGTAGTATGATCGGTCAATATGTGCGTACATACGGGGCAGTAGCGGTCCCATGCATTACGCAACTTCATGATACTTGAACTTTATTGATGATGTGCCATTTGTCGCAAAGGTTCTGAAATGAGCAATCACACGTCCCGATAATTCTTAGTTTTTGACTACAGTTGACTGCGTGATACGAGACCAATACTACTGTAGTATGAGACTAAATATATAGTCGATGGTATTTCATTCACCCAACGCCGTGGCCCCATCATGTAGATTCTACATCGAGGACCCCCGCCACCGCGACTCGACTTGAAACCGATGTGATGACTCACCCCCCATAAGGGCATCGTCGCAGTGAAGTTGGACGGATCACCAGTGGTCGGATCTTACAGGATACAGCTTGAACCTTGCCCAAATTCTCTGCTCCCTTGCTCTGATTTTGTGATTTCAAGCTTGCATCCCCCGTCTACTGGTAAGTCAAACTGTTCAATATTTTAGATAAAATAAAATAGGCGAATATAACTCTTCGAGACCTGTGGTCGTGTGTGCATTGATTGTTCGCCTCGAGTTTTTTCAAGCATTAAGACGTGACACTTTTTCGGACCCTTCGATGGGGGGTTCCTTTATTCCAAATTGCTAGTAGAATGCCAATTGTTGCAATACAACTTTTTTTGTTTTTCGGAGAATGGTCATAATTCCTGATTGCGACATCCTTTTTGAATCCTGAAGTGCCCTAACAATTGTAGACAATTTTCAGGGCAATCCACCAATTATCAACATGCAATGTATTTCGCACAATTGAGCTGTATACAGCTCTTCATATATGCTATACCTCTATAAAGTGGTGTGCCAATTGTTGACGTATTATTTAACCTTCGGTGTTGTATGGCTACGAGTATGCATATTCAGAGGTTTGTTCTGTGATTGGTGCTTTTCCAATTTAGGGATCAGTGATTGGCTTAGTTTTATACGTCATTAATTGGCACTTTACGTGTTTCTAAAAGCGGAAAATTAATGTAGTTCGTAGGACTTAAAATCATGTCGAAATTCGTATTAGTGTTGATGAAAAATAAAAGGAGTGAAAATATCCATAGGCTGAAAACAGCTCTGAGCCACTTGATTTTATCCAGTTACCACTCAAAACGGAAATCAAATTGCAGATGATTAGTCGAAAAGTTTAGAGTGATTGTTTTCCACCAATCATGGATCGTGGCACGGAACCAAAACTGTACATATACAGGTATGTACTGTATTGTCAACACCAACAAACATGAAGTTGAAGAACCCAACTCACGGTTGAAGTCGCCTGATCCTATCATCCACACACTTCTGGTTTTGTCAAACCTTCCGGATACGTCACAAATGCGAAAGGGCACGACGAAAAGTCACACGAACTGGAACCTTCAACATAATTAATTGTCAACTCGTCATAACGTTAATTTCTCCATGTCGACAAAGAACCTCCCCCTCGTCTCGCCCGACACGGCAACCCAGGCCAAGGACGCCACATTGCTCAAGGACCTGGACGGCGAGATCCCGCAGCATGTCTTGGACGACATCCACGACCACCGGCGGTTCATCTGGTGGTCGCTGCTGTTCCTGAACGGGTCGGTGCTGTGGGCGTACTACTCGGGGTTGTCGGCGCAAGACTACTACGCGGCCAAGTTCAGCGCGGCCGACTTCAACTTTGCATACCTGACGACGCCCGTGTCGACGTGGCCCATGTTTGTCGGCCACGCGCTCCAACTGTTCTTTGGCTGGGACAAGAAGATCAACATGTGGACTCGCGTGATGGTCGGGTACGTGCTCTTCATCGGGTGCGCGCTCATCATCCTGGCCCAAGAAGCGTTCAACACGTCGCCCAGCACGGGCGCCACGCTCGTGCTGCTCTCGCTCGGCATGATCGGCGCCATCAACACGCTCACCGAGTCTGCGTTCTACGCGCTGTCGGCCTTGTTCCCCGACTCGTCGTTCACGACCGCCATCCAGATCGGCAACGGCGCGTCCGGCGTGATCAACATCACGCTGAGCACGATCATCCGGCTGCTCGTGGGCGGCACGAGCCCCGCCCCGGAAGACAAGGCGCCGATCAACTCTGTGTCGTTCTACATCTTCTTTAGCATCCTCATCGTCGTGTGCGTCGTGGCCATGTACCTGTTCACGCGCCTGATCAAGGTCGATGGCGTCAAGTACCTTCTCGAGCGCAACGACGCCGAGACCCGTCGCCGCGCCGCCAACTCGGAGACCCTCGGCAACCACCTTGCGCGTCTGTGGCGCATCACCACGGTCATCATGCTGCCGTTCGTGGCGCAGTTCATCATCTTCCTCGTGTCCCTCACCGTGTTCCCGGGCATCGGGTGCTCGTCCGGGTTCCAGTACGCCGCCGGCGCTTCGTGGGCCAACTGGTATTGCGCCCCCGGCATCATTGCCACGTACAACTACGGCGACTTCTTCGGCCGACTGCTGGCGCCGCTGCTGCTCACGCGCATCGACCTCAAGTGGTGCTTTGGCCTGACGTGGCTGCGCTGGGCGTTCCTCGTGCTGCTCCTCATCGGGCTGCCCGGCGCCGACCCCGTGACCTTTGCCAGCCCGACCAACTCGCTGTTTGTGTTCCAAGACGCCCGCGCGTTCGGTCAGTTCTGGCAGCTCTTTTTGAACGTGTTGATCGGGTTGACCAATGGCATCTTGTCCACGATCACATTTGCGCTGGGGCCGCGCCTGGTGCCGCAAGAGGACCGCGAGTCGGCCGGCGCGCTCATGGTGCTCGCGCTCTTCTTTGGCATTTCGTCGGGCGCCACCGTGGGCTGGCAGTTTGGCTCGAACCACTGGTTTGGCGCATAATCCAGAGAGGATAGTTGTTTAGGCGTAGTAGTAGTTAGGTGGTGCTGCGGCTGTCTATAGCGACAGCATGTATATACTAACGTTAAGTAGATCTTGCACACGATACTTTTCATAACCGAGTATCCCGTTATGTCTACTGTTGTTCGATCAAAACACCATGAAATAAATAACGTAACGATGAGATTAATTATATAATTTAATCTAGTCTTGAATCAATTAGAAGTACTTTATTACTTAACGTTAACGTAGATTTGATATAGTTAAACCCAAACACCAAATACGTTAAATACTAATTTCACCTCCGGATATTATATACGGATAATAGTCACTTACAAAAATCAAGATACATCTCAGCGGCCACCCCTATGGCCAAATATCCAGCGCCCATGTAAAATACCGCTAGGTTAAATATCTATTTCAGGACCAATTCATCACCAATTTTGAATCTGAGACGTAGAATTTCTTCACCACATTGAGATCTATCGATTCTACGTCTGAATTTGCTGAAAGTTTGAGTAATGAATTTGAAATAGAAGTCAGAAAATTTTGTGAAAAGTTGGTAGTTTATAGATGTCGTGCACCATAAGTATTTTGGTAAACTTCGTTTTTCCGGATAATTATTACTTTTTCTGAACGGTATCCGGCAAAATGTTGAAAAAATGGTATTTTTGGCCAAAATAACTTTTCATTCCTGCAAAAGCTATTTTCTACCGGATAAAAACTTATTCGTCCGGAAGTTCGAATAGCTTTAAAAAGACTTCGACGTACTTTTAGCTGTACCCGGTGGAGATGCTCTTAGGTAGGCAACCTCAGCACTATAATAGGAGTATCTATTAATATATGTACTACAGTATTACATGCAGCTGTGACACTGTTTTGCGGATGGCGTTACCAACCACCCCACGCCCCACAAACAGTCGAAGGTATGACAGTATCGCATGGGAATAGAGTTAGTTCTATCGCGTAAACCCTACGACGACAGGAGTTTGCCCGTGTTTAAGTTGAGTGCAGGCCACCACGCTGGCGAGTACGGGAGGAGGCGGAAGCGGCCGTCGTCTGTGACGATGTTCCCGCAGTTCAGGTGCTCCAGCCGTACCATGGCCACGACGGCGTTGACCCCTAAACAAAAAGTTAGACCAACTAACACAAGGAGGTTCTAAGTCCACCTACCTGTGGCCACAGCGACGATCTTGCCAGCCGCCGCATCGTGCGCCATCAGCTTGGTGTCGACTTCCACTGGCGGCGCGACGGCGGTGAGATGTTGCGTCGCCCACGCCAGCCCCGCCGATGCGTCCAAGGAACCCGACGAGCCGAATGGAAATGGCGGCGGTGGCATATCAACTTCTGCAGCAACGGGCACGACCAGACACGGAAGGGTGCGCTTGCGGATGTTGCCCTTGTAATGTGTGCGAGAAATCAGCTCCTGACCGACGTAGCAGCCCTTGGTCATGCTCACGCCATGGAGAAGGTCCAAGTTGTATTCAAGGGGGATGCCATCTCGCCACTCCAACCTAATAGATCGTACTTGTTGAATATCTAAATATCTAAACATATATATATATTTCTTCATGGTTCAGAAACGAAGAAATATTTATACGTCGAAAAGAAAAGAATAGAGAGAGGTACCCGGAACAAGCGCCGAGGACGATGCGGCGGTCCTGCGCGGCCAAATCGCCGACATCTTCGTCCTCTGCCACGACATATTCGGACGGAATGTCCACTACACGAAAGCCAGACAGATGAGAACCAACACAGTGCATGACGAGGCTTGTACAGGAAGCATGCTCGACGGGAAGGATGGCGGTGGACCCAAAGGCGGCGCTGCGGGGGTCCACATACACGACGCCATCGCGGTGTGTTTCGTTTTGATCGGCCGTCCACGATGGAAGGAATGGCGTGGCGGTGGGATCTGCCAACGAAGGTAGGATGGCGTGCGCGCGAACGTAGTCGTGGGCTGCGGAAATGGTCACCTTTGACCGCAGTTTGTACTTTTTCAAGTGCTTGAGCATGTCTTCTTCCGCGGCTGCGTCCACTTTGAGGAAGAGTGCGTCTGTCTATTATGTCGACAACAACAGTCGCATGTCAGGACTATCGTTGGACCCTCAACCCTTGACACATGGACCTACCTCGTGGAGAACAACCTCCGCATCCGTCAACGTGCGTCCCTTGTGGCTCAGGAAGGCGCCGTAGCGCACATCCCCGCGAGTCTTCAAGCCATGGACATCGTTGGTAAAGATGCCTTGAAGAAACTTGAGCGCGTCCGGACCTTCCACGCGAAGCACGCGCGTCCGAGACAGCGCCGTCACGAGCCCGCCGCGATGCAACAAGTGCGTCATCTCTTTGCAACCTGCCACTCACAAAATATACCCGTCACAATGCATATTCATATTGAGAGTACCCCACGGGAGGACATACTTATCTTTGATTGGCTGAAATAACAGGTTAAATATCCAATCAAATGGTCGAAGATCCAACAACTGTTATTCGGCCGAGTTCGATTTTACCAATCAAATCCGCTGAACTCAAAATGCAGCCACACTATTGGCTTACCTTGTATGAAGAAACACATACAAGGTAAGCCAATAGTATGGCTGCATTTTGAGTTCAGCGGTTTTGATTGGTAAAATAGGTGGAATTCCCTCAACTCGCAATTTCATTGGTAAAAACTCCAAACTGTACACCAATGGCGGTTATCTCTTTCGGTTATGGCGCTACTACTGTGTCTACTAGCGCCTACACAAGCCAAGCCTCTTAAGTCCTCCATCTACCCAGTGTTTATCATATACCTCGAGCGACTCGACCAGATCGTTTGAGATGGCCCCATTGGTCGCCTTGGCTTGATTCAAAATGTCCGCGATGGCCTTGCGCACTTCGGCGCGGCGGGCGGCGGGGTGGTCGTACCGGTTCTCATGTAGAGCAAAGTTGGTTACGGCCAGCACCACGCCCGCTTCAGCCGTCGACGCTGGCACCACAGGGCACTGTAGCGCCATTTTCTACAAATAATATTAATATATATATATATATATCAAGTCCATATCAACACTACCACAAGGCGGACGACGTGGCCGAGGCTGCAAGGCGTCACGTCTTCTGCATTAGCTCCATGCGACGACGCAGCGTAGTCCAAGATGGGCCGCGCGGCCTCCATGTCGATGTGAATGGCGTCGCCCAGGACGATCTGCGGCCGCGTCGACGGCGTCAGCTTCACTAGCAGTACAAAGATACTGTGCACCACCTATTCGATGACACCTCTAGAACCAAATATACATATATATATATATATATATATATATATATTGACATTCACGACAACCAAAGAAGAATGAACATACAGATGTACCCAAACAAGTTCCAACAGTGAAGTCGAGGGGTATATATCGAGTGTGGGTTAACCAACCCCATGTGCGACGACGGGCAGCACGGCCAAACAACGATATTCACGATGATTAAACTTAGCAATATATATATATATAATCTAATTTGTATTAGATTATTTCAGAAATTCATATATGTCAAGAACACACTTTTAAAAATCTGCTGATTTTTTTAAAAATGCAGCCATAAACCAGATCAACAACAACCAAAAAATAAATAAAAAACATCGACGGCTAGTAGTCATCACACATGTATATATATATATATACATATATATATTGGTTGTAGTAGCTCGATACACATACATATATATATACATACATACATATATGTATATCCAACGTACCGTCCACAGCAGCCGTTCGACGTCCGGATCAGGCGTGTTGTTGGTATCCGGACTCACCCACCCACAGCACCTCACCAAGTGCGCGCGCGTGGCTTCCAAGAGCCGACTGAACGTGCCTGGCATGACGGCCTGCCACGCGCGCAAGTGTCGGGCGGACGCGTGGACCAATTGGACGGTGACGTGGCGCTCTGTGAGCAAAGCCACCGTGAGGTCGTCGGTCGAGTAGAGCGCCGCGAGGAGCACGGACGCCACGTTCGCGACGAACGCCACGTACGCCACCACGTCGTTCTGCAGCAACGCCGTTACGATTTGCAGCAACAAGCACCACGCCGTCTGCGTCGGTCCGTCCCGCTGGGCCGTGGGGCGATCCGCCGTCAAGTAGGTCGCGAGGACAGATGCCCGGTGTACGAAATCGAGTCGCGCGAGGGCCGCCAGCACCGGCGCGCGCACGTCGGCGTGGGCCGTGACGAGTCCGATGAGGCACCGCAGCGCGTCCGTCCGTCGTCGGCACTCGGTCGTCGGGTTCTTCTTGTTGATGGACGAGGACGGGAGCCCCGCCGCCGCCGTCTCGACGAGGGCGGGCACGAGCGGCCCGTGGTCCAATATGGCTACGAGTTGCAGCGTCGAGTCTGCCGAAACGTGCTGGTCGAGTACGATGACAAGGACGAGACTGGCCGTGGCAAACCGCGAGTCTTGATCTTGTTGTTTGTATGCGGAAGTTGTGATGACGTGGACGCAGTGGGAGACGACGCGGGCGACGAGGAGCGACGGGAGGGGCTGCGGCGCCAGCTGCCGAAGCAGTAAGAGGGATGCTGTCCATAGCGACAGGTTGGTCGTGTCCATGTGAAGGATCGAGTGCACGAGCGTGAGCTACAATATACAAAGTAGTGAGGATGGCCAAGTATGGATTTAAAGAGGTTTTGGTTTTTTGCCGTACGAGGTGGACGGATGTGACAGGGTCGAGCTGCTGCCGCGACGGAAGACGGAGGTGCGTGGTGGACCAGCGCGGGTCGTTGGCTTTGTGGGTCACTTCGCACACTTGGTGGTGGATCATGCACAGACAGAGCCGACTCAGGATCGGCAGCATCCCCCTCAGACCAACTGCATCGCCCTGAGATACTAGCGCCGCCATGCGCTCCGTGAGCTTCAAACTCCATGCCAACGACGTGCGGTCCCCCGAAAAGTTGGACGGACGAGACTCCGCCGCCCGCGCTGGAAGCATTGGCGAGTCGCACTATAAGTTTTCGTAAATATATATATATATATATATCACTAGATATATATGTTTTCACCAATATATATATATGGAGAGAGGAACCGTGCAGAACTAATCAAGAAAACAACATTCCATCGTCCGAGTAGATAGTAACACATCAACAACTCCCGTCCTCCGGAATTCAGGTTTCGGGGGTTATGGGTTATGGAGGTTCCTCCCGCCCCCCCTGAGAAGCTAGGCAGGGATTCGGGGTTTCGCACACACATGGAGCCCTTGTGTACCACCATCTATACCTAAAATATGAAACAAATAACCACAACAACATGCCAGCTATACGATCCAACACAAGCCATACAGTGCTAGATATGGTGGGTGGGTGTATGTACCGTCAGGCGACTGCGCGACCCCGCCGACGCCGAAGGACTAGAGACGGGGACGGTAGCTACCGACGATGAAGATGTTGTCGATGGATGCAAAAAGTAAATCTCCATGAACGTCGTCCACTGGGCGAGCGCAAACAGCGGCGGCGGCACATCCGCAGCCAGCACATACGCCGGCACGTCGGCTTCGTCCATGGCGGCGGCGGCGGGGGTAACCGACGTGTACTCGTGAAACCAGCGATCGTACAAATCGCGAAACGACGCGAGAATCTCATGCAGACTCGACGCGCCCGCCACTGTCGTCGTCGCTTGGCGTTCCACATGGTACTCGATCGCAAGGAGTTTGAAGATGGCGCCGTGAGCGTACGTGGCGGCGGCGTGCGGAAGGGAGGAGGAGGACGACGGGGGGGGGGGGAGGTGCCGAGGGGTTGGGTGATCGTGGCCCAGAACAACGGCGTCGCACGAAATAAACTCGCCAAGTGGTGGCACGCGTTGGACCGGCTCAGTCCGTCCCAGATCGCGAGCAAAAAGCCGACGGCGGCCCCCACCACGACATGCTGGCCCCCGTCGTGGGCGCCGCGCACGGCGTCGACGATCGCGGACGGGGCTTCGGGGCGTTCAAACAGCAGCGACAGCACGCTCGGCTGGGCATCCAGGCACTGCGTCCACAGCGTCCACACGGCCACTTGCAACCGAGGCGCGTCGTGCCGGACGATCGCGAGCAGTGACGTGAGGAACGCCGTCGCGTCGTCAGACGTCCGGAAGCACGCCATGAGCGACGTCGAGTCGGGCAGGTGCCGCGCCACCGCTGCGAGGACCTGCGCCGCCACGAGCCGGACCGACGAGCTCGGGCACGTCAAGTAGGCTGCACATGCCACGGGCCAGTTGAGCGACCCGCGGCCGTACGCGGCAAACGATGACGTGGCGTCGGCATGTGGCGTTTCGATGCCTGGGGGGTGGTTGGCAAGGACGAGCCGGACCGCGTGGAGAGCGGCTTCGACGAGTGCCACGTCCACCTCCGAGGTGTCGGTAAACGCGTACGGGAGGACGGGGCATGCCGCCGGCGTCGGGCGGTTAAAGGAGGCGAAATGTCCTCGTTCTTCCTTGGTCGTTGCAGAGCTAGTTTCGACGGGATGTTGCAACAAGGTCGTGGCAGCATCAAACAACAGCGACTGGCCATGGCTCAGCAACGTCAGGTCGAATAAGAAGGGCACTTTGGATTGGACGAGGGCTTGCGCAACGAGTCGGAACGCAGCGACGCGCGCGACCCGACGAGGAGGCGGGTGATGCAGCAGGAGCTGGAGGAGCAGGGGTACGAAGACGGACGGCGCCGCGGGGAGGCGGCGGAGCCAGCACTGCAGACACGCGAGCACCCCGACAGACGACGACTCGTGCGACGATACTACCACCGCGTGCAACGCGGCGGCGATGACGTCGTCGTCGAGCGAGGCGGGGTCGAGCACGGCCACCACGCCGAGCGCCGCCGCCGCCGTCGTCCCGCAAGCGAGATGGCGGGAGAGGACGTCGGCGGCTTCGCCCCGAGTGGACCACCGCCGCCAGACGGCGTCAAAGCGCGCCGGTGCCACGCGCCCATATGTGGCGAGCCAGTGCAATGCCGCCGCTGCCATCACACTGTCACAGGTGGCGTCCTTCAACCGGGTCCACACCACGTCCCACAACGTAAGTAAAGAAGTGCCTTCAATATGCCAGCACACCAACGTCGTGGGTGACCCATCCAAACAAACAAGAGGCACGACTTGGCCCGTGGTTGACACTGGAATGTCCATGTCGGGTGTGCGAATCACCTTGTCGCATGTGATGACGTCACCGGCGGCGGTGGTGTGCTGCTCCACAGACAGGTGCTGGGTGTACGTGGCAAGCGGACGCTCCAGGCCAGCCACGTGCGTCACCAAGTCGAGCGTATCCGGCGCCAAAAACGAAGCCAAGAGGCGCATCCACGCCGTGAATTGCGACGGAAACAGCAGCCCCAGCGGTTCCGCCAGTCGAAATACCTATACATAATATATTGTTCAAGTCGATTTTCGAATATATTGTTCAAGTCGATTCGAATATTGTGCTTTCGAGTGAAATTTCGTGTTGTGGTGTGGTTTCTCGTTGGAATTTAAATCGATTTGATTGGCTACTTCAGAAGAGCTCAAAATTATTAGCCAATCAAAACCTTCTCAATGAAATTCAACCAATCAGATCGATTGTGAATCAGTTTGGTCGGCGCGATTCGATTGCAATTGCTCCCCAAATTTGTATCAAATCGACAATATTGTTCAAGTCGATATTCGAATAGTGGAGAGTTTGGGTGTGGTTCATCGAATATGAGCAATTCTCGGCAGACAATATCGAAGTATCAACCAATCAAAACCCAGATCACGAATCAAATAGCCAATCAAATCATCGACCAATACAACATCGAATTCGTTTGTGACTTTATAACGAGGGTGCGAACATATTACATACAAAAGTCAGGACAAACAATCAATCGATAGATTTGGCAAAGAATTTACAATAATTAGCCACATTTTGGGGAAAAGACAATGGTAGGATGGCGGATATACCTCCTGCGCAGCGGACGCGCGGAGCGACGGATGATGGGCGACCAGCGCCGCAAAGATATCGACCACCGCCACGAGCTCGGCGGTGGACTTGGACACGTCCAGGAGACCAAACTCGTCCACGAAGCGACTGAAAAAGGCGTACCCGGCGTCCTGCAGCCCCCATACGCGGTGCCGGTCCTCGGAGAAATGGGAAAAGACGTCGGCTTTGTCGAGGCGGCGCCACGCAGGGTCGTTGATGTCGAACACGGGCGACTCCGGTTCCAAGCTGATAAAGAAGGACGAGAACAGCGCCAGACCGCCCAACGAGCGACCCTTCTCGAGCACCACGTCGCTGAGCGTGTCGTCCATTTCGAACTCGGTGTCCGCTGCTTGGCGGGTCCGAAGCCGAGACACCGTCGCGACATACAGTGCGTCGTTCGTGCGTTCTACCCGGCGGACATACAGCGCAAACGCAAAGAGGATGCTGCCGTGGGGACCAAGGTCGGTCGTCGTCCATCGAGTGGACCCGTCGATGGAGAATGGGTCCAGCATGTACTCGTACAAGGACGCGAGTGCGTCGGCGTCGTCCTCCGAGTCCGCCACCGCGTCCTTGGCCAATGCTGCCATCAAGAGCAATGTGGTGTGATGAAGTAGGCGACGGTCAGGCGTCAAGGCATGACGAGGGAATCCAAACCGTTTCTTGACGAAGAACGTCACCATCGACTGCAAGGTTCGAGGCGCAATCCGACGCTCGCTCTTGAGCGCGACGAAGAGAGTGTCCAGGGTGTCTAGCTCCGCCAGGAGCTTGGCTTCCTCGTCGCTGACTTCGTTGAACTCTGACTCATACGCTTGGAACAACGGAAGAAACTCGTTGGCGCCGTTCAACGGTTCCCCGGGCGGGCTGCCGATCCTGAACGCCATTGATGCTTGGAAAATGGGAGTGGTGCCATTGGATTGGCTAAAAAGACCACTCAAGATCACATACGATTGGTGGAAATCAGCCAATCGGAGACAACACGTTTTCGATTCCCTCCAAAACAAAATTCAACATGAGCAAGCGACGGCACGAAGCAAGCTCGTTCGGACCGCTTCTGGGCGACAGCAAGATCACGACGGCGGAACGGCGGGCCATTCGGTGCAGAGAGCGCGAAATCTTGCAGGAGTTGCGAGAGAGGAGCGCCGAAGCGTCGCAGCTGACCAGCACGATCTTTCAGTCGAAAGCAAAGGAGCTTGATGCGATCTACACCCAAGTGGTGTACCCGCGGGAAGCCAACTTGGACGCGTGCAATCTGGACGAGTTTAGCAACCTCGTGGTGAAGCAAGCAGGACTTATGAGTGCCAGCGACTTGACTAAGTTTGACACGGGGCAATTCATCAACTCTGCCAAGGCTAAATGCTGTTGCGAGGACACGGAATCGGTGTTCGATTGGTCGCGGATGGGTTCTGCTGTCGGTCCGTGCTTTCAAAGCACAGTTGGTGTGAATTTTATGTATGGATCGATGGTATGTTGTCATCGAGGAGACTGGTTCGCCCCACGTGAATATCATCATGTCGCTGTAGGACACCCAACTGGTGACCAAGGAACGTCGCGCGCCGCGCCGCCGTCGAGCGGAGAACTTGGATGAAGAAGAAGTTCGGCCCACGCAAATGACGAAAAACAGTCTTGTGCAAGAAGATGTTCAAGCGAATCGGATGAACGTCCTCATCGAGACTATCCAAGAGGTCGGTACCAGTGGCCTCTTCGACTTGTGTTTGAACCCCAAGAGCTTTGCGCAGGTAAAGAAAGACACGTATGTCGTTGCGTCCTCTGGCTCACGCATGGTCGTAGACGATCGAAAACTTGTTTGACATATCGTTTCTCATTCGCGATAACAGAGTCAAGATCAAAATAGACGACAACGGGCTTCCCCAAATTAGTACGTTGGTTTGTACCGCTCATTATAGACCTAAATGCTGCTGCATGTACCATTAGTCCCCAAGAAAGGGATCACGGGCGAACTCCCCAACCCGACGCAGACGATCATCAGTCTCACGTACGAGCAGTGGGAGGTATAGTACAGTACATGCAAGCATCCATCGATATCGATCATCCATCGACAGATACATCATGGCGGCGGTGGTGTAGAAACTGGCGCCGATGTATGGGGAGCCGATCCTGGGCAATCGACCACCGCCGCTTGCGTAGTGGGCGGCAAATTGAAAAATGCGAGTTTGGATCTACTTTCTTCGCGCGTTTTTTTTCACTTGTTTAATCTATACAACGTTCGCGCGCAATATTTTTTCTTTACGGATCAAACTCTTGCTTGGCATTTTCCGCTTCGTTATCTTCGAATTCCTTGATGAGCTCGGCCGACGCTTGCAACAGCTCGACGAACGCCGGCTTGTCGCACAAGTCGAAGTGCGGCGCGCTTTCCGCGGTCGGCGGGATCGTCACGAAGTCCACGCCTTGGTCGGTCTTGCGTGGTGCGTCGTGGGGGATGTTGTGTTGCTTCATGTACTCAACGACTTTGGGCAACGCGTCCACGTAGAGCGACACAAAGTTCGGGTACCCGTAGCTGTTGCGCAGCACGAGTGGTGCGTCCTTGGGTTTGACGGTTTGGTCGCGATCTTCATAACGCTTGTCCTCGATCTCGACGTCGCGGATACCCACAAAGCGGAAGGGACGCTTCACTCCATCGTCTTCTTGGGTGAAATGCAGATCCAACAACCCGTTCGACTACAGAGCCACAGATACAGGATGAGCGCTAGAATACACACTCACAACAAGCATACCGAGGTGGATTCTTCTTCGTCCTCATCATCCACAGTGGCGGGTTGCGTGGAGAAGAATCGCATGGTGTTGATCGAGCGGGGGTATCGCTGGGTGGCCGCTAGGACATGGCGCTGGGCAAACTTGCGTAGCATGACGGGACGACTTCAAATGCAATTGCTGGCTGTCAAATGCATCGAAACATGGAGGTTTTGTATCCGGTATTTGGTCCCATACCGGTTATTATACATCAAATACCGGATATCCGGATATACTTTATCCGGGCGATGACACAGCAAAGAAAGTGGTGGAAGCAATCAACATGGCGACGACGCGGGTTAGCTTCTTTCGGAAGATCGTAGCATCGGCAGAGTCCTCGTTCCTGTCCACCAAGCAAAGTACATGATATTGATGGTCATGAAGGTGACGCGTCTAATACTGCATGATGTACCGTAGTGCTGGGGATGAAAATCGCCGTGTCGACCGACATGCCGATTTTCCACTTCAACAGCCAAGACAGCGTCGCCGGTTGGCTTGTCTCGAGCGATCAAGCCATTGGAGGTATGCCTTCTATCTGCGCTCATGTACCATGCGAGGTCAGTCATCGTTTATGTCCAGGCACCTCTGCGTGTACGTTCAAGCACGAACCCCGTCGCACGGACGACGACCCCGAGGCTGGTGCTGGTAATGCTCATGCATCCCCAACACACAGGTTCCCATCTTCCCGTGTCGTTTAGCGGTGTTTTCTGGCAATCTCAGCTTGAACCTTCAACCCACGGAACAGTATGTCGTCCGAAGCGGTTACTGCGCGATCCGCGGCAACGTCCCTCGCCACTTGCTCCTGCATGGCTACGAAGGCCTGGCCATGCGCATCAAGACCGATGGTCGAGTGTACGTACCGTGTTTCCAGTTACTATACGGTAAAAAGTAGTTTCTGCACGGTACAGTGATTGTTAGATATCGCATCAACGCGCAGGCGGACGGGTGGAACCCGCACGATTTGTACATGGGGTTTCTCAAGGCGCCCGCGAACGAATGGGTTGAAGCCGAAGTAACGACCTGAAATTGTTCGCAAAGTGTAAATCACATGTGTAGCTCAAATTCAGCGACTTTATCCTCACGTCCCGCGGGTACACGCAAGTGGACGACCCGAACAAGCTCGATCCGGCCAAGCTGTCCAAGGTATTACCAAAAGAAGGCTTGTGTTAACAAAACGTGACCATTCACAGTACTCCATGTGATGACGCAGATCGGGATTGCACTCGCCGACGACAAGGAAGGCGAGTTTGAGTTTGCCATCGAATGGATCAAGGCAGTGGAGAAGGTGGAGACGACCCATGTGTACCCCAAGCCCCAAGTGACGCTGAAAGAGTATGTCCGTTGCGAGGTCTCATCTACGGATGATCCGATCCTGACATGTCGTGGTGGATAGGGACTCGGAAGTGCGCGACGACGAAGTCAAGGTCGACGACTCGGCCAAGTCGTCGGCAAAGCGACCTCGGAACCCCGACTTAATGATATAATCACAGACATGTTGTAAGGTTACACTTCGTCTTCGCGCAATAACATGTTTGGGATGCCGTCGACAATGGGGAATTCGCGCCCAGACTCGGGGCACACCAACGCCCCTTTCTTCACATGCACGTCCAACAGCGCATGATGAATCTGCTTCAGCACGACTTCGTTTGACTTGTCGGCGTCCGACAGCGGCGTGCTTGGCACGTCCACGTTCAATGCCGCCGCGCCCGCCACGAACGCGGCCCAGTCCAACTTGGCCGCCATCTTGACGATGAATTCGGCGCTGAACTCGGATGGAACGACTTCCGTTTCTTCGGCCTTGAGCACCAACGGGAAGCCATTCACGACCCCCTTCTTGTTGCACATGAGCATGTTGTGTGTGATCAGCCGCATGCCGCTTGGCGTCCTCGAGTCAACGAAATGTAAATGAACTAACCAATCGTTTGTCGTCCGGTTACCAAGTAAATAATCATTCATTTAAAATACGATTTGTGATGGTTGATGATTGGCTATTAATTCTGTATTATCTACCAATGAGAATCCAAAATGTTAGTTTTCGTTGCAACATGACGATCCGAAGTGCGCCGACGGTGTTCCGCGATGGCGTGTTCGATGGGAAAGTGGTAAGTGGGTCTGAGATGACACTCTACGTCAGTACATGTCATCGGTTAGGCTGTGATCACGGGGGGCAGCACAGGCATCGGCAAAACCATCGCCCATGAACTGTGTCTTCTGGGCTGCTCGGTAGTCCTTGCATCGCGGTACAATACACCACCGTCCTGCTTGCCTTCATCCGTGCATATGACGCGAGAGATAGCCATGAATCTCCATGATAATGACCAAGATCTAGAACATTGGACACTTTGGTTGCCGCGGCCAACGAAATCAAGGCACAATTGCCGGCAGCGCTCTCGGCCCGTCCAAATGTCGTGGTTCCCCTTGCATGCGACGTGCGGGACGAAGCCCAAGTGAAGCGCCTGTTCGATCAAGTCATGCAAACGTTCGAACGAGTGGACTATATCGTCAACAACGGTCCGTCGCCTCCCTTCTCTACCACACTTTTCTTCGACATCCCATTCCTTGTGTGTTAGCCGGTGGCCAATTTGTGTCGCCGTTTGAAAACTTGTCGCTCAACGGATGGAACGCCGTGCATCGACTGAACGCGTACTACGATCTCTCTCATCTTGTTTCTTAGCAAGTGGGTCAGCAACGTTCTCGTAGGACGGGCACGTTTCTCGTGACAAAGTACGCGTACGAAGCGTACCTGAAGGAGCACGGCGGCGCCATCGTCAATATCCTTGTGGCCATGAACAAGGGGTTTCCGTACGCAAGCCATAGCGGCGCGTCCCGCGCGGCGGTCGAGAACCTCACCAAATCCCTTGCCTACGAATGGGCATCCCGTGGCATTCGCGTGAACTCTGTGACACCGGTACGTACACAGTCGATTTTTCATTGAAACAAGGTTAGTTACATGGAGTGTGTATGACGGTAGGGCACGATTCTGAGCTCGGGACTCAGCAACTACGGCCCCGTAGCTGACCAAGTTTGCACGTCGTACAGTGCCCACACGCCTGCCCGACGCCTCGGCACGGTGGAAGAGGTGTCGGCGGCGACCGTGTTCCTCCTCTCCCCCGCCGCCGCCTACACCACCGGCACGAATGCCATCGTGGACGGCGGATGGAACCTCGCCGGCGCGCTCGTACCTCTTCCACAGCACGTGCGGTACCCCGTGTATGGCACGAGCAAATTGTAATGAACCAATAGTAGTACTACTACTTGTTTAGTAGTACTATAAATAGGATACAGGGCTACGACTCTGGTATTACATTATCGCAGTTGCTTTGACGTAGAAGAGTACTGTGTTAAGTAGTACATACATACAACGTCCTTGATACTATTAATAGTACTACTAGTACATATACTTGAAGTTAGTGACAGTGTCACATGAAATTGTCCGAAGTTTCCGGATACTGTATACGGATGTGCCAGGTTGTACCCAAGCTACCAACGCAACGGGCCTACAACAATTCCAGCAACTGGCGCATGGCGACGGAATCGTTGAAAGGCGCGTCGTTCCGCAAGAAGCTTGTGACGCGATTCAAGCCCAAGGAATCAGACGCGATTCCTCTGGCTCGAGGTAGTTCTGAGGGCGACATACATTCCTGTATACACAACACATCCTAACTACTCAATGGCGGCAGCGTTGCGAGCGTGCCACGGCCAAGACATCAAGAAGAAGAGCGGCCATCGCAAGGGCAAGTTCTTGTTTGCGTTCCCGGGCTTGGTCAGTCCTATGCCGGAAGGCGGCACGCTGGGCACACTGGACAAGCTCGACACGGACAAACCTGTGCTGTACATTGATTTTCCCCAAGGGAGGCTCAAGATGCAAGGCACCCTCGTCTACGCGCAGAATCGGTATTTCACACATGCAGTATCTATATGCCATCTTCAGTTATGAGACGATGATCGTGTGGGGGTGGTGGCAATACTAGGTTCCTAACGTTGCAATGTGCGCGGCGTGGCAAGTCGGTCGTATGCGACGACGTGTTTGATGCTGTCGTGACGTTCCCGGAAGTCTCTTGGATTGGACCGGTGGATGCCAACCCATCGGAAGCCCCCCTTCCCATCCCTTCCTTCCTCCATGCATATGTATGTATTCCTTGCTATCCTTCCTATAGACCTTACAATTGCCAATTGCTAATTAGACCAACATCCCCCCTTCGTACACGTTTGGAGCTGGCGACTACAACGCTGTCGAGGGTACACTACTGAGTGCACCAGTATATTAATTGCACAGTGTACTCTAATCTATGGACTGGGTTTTACATGATAGAAGCAGCGAACGAAGCCGACGAGCAGCCACCTCCACCACGGACGACCCCCGAACGCCGCTCCAAGACCGCGTGCCTGCTGGCATACTCGTCAGCCCTCGCGACCGCCTTGGACGACCAATCCGACCACGTACTGTATCGCATTCGACACATAAAAGGAACTCACGGCGGCATTTGTGTTAGAGCGACGGCGAGTTTTCACCGTACGAGTATCGAGATAGGGTTCCACTTCGTCTAACTCGGTTCACAGTTTGGACGACTTGGACGACGGCGACGAGATGTGGCAACAAGCGCAAACGAAACGTCGTCGCAGAAATGACGCTCGTCGTGCCCAGTATCACACATGTCCTGTATGAACGATGGAGCTGATATACAGTATGTGTGTGTGCTAAATTAGATTGAAAAACCAAAAGTCCAAGCCAACCACTGGCCACCCGAGAATCCTTCCTCCAACAACAACACTGTAATAATAGTCCTGATATATTGTCATTTTACCCAATATTTACACTTTTGTGCTGATTCTTTGCCAAATCTATCGATCGATTCATTGTACTGGTAAAATCGTATCACACTAATTTCAATCATACACCAGTTCGATGTTGAATTATTCGAAGAGTGGATTTGATTGGCTAGTTGATTCATGTTTTGTGTTTTGATTGGTCGTACCATATCGATTGTCTGCCAATTTGGTGATTCTGGTCATATGAATAATACTACGAATGCGATATATTGAGCTTTGTATGACATGTTAGGCCACCATCCACTTCCGCTGCGGTTGCCACCATGACCGACGACACCTTTGCGTTTGAATGGTAGTTACTGACATATATTCACATCTAGACTGACGTACTATAGCCATATTGTTGCAACTAACTTTTGCTGTAGAGTTTACCCCAAACTGCGAGCGTCGAACATGGGGTGGCTAAATAAGTACGCATGGCAGCAACGATAGTAGGGATATATGTACAGTTGCTGCCGTGACTGGATAAATATATGGTGGAATTGAAACGGTGTCGCATATTATTATTCTTTGATGGCGTCAAACGCGGCAATCACATGGGGCGGCGCTTGCACGAGTTCGATCAGCACGCCTTCGCCCGACAAGGGAAATGCGTCGTTGCCCTTGGGATGGATGAACACGACGTCATACCCGGCAGCGCCCTTGCGGATGCCGCCGGGGGTGAAGCGCATGCCCTTCTTCGTGAGCGAGTCGACGCACGTGGCCAGGTCGTCGATCCAAAGGCCCAAGTGGTTGAGTTGAGGGACATGCACCTTGGGCGCCTTGGCGGCGTCGATCGGTTGCATGATGTCCACTTCGACGGCAAACGGACCGCGACCCGCTTCCAAGATATCTTCGTCGACGTTTTCGCGCTCGCTGCGGAACGACGATTTGTACGTCAAGCCCAACGTGTCCACCCACAAGTTTCGCAGGGCGTCCTTGTTCAACCCACCCACAGCGACTTGCTGGATGCCCAACACACGAAAGGGGCGCGCGGCCTACGAGGGCAATTCAGATACAAGAGTAGACGCATCATGCATCCTGCAATCCATCATGACTTACAGAGCTAAACGCGCGGCGGGCAACGGCAGCAAGCATGGTTCGATAGATGCTCAAAGGTGAAAATGGAAATTGAGCTCGCCCTTGAGTCATACGGATGCTGAACACTTCCGGATAAATGGCTTACCACACCAGTTCATGAGTCGAGCGTCACGTTGTTTTAGGTTCACATTTTCATAACTTGGGATAGTTACGTAGCTTTCTTATTTACACTCGTGTACTACTGCCGTGAAACAAATCAAGGATATCATGCATATAGGGGATACCAGTGAATGGGCGATGATGTGTAAGGAAGGGAAAAAGGTTGGTGCTGGGACGTTGTATCATGGGTTGGGCTGTTCCTCCCAAAGGGAGGTCATAAATTTTTGAAGCCGCATCGAGTCGAGTCAATTCCACGGTAATCTTTAGTAAAAGGCGAAAGATTAGTACGAATGAAATTAACTCTGCGGAATACTTTAACTATGGGCGTCAATTCTTTATCCCTACAAACACAAACTCCCACGCGTGAAATCACAACATTTGAGCATACTTTAATCCAGTCAACGTATCCGGCTCCACGTCCATTCCGGATAAGACCAACGTATCCAACCTTCAAATTCCGGATAATATTGGCCAACATTCCAGACGCACGTGACCAATCATTTCTTGGCAATGGTTGTTTGTTTCATCTTGGTCATTATCGAATTTGAGCCGCAGGTCCAACGTGGATTGATCGCCGCCGCCGTCCGAACGTCCTTCCAAATGATTCATATAGTTTGAGATCCATATCAAATGATCCTACGGGAGAGTTGTTGCGGACACCTTTTTCAAGTGATGGAAGCTGTACAGTCCATTCGTGTATGTCTATATGTATATGTGCATGTCATTCTTGGTGAAGAGTAAACAAATCCTTACTATACAGAATCTCTCTGTTGATAACACTGTTTTGCCGACTTCTGAAAGAACACGTCCCCCCCTTCATATTTTGTATGCTGTACTCTCTCTGATGGCACAAATAATCTTTGAGACCTGAATCTCCATGTGTTGATACAAACCGTGCTGAGGGAATACACACATACATCTATATACTAGTAGTAGTACTAGTACTGTAGCTAGTCCTGCAATTGTAGCTAGTCCTGCAATTGACGAGCATCTTGGTGATGATTAACTCAATCAATCCTTACTATTCAGAACGTACATGTTGAAAAGTATGTTTTGCCGACTTCTGAGAGATGCTCCCTCAGTCAACATAGTAGTACTCTACTAGTACATAGTTCTACTGTGTAGTTGTAAGCTCCATCATAATCGAAACCCCCGTCCATCCTCTTCTTCAATTCGTATTCAAATCCAATCGAATTGAGCCGCACTATATCCGTACACAATCGATCGACCAATCAAAACCGACAACGTTAATCAAGTGGCCAATCAAAATCACTCTTCAACCATGCAACATCATCCCAAGGAACTAAAAATGTAGTACTTTGCATTATTCAAAATGCAATAGCGTTCCATCACACACTGTCATAACCAAAAAATACATGTACAGGTCGTGAAGCTACAGTTGAAATGTACTTGATATCTCTATTCAGCCTGGTTAAGTGGAATGCCGACGTAGTTTAACGCGTCGTGCACCCACGCGGGCACGGGGGTCCCCTGGTGCCACTCGGCCATGAACACCCGGACGAACGACGGGAACGAGTCGTTCAAAATCGCTTGGCGGACTTGCGCCATCAAGTGCAGCATGTACGCGACATTGTGGTACCTACATTCCCCAAATATATATCAATATATCCCAAATCGAGAGTATATATATATTATATATCTTTGTACGTGATCAACTGGGGACCAATGGACCCGTCCTTTTTCATCACGTGATGCAAATACGCCCGCGAGTACTCTGTGCACACAAAGCATGCGCACGTGGCGTCCAGCGGCCCGCCATCCGACGCAAAGTCCGCTGACTTGATCCGCAGCAACCCCTGCAAGATGTATACGATATGAATTCTATCAAAATACTACTATTTAAAAAGTAGTGTACCTTGGGGGTGATGGCGGTGCCGAACCGGCCGGTGCGCGTGGGGTAGACGCAGTCAAACATGTCGACCCCCAGCGCCGAGCACACGACCAGGTCCACGGGGTACCCCACGCCCATCAAGTACCGCGGTTTATTGGCTGGCAAGCTAGAACGAATAAAAAATTGGCCAAACTCGTCAAATTTCGCTATTTCAAACAAATTGGGCAAAAATTGGATATTTTTTCTCGATTTGGACGACCCAACATGTTGCGACAGATCCCGTTTATTGCCAAAACACAGTACAATACCAAGAGGTTTAACGGACTCATCGTGTTTATAAGGTGGCAATGAACTGATGTTTCTTTCAAAAGTAGAAGTATTGTTTGAATGCCTTTAAAACCAAAGTTTCGACATAACGGCAAAAATATTGGGATCCCACTCTTCAAATAAATATATGTATATTGTATATCCAACCCGCATCATATTGGAGCAGAATTATTGCACAACGACTTTATATATATTCAAAAATACGTATCAAAACAACCCAATTCGCTGCTTAAGAAAGGAATTTTCCCACTGTCGTACCGTTCTGCACACAGCGCCACGACGGTCCAGAACGACGTCTTGTCTTCGCCTCCCGCGAGTCCGCCAATGGCATATCTATGATTTATCCCATGTAATATAATCATCATTCTCGTTAGAATGGGACGAACCCTGGTAAGTTGCGATCAATCAGGCCTTGGATACATCGTTCGCGAAGGCCGCCGGGTTTCGTGTCGAGACCACCTGGTGAATTTTGATAATGTTGGGAAATATCCTTAGGATGCGATCGTTCGGAAAAGGGGGCATTTTCCCCGCGCATGTTTAATGGGGATTTTACCTTGCACAATCCCAAATAGGTTTTGCGTGGCGGGGCGCTTATGGGCAGCAATGCACCGGTCGATCCACCGAAGGGTCCTACGTAATATGTAAGGTTAAACTACTGTTCCCACCACTTAACGATATATATATATATTAAGTACCGCTCGGTAGCTTCGAGGAACCGCGCGTCGTCTTGAATCGTGGACGGCGCCACGTCGTCCAGCGCCATGATGATGTCGGCGCCAATGTTGTTCTGCATCAACGAGGACGGCGGTGGGTGATAGAAGAAGCAAGGGAAGCTGCATGGATGCATGCATCTACCTGATGGGTAATGCTCATCTCGGGGGTCAGCAGCATCGTTGTCCCATCAACGGGAGACTAGTACACGGCATGGTGATGTGAAGGGATGCGAAGGGTGGGTTCACAACCACACCTGAAATTCCACGCCGACTTCGGTGATTTGAGCGAGCTCCAGAAGGGACACCATTTGGAACCCGCCAGAATCGGTAAGGATATTGCGATGCCACCCCATAAAGTCATGAAGCCCGCCCACATCTAGGACACTTCAGACGGGACAACGCAGTGTATGTTGTACCTTTAAGAAGGTCAGTGCCTGGACGCAACGCTAGATGGTACGTATTCGCCAGGAGGATCTTGCAGTCAATGGGAGGCAGCGCCATTTGCTCCGCTGTGATACCTACAACAAGAACATGTGTCGTGCGTGCGACGGCTTCAAAGCGTTGTTCTACCTTTGATCGTGCCTTGGGTGCCCACCGGCATAAAGATCGGCGTGTGCACAGTGCCATGTGGCAGATGGAGGTCACATGCACGGGCTCGACCATACGTGTGCAGAACGTCCAGCTTCAACGCAGGGGAATCGTTGCTGAATGCCACCACCGGCGGCTTCGGCGGCGGCGTTGTCATGAGATTCAAATCACACAGCTTTTATTGGCTTGAACAAATACCTGTATATATACATATCGCTTTATACTTGATTTATTTTATTCGAGTATGCTTGATAATCCTTTGACAACGAATACACCACCCCGCCACACGGCTGGCTGCAAAGTACATTGCGGGCGAGTATGGCATGCTGGCGACGACGTTCGCTTGGAGTCAGTGGAGTGGCATTACAGTTGGTCAGTCTCATGAGGAGCACTTCAGGGATGTGGTACGACTGTGTGGCACAGTCGTTGAGTAAACGTCCTTGGCGACCACAACCCATCTCACTCCATGTCTGGACTGCAACCGATGCTTGGAGTAGGTAGGTACCTGTTGTCGAATCTGCACCATGCCAACTACTGCGATGGCTGCTGGCCACGCCACTACTGTACTAGCAGTGCACTAGTAACTTGCTGTAGTCCCTCCCACCACAACGCGGCCAATGGGAAGTACCTGCGGCGTACACCGCTTTTGATGCCAGTGAGTACATGTCATACAAGTTGACGGGGGATTTGACACGCATGATCTCGTCCTGGGGTAGTATCTTTCAATGGGTATAGGATAGGGTCGAAGCTACCTCCGCCATCCAACGAGCTTCCGAATGTACATCATATATAAGTATTCCCCTTCCAATTCTCACACATATGATGAATGGTCTCGCAAGCGTACAGGCGACGACGATGCCCCTACACTTCGCGACAACCGCGCACATCTCTGTAAGATAGACTACATTCTGCATACTCCCCAGTACTAGGATGAAGGTACATACTTGTAGTATATGTATGTACTGGCTAAATGTGTATAAACACCAAGCGACTTTTCATAGCAAGAAATCTGAGAAAGTGGACAGCTCACAGGTGGAGATAATCATCCCTCATGTGTTTCCCGGCACACAAAGTGTATGCGTGCTCGGCTACCAGCACCTCATGCAAGCCACCAGCCACGGTGCAAGGGACCACGCGTTCTTAGTCGGCTCGTTGGTTGACTGCGTACTGAAATGCAAGGTGCCAGTGCGAGCCATGCGTAGTTCTCATTGTTGCCAGGGGAGAAGGTGGTCGGAAGCGGCGGCAGACCCCTCAACTTCTTTTTCTCCAGAACTAGTTGGGAGAACGCACGTACTTGTCCTGGATCTCTGGACAGCTGCCATGCAAGTATGACCGTTTGTATCAATGGCCCACTGACCACTTAGCCAAGTGTTCATCAGTGGAATTCCGTCCAGCGAATGCAACTGGCTCGCCGCCTGTACAGGTTATCACGTTTGAATCCAGGACATGATACATCTCGTCGCCGTCACAGCATTGTTTGATGCCGGTTGAGTATCCTAACAACGGAGAGGAAGCAGCGGTTCATATACAATATCATACACGGTCCACTGGTTGTACTTGTAACTTAGTAAACTCCCCTGGAAAGAAGTCTGAATTGTTTGTGAAAGTTGTCGCATGTACTACATATATATATATAATCCCCGTGTAAAAATACACTTGAACATCGTATGTGAACTCCCAGCACGACGAATGGCATTCCTGGAATATAGTCACCATGATGTCCTTTGTCCGTTCGTCGTCACGCGACAACCTGTTGAACTTGTAATAAAGTAGCTGCTCCTGCGGTGGGTTTGTTTGGTGCGGTTCAAGATGATCATTGTTCAAAAAGCACTCATGTCTACAACTACTACCTCGTCCAGTGTCCATGCTTCGTCTGCGATGCTGTCCCATTCCGTCGGCAAACGGAAGAAGGCCGTGTATGCAAAAGACTACTTGATGGAGTACGAACAGAACCGACTGCGGGTCCTCGCGGAGCAGCAGGACTACTTCCAACGCACCCGAGAATCGCACATGATTTCTCGCAAGGAGCAGCAAAAAGAGAAGCGCAATGCGTACCAGCGCGAACGCCGCCGCCTCAAGAAGCTCAAGGGAAGCCAACTCGATGACGAGTATTGCTGCAGCCGAAGCACGAGCTCCACCGCGTCGTCCGACACGTCCACAACCGACGACCATATGAATAAACCGACCACAGCAACCAAGCCCATTGAGCTCAGCATTTCGTTCTTGTTGAATCCGTGAACACACACCCCCCGTAGAAGAAAACTCCAAGCCCTTTAATATTAGTTATCATTATTTCAACTCGGTCGTCTTGATGTCCTTTGCCTCGTAAGTGTCGTGGTCTTGAGGCATGGTTTCGTCCTGGTTATGATAGTGAAGGAGCAGCGCACAGCCAGCCCCAGCTTGAAATTCTCGTAGAACGTTCACTGGCTGCTGTGTCATCTTTCGTGTCGACGCTAGTCTACACCACAATCTGCCACGTGTAAATCATGTTGTATACTAAGTCTGGATGGTGGAATTCCACGGTGTAGGAACTTGCTCGGAACTGCAAATTGCCCTTTTTTTAAATCCTACTAGTAGAATACGAGTAGTATTACGCGTATAGTATGTTCTAAAATGCAGAGTATTGGTAAAAGACTCATATATCCGGTGACAAAGAACGTTCGAAACAACCGCCTCTTTGAAAAAGAATATTTCGAGTAATAATACCATTTCTATACTTTGAAGAGAAATTAATAGATGGGAATGTTGGTCTCCCGGTATTTTCGTTTTTTGGGGTGGTTTGAATTGCCACAAGAATAGTCCACGCCTTCTTTAGCGCCGAACCAACATGGCCGCGACTACGGCGGCTACGTCCATGGATCACCTGCAAGATCTTATCTCCCACATCCATCATGCTTCGATTGGGTTCCTCGGCAATGACCCTCCTTCCGCTGTACCGTCGTCGCCCGTGCTCGCCAAGGCGCACCTTCAAGCGTTGAAGCCGATCCTGCCACCCCACCTCTTCCACCCGATGCACTCAATGTGGCGCCGCGGCCGACCTGTTTACTGGCTCGACGTTGCCGGCGCTGTCGGTCGTCTCGACTGGGTGGACTGGTTGCATCGACGTGGCGACACTTGCTCCACACTTGCATTGGACTTGGCATCAGGCAGTGGATCGATTGCTTGCGTCCATTTTCTGCATAAGGTTGGAAACGGGGGAGCAACAACACTAGCGATGAACTTAGCCGCCCGGTTCGGCCATCTAGCCATCCTGCGCTTCCTCCATACTCGGCGATCGGAAGGCTGTACGAGCGATGCGCTCTACTTTGCCGCCAAATATGGACACGAAGAAGTGGTGCAGTTCTTGGCCACGTATTGCCTACCACAGTGCATGCCATCGCGAGCATTGGACGCAGCGGCGCGGCACGGCCATTACGGAATCGTTCAGATCATCCATGCTGCTTCCTCCCACCTTCCATCGATCGCGACCACGGACGCCATGGACATGGCCGCGGCGGCAGGGCACCTGTATATAGTATGCTTTCTCCACGAACATCGACATGAAGGATGTACGGAGGCAGCGCTGATGACGGCAGCAGCCAGAGGACACCTCACCGTGGTCCATTTTCTCTGCGAGAATCGGGACGAAGGATGCATCGCAGCGGCACTGGAAGTCGCTCTAGAGCATCAGCGATGGGACATAAGCGCGTACTTGTCGTCTCTCTTGGACCGCCGCGTGACCCTGTGCTCCCGGATCGGGTGTCATTTGCTGTGCGAGAAGCAGTGGAGCCGAGGTTTTGCGGTGGATTTGAAATCCTCTTGTATTTGATAGGCTGTATCATATTATATTATTAATTATGCCAAAATTGGAAATTACATTGTCCACATCGTGATTAGACCCTCTGTGATCTTATAAGATATGTGACCTTTCAGCGAGCCCTCCACAGATACAATTTCACACATGGCGTCGCGAAGCGCCTTCAAGTTTACCGACACCGCGGGCGGCGCAAGTGCCGAGTACCCTGCGCCAAGCACGTTTGACTCGTTGCATCACGGCAGTTCCAGCTCCGATCTGTCTTCGTTCGTTGACGACATCGACCCCAGCATTGGTATCTCACCTCATCCTTCCACCCGTCGCCCTTGACGCGCTCACATGCATTAACCCGTTAGCTGGTGGATATCGCGTCGTGTATGACCGCGAAACTCCATTTGAACTGCGCATCCAGGTACCATTCCAGCATCGCTTTCGTTCTTGTTGACCAAGGGAGTGTAGGACTCGGACAATGCACCGCAGCAAGTGGGCACTTTGGAAGCGATCAAAGTGAAGATCCTGCTACTTGTACGATGCATCTTGCATGAGCATACATCATACATGCCATGACGTGGCAACTTGTCAGGGCGACGAGAACGATCTGAAGGCGCTCAAGATTGAATTGTCGACTGAAACCGACCTCTTCTTCTACTACGCGCACGTGTGTGACCTGGAAGGGTTCCATCTCGTCCAAGAGCAGCAAAAGCTCATGGTCGACTTCTCCGACTACGCGAACGTCCTTATCCGGATGCTCAACAACTGCATCAAGGAGCCGCACAACCACATTGCCGTGTACCTCATGCAAGCGGACGGCCGCGCACGCCTCGACTTTATCCAGGTAGGTGCCGCACAATACGTGCACTGTGCGGTTTTGTATGGGTGCAGCACTACACCTGGTTTCTTACGAGGCGTTTTGTGTATGTATATATATGATATGGGTGCAATAGAACATGGAATACAAGTTTGTCGAGCTCTTGTCCGTCGACTTTGCGCGGTCGCCCGAGGAAATTGTGCGCCAGCACATCACGTTCCGGTACAACACGGTCAAGGTACATCTATATTCTCGATTGCCGGGCACCTAGGTGCAACACTCCACTCATGCGAATATGGTAGAATCGCGTCGTGGCGTTGCAGTCGCGCTTGCACGTACGTGTATACTATGTAGTATATATCTTATTAGGTCGTGGATTATATATATATATATATGCTGATAAGAGTATGGGTGCAGGAGGTGAACAACCTCGTCAAGGTCAAGAACCCGTCGTTGTTGTTGCAGGTAGGTTGTATATTCCAGTGGGCTGCACCCAATCTTGTGATCGACATGGTGATTTCTTAGCTACAAAAAGCGCCGCCGCCGCCTGCCGTCAACCCACGAGATGCGACGGGCGCCACAGCGTCATCGAGGAACCACAGCCGTTTCCATTAACAATGTAAATGAAATCAACATGCTGGTTGCTGCCCATGTCAAAGGTTACAGCAGGGTTTGTACGATCACGTTACTAGTATGTACTAGTACTCTATACTATTAATAGTTTACCTCACTACCACCGGCTGGAAGTACCATGACGCAAACCACACGCGACTGGGCAGCGTGCCTCACGCACTTACACACTCCACAAACAGTGGTTCTCCGCCCACTGGGCAACCCTCCGCCGACACTGGCACACCACATGCACCACCAATGTGGACAAAATTCACTCCGCCGGGGAACTCTTAACAACATTCGGTTCAAATGCCAACACCATGACACTGCCCCAACTGGCCATGACCGCCGCATACGCACGTGCAGGCCACGACACGACTCTAGCACTTCCGCCGCTGCCCCACACTACCACCGCCCACGGCCAGCATTCCCCGCCGATTCGGCCTCCGCGACCCCCCCCCAGACCCTGGAATCCCACCGCCAGCAGCCTAACCACACCGCTTTCCTGGAGCTCGCCGCCTATACACATAGGTTTTTTCAAGTAGTTCAGTCCGCTAGCTACAAACGCAGCTAGTACGCGGCCATTCCGTGCCTGCTGAGCGACGTTAACTTTACAACTTAATATCAATTTCCATACTATTAATAGTTAAAAAGTCGCAATTCTAACGGGATCAAGTACAAGAGACACATACGACTTGCAAAGGTTTTAGATTTTCTCCAATTATTTTAATAGTTTTGCTCCATGTTTCATCTTTTTATGGTATTTTTTGACAATAATATCAAGGCGATTTGATTTCCATCGTTACACGTGACGAGGATAGCTAATTTATTAGCTCATGGTTTATGCCTCTTGTTGAGCGGCTTCATGAGTTCCACCGGCGGCGGACTCGGGAACCGACTGCCGCCCGACGACGGCATGGTCGTGCGGAGCTTGGCGTTGTTCTCTTTCCGGATCTTCTTGGTCTGAAACTCATGTGACGGAATACACGGAATCGGCGGCAAACTAGACAAAACTGAGCCACATGTACTGAATGCATCGACACAACCAAGAATGGGCAGAAGAATGTAGCCAATCAGATTGCAGGAAATCTCCAGTTCAACCAATCCACAACGAAATGTGTGACTTCAATTAGTGTGACTGGCATCACCGCTGGACACTTTTGTACATACAACACATTCAAACAATCGATGGATTTGGCAAAAATTCACACAAAAATGTCCAAATGTTGGGTAAAATTTGAGCACATTTCACCCGTTGTATTGTGTGTTTTCCTCAAAATTAATTTCCTCCGACGAGCGATTGGTTGAATCAACCGCCGAACAATCACCGGACCTTCGAAATTTCATATAAAACAAAGTTGAAGAGGTATCTTTGTGACTGCAATACTACAATCAATATTTTTAGCCAATCAAATTGCAACCTTCATTCTTTGTAGCCAATCATATTTCTTTACTCGATTAGTTGGCGATTTCATCCATCCACAGGCAAATTTGATTAAAAGGCACAATATCATGCTCATTCCAAAGAACATACCTTTCCGGGTCATCGGGGGCGAACGGTTCGCTCTGAAAGTAGCGCGACCGCAGGGCGTCCGCCGCCGTCGGTCGCTTGGCCGGATTCAGCTGGAGGAGCGACAGCATCAGCTCGAGCGCTCCGGGCGGCAACTCGCGCGGCGGCACCCGCGCGCTGACTTCTCGCACGAGAACCTCGGCCAGGCGGTTGGGAATCGGCAGGTTCTCGGGCACAAACTTGGAGCTAAAGGGAAGCGCGGCGTGGTCTGGCCAGTCGGCCACCGTGGGCGACCCGCACACATCAAATATGCGCTTGATCTGGTCGATTTCGTTCTTGCCAGAAAAGAGCGGCCGCCCCACGTATAGCTCGGCAAAGACACACCCGATGCTCCACATGTCCACCATCGCATCGTACGAGGTCGCACCCAAGAGGAGCTCAGGACTGCGATACCACAGCGTCACAACCTGCGATGATGAATCAGACTTCGATACGGTTCTATCAAAAATACAATAATTGGTTTCCAACATGGACTACTACTACTATATATTAATATGGCGTGCACTTTGTAAACAACACAACCCACTACACCCATCGATATACATACATACATGCATGATTCACATTTTATAATTTTATTACATGGGCCACAATGAAAGATTAAAAATTGAACAAAAAAATACAGACGAAAGAAATCACGGAAAGGTTGACAAAGTCCTGACCATGTGATTTATATGATCAAAACTACAACATAAACACGTATATAATGTATATATATAATGTATATATATATATAATGTATATATATAATGTATATATATATATAATGTATATATATATATATATATAATGTATATATATAATGTATATATACAACACGACACTATTTTCGGAGGTACAAGGACAAGGTACTTTAAACTATAGAGTAGGGCCCCCCGACCAACTATCACATAAAAGTACGGTTGATATACCTTATTCGTAAACGGAAGTTCGCCCAAGGTGGATCGGGCGAGGCCGAAATCGGCGACTTTGAGCAAATGCTGAGGCGTGAGAAGCAAGTTGGAGCACTTGATGTCCCTACGTTAGGTTTCGGGTGATACTTGTGGGAATGGGCGGCGATGGAGAGCGTACCGATGGATCACGTCCGTGGCGTGCATGTACTTCATCACGTCCATCAACTGCATCATGATGGACTTGATTTCGACGTCGGTGAAACTACGTACACATGAGAACAACACACAAAACGTATGGAGCGTCAACACGTACGGGTATTGCCGGTCCAGGAGACCGGTCAGGTCGTGGTCGACGTATTCCAACACGAGGTAGATACACCCGCAAGAAAAATCCATCGGCACCGGCCCGCCACCTGCTGCTGGGATGTCGGCGTCTGGGTCGTCGTCCAGGTCGCCCATATCCAGTTCGTTGGTCACAATCACTTCCCTGAGACCCACGACGTTCCGATGTTTGATCGCTTTCAGCACCTTAATCTCACGGATCGTCGTCACTGGTAGCCCTTGGATTTCGTTCAAGCTTCGAATCTTCTTCAGCGCCACCTTCTCGCCCGTGTCTCGATGTGACGCCAGGAACACTTGCCCATACGTCCCAGCGCCGATGCATTCGATCTTCTCGTACACATCGATGCACGCATCACTCCATCCGTGGTTGGGTAGACCCAAACTCATGGCGGCGGGGTGGAGGTGGCGGCGCAGCAGGGTCGAAAACAAATCCGGATAATACAGATGCATCCGGAAGCAAACTACCGGTTAAATATTGAAATATCCGGATGTTTTGAACGACCACTTTTCAATTTGCGCGCGCAAAGCACCATCGCGACCTGGCAGCAGCACGTGGGGACGCGATGAGGGAGACGCTTCTTGATGCTGCATGAGCATGAAGATGATTCAACCTTCCATAGGACGAGATTGAGGAAATGACCGCCATGCAGCGATCCATTGTATGAAGGGTGACACGAGAAACTCTAGTTATTCGCCGTGTCCTTGGCGTGTGATATCGTCCTCGCCACGACAACAACCAAGGTAGGACGCGCTGGCGAAGATGTCTCTAATCCTATTCCAACAAGTGTTGTTGACAGATTGAAGGTGATATCCAAGATCCTGGTGAGGGTATGCAATGGTGTTGTATCACCCTAAAAATACATCTCGTTGCGAAACGACCATGGAGACGAAGCCGGCGCCAGCCGCTCCAAGTGGCGGCATGGAGACGGCGGTGTCGACTGTCCCTAAGATTCGCGACATTGGCACGATTGCGTTAGAAGCTCTTGGGAAGATCGACACTGTGCTGGCGTTCGAGCTGAGTGTCATGAACGACCACATGAAGGCCATGTACGCGCGAATCTCTCTCTCATCGTCACATATAGAATGTGCTCCATGGTAGGGAAGGCGAAAACGCGTTGATCAAGGCTGAGAACGATATGTTAAAGGCCAAGTTGGTGCAGCAAAAAGAAGACGAAGTACTGTCATCATAGAATACATACAAGCATACATACATAAGCTTGTACTATGGTTGTAGGCCGACATTTACTACTACTTGCACAAAAAGCTGGACGCAAACTACGAAGTGATTGCGCAGTTGGAAAGCGACATCCAAACCGTAAAACTCGAGCGCGACGCGATGGACAAGGCGTTCCACATCAAGCAAGACGAGACCCAAGACGCGTTTGCCAAGGAGAAGAAGGAGCTCACGGAGCGCATCGAAAGCGCCGAGGACACGCTTCATGCGCTCGAAGTGTTTCGTGAGCGCAAGATCGTTCTTGAAGACACGATTGCCGCCATGGAGTCGACGTTGGCGGCGGAAAAGGACAACCACAAAAAGGTACGTCGATATATATATATATATATATATATTCGATGATGATGTGTTTACTAAAGATATATATATATATATGTTACTAAAAGATATATAGTTCGAAGTATATATTTTTACTAATTGGTGACATGTTGGTTTGTTGGGGGGGGTAGCAAGTCGTGGAAATGGAGCGGCGCAATGTCCAGGAAAAAGAACGCATCAAGAAGGACATGCTCATGAAAATCAAAGAAAACAAACAAGTGGGTACAGATATATATATATTTAGTTTCTGTATATATATATATATATATATATATATTTGCAAGAATATTGGTTTGTGTACAATGCGTGTATGAACGTAGAATCTCTTGGCACGGACAGAAGATCAACTGGACACGACAACGAAGCGCACGATGATGGAGAACGACCAGATGATCTCGGAACTGCAGTACCAAAGCAAAGAAACAGAAAAACTCTTGGTAAAGTACAAGGCACTTGAAACCGAAGTCGTGCATCTCCGTCTTCAGCTCAAGGTAACACCAATAGATACTGGCCTACAATCCTCCATATGTCCATGTATGCTTGGTATGATACACTGTCGGACTGGTATAAATTCACAATGATATATTGTGAATTCGCTATAAAAGTCTGACATTCGCGTGGTTATCTAATCAATATTGAAGTTCACGCTGAAGTTCTGATTGGCTGACTATACTTGTCCTTTCTGTAATAGCCAATCAAATCCACTCAAAATTGGATTAACCAATAGCGTCGATTCATGATTCGATTGAGATTCGATTTGACGGGGTCTGGAAATTTGTACTACCGAATCCACAATATTTTACCCCAAACTTGGTAGACTTTTGTGCGGATTCTTTGCCAAATCGATCGATCGATCGATTCTTTGTACTGCCTTTTGTATGCAAAGATCGTCCAGTGTCACACCAATTTCAGTCACACACTAATTCGATGATGATGCAAGAGTGGATGATTTGATTGGCCACTTGATTCATGGGTTTTGATTGGTCGATCATCGATTGTGTGCGTTCGAACCGCACTATCGACTACTTGACGCATGTTGCTCTGTTGTAGGTGAACAAGGACACGGAAGTGGAAATGGCGAAACGGACGCATTTTTACCAAAAGCTCATCAAAAAGCTCAACGAACGCGTGCAGAGCGACCACGTGGCCGCGCGGACTCACGCCGCGCTCACGCAAGGCCAAGAGCGCACCAAGACGGACGTGAACAAGGCGAACGAGGACATGATCGCGCTGCTGCAGACCAAATCCAACGGCCTCGAGACGCAGCTGCGCACGCTGTGCGCCGAACTCGCAGACGCGCGCACTCATGTGGACGAAGCCCGCGCCGAGAAGCACGCGATGCTCGCGCAGCAGGACGACACGCTGCGGTTCCTGAGCGTGGCCATCCATGACATCACGCACCAGCTGGCCCTGAGCGGACACGGACACGCGGCGCCGTCGTCGCTCCATGCGTGGCAGGCCGGCGATGTCATTCCTGCGAAATTGGATGACCTCGCGCCTTCCGACGTGAAAAAAGTGCTGCAAATGCTCTTTGGCAAGCTACACGCATACCAAGCGGCTATTGTGGTGCGTATATATATATATATATATATATATTGGAATCGATGTGTGAAACATCTCAATATGCATGGGAACATGGGCTTTTCATGATTAGCATGGAATATTGCATGATGGGAAGGTAGGATTGAAGGATTGTTTATCGATACCTCCAGCGATATACTTATGTGACTACTACGGCTATATATAACAGCAGTGTAAAAAATTGAATATTATTTCGTATTGTCGATTTGATACAAATTTGGGGAAGGGGGTGCAATCGAATCGCGCCGACCAAACTGATCCACAATCGACCTGATTGGTTGAATTTCATTGAGAGGGTTTTGATTGGCTAATAATTTTGAGCTCATGTGAGGTAGCCAATCAAATCGATTTAAATTCCAACGAGAAACCACACCACAACACGAAATTTTACTCGAAAGCACAATACCTGCGCTATATTATGAAGGGGCGATGGATGGTGATATCGTGGGTCATTCGATATATATATATATATATATATATGCGTACTTGGTCGTGTCGTTCATTTGATAACATATATATGTATCGATAGCAAACCCGGCCAGTGCTGTATCCGCCAGTGGTGCCACCATCCCCTGCAAGTTCTTCTTCGTTGGGGGTGGAATTGCCGCCGTTGGTGCCCGCCAAACACCGCCAAGACCAGCTCGAGATTCTCAAGGCATTGGCGACCAGAGGGGATTCTGTCCAGCGAGCGACTCGTCCTGGAAATAGTGGCTGTGGGGTCTTGCTTGAATCTCCTCATGGCGTACCCCTCCGGTCCATTGCCGTCCAAACGCTGCCTGAATGGGTAGGCTACCACACCAATACATATATATATATAACCTACCACCACACCAATATATATATATATATATATATAGACATAACGACTTGATGTAGAGTGCCGAAAGCAAGCGAAACACTGGAGCCAGTCGCAACATTTCCACTTTGTATCATCACGTGGATCGAACCAAGAACCGCCCAAGGAACCGCCGCGAAGGAGACGGACACATTGGGCATGAAGATGGAGGCAGCTCGTCGGTCGTGACGACGGCGGCGGGGCGACTGGGGGCGTTGGTGCTGCTCTCCAAGGGATCATCGCGGCCAACCATCAAGACTCGAATCGTGTTGCCAGATGCCCACCGAATGTCTCTACCCAGTGCCACCGTCAGTCCAGGGTGATTTGATCCCAACCCAATCTCAGCACTTACAGTCTACCGTTCCGGTTCTTTGGGTGTTCTTTGGGTGTTCAACGGCGCTAGTACTACTAGTAGTACTTACTACTAGGACGGACCCACGATCGTGTTTGGTCGTATATATTAAATTAAACGGGACTTTGGTGATGATGGCGAAGGTGTTCCAGTTGCCGCTCCAGGGCGCGTCGCTCCGCCTTGATCGACTCGAGAGCCGACTGCATCGACGTGCCTTCTTCTTCTTCGTCCCTAGCGGCGGGTGCCGACAAGTTGCAACTCTCGGGGGACGTCGGCACTACCTCGGTGCAAAACTCGTGCGTGAGCAGCAAGAGGGCGTCCACATCATGCAGCAGCATCGAGTTCAACACATCCTCCTCCTCGTCATCATCATGAATAGTCGTCGCAACCGAGGGGTTTGGCCGGCCAGCAGTGGACCACGCCGTCCACGGCAACATGTATCCTCCATGGCTCCACTATATACACAAGTGTCAGACACGTGCATATTCATCTAGAACAATGGTATGTGTATACACACATGAAAGTCGGTCGATGAGGAAGACGAGGATGGCGGCGGCGGGAGGGTCGCGGGCAGCGTCCGGCACGCCAACATGCATGACTGGCCGCTGGAAATCGCATCGGCCAACGCCGACGAGTGCACGGCGCGGCTCGAAAAGGCACGGAACACAAGGAACAGCACATCCCGTTGATCATGCAAGTCCACGACAAGGCGCGCCGCCGCTCGTCTGGTGTCATCCACACAAGTGCCAAACTCCAACACGAATGCATTGGCATGATGGGCATCCAGTGAAACCTACCGCATAATGCAAGCTCCCGTGAGGATCAAACCATATGGAGATCTTGGATGCACAGTACTTGGACGGACGGGGCGTACAGCGCTTCCAGCGGCGGGAGGAGCGCCGACTCGCATGTTAGGCGGACGCGCTTGTCGTCCAAAAGTAACGACCAAGTGTCCTGCGCAGGATGGATGGATGAGGAACGGGATGTCCATGGAGGAAGATCATGAGCATACCTCGGGCGACCACGCCATGTCCATGGCGTTGTTGCCGCCGCCATCGCCGCAAATGGACACTGGCGTCCGACGCACGTTCTGAAACGAACGAGAATGAACATGCGAGTGAATAGTGGTAGTTGTTGATGAGTACCGTAAAGTATGCCGTGTGAGCGGCAAGCAAGGTTTCGACGCGGGACCGCACGGACGGATCTATGCACGTCTCCCTCCATGAGACGTTTCTTGAGACCAAGATGGGACGTACCTGCGACGAGCGGCCCATGCTCTATACACCCTAGCACGGCGTCGTCGATCTCGACTTGCAGCAGAAGCGACGCGCCAATGTCCTCGGCTGTCGGCTGGTACCAGTCCATGGACGCATGTGGGATGACCGCGAACTCGTCGTCATGGCGCGCGCGGAACCATGTGAACGTCATGTCGTAGCAGCAGTGGCTCAATGGTCGGCCGTTGAACACGGCAAACAGCATCTGTGTGTGATGGACGCCGCCCTGGAAGTGCATGTTGTCCACGATGCATCGAGGATCGCATTCGCCAAGCGCCATGCACCGATCTCGATTGTGCGACGACGACGGCGACATGGACGAGCTGTCACGACGGGGCGGCGACGTGCTCATGCCGTGGAAGCGTTTGAGTGCCTGAGTCGTCCATGTCTTGATGGACATAGCTGGTGTGGACGATGCGGATGGGAACGGGGAGGCGCTTCCGACGACGACGCTTCTTCTGCGGGGCGGACTGGGGGAGCCGCCTGTCATGGGTATGGACGGCGACGTTTGGTTCGAGGAGTGTCTAGGAGATGCTGGCGGCCGTTTCAGATTCTTCATGTCTTCGTTCGTCGTGCCCATCGGTGATGGCGGCGCGGGCGTATCTTTTGAGCGTCTTATCTGTCGCCGCACCAGCCGAATCGCAATCGCCGCCGACCCAAAAATACATTATGGCAAGCAGAGAGACAAAAACACCAAAATAAACACGAATTTCAAACGAAAATGTATGAAAATCTGATCATTTCCCCCAATATTGTGCCAAAAGGCGAATTTGAAACCGTTTCTTCTCTCTGAAACGACTTCCGACCATGTCAGAAGTCCGAGCAAGCACAAGGCGTCCGTGTGCCAGGAAGACGGCTTGGAAAGGCCTGCCATGGCGCTATTTGCAAGGAGGTGGAGATGCAGGCATGGTCTTGTCCTGCATCAACCTCACGATGACGACGAGACCACAGTGATTCGGCATCGAGGTGGGGATTCCGCGAACCGCGGCATGTACTGGATTGATGCTCAGTCTGTTCGATCGCATTGCTCTACCGCATCTCCCAAGTTTTGGAATCATCATCACCACCACCACCACCACCTCTATGACAGAGGCTTGGTTTGGGGATGTATAATCAACTCATAAGCGTTGCTACTGGTGCCCCAACGCTCATTCGTGTCGACATCTATATTTGCATCATCATATTCAATTCTTGTATCTCCTGGGTTCGTTTTCTCCTTGTCCCTTTCTACCACGCCTTCAATGACAGCGTCATCTTAATGTTCATCGCGGCCAGTTCGTTGGCGAGGTATCGGAACACATATGGCATGGCCACAGCCTCGCACCCGTCGCCCGTCCGGCACGTCGCGCACATCCACTGCTGTCGCTCTTTGCTCAGAATGGACTGGTCCGACTGCCCCGCCTCGCTCACCGATGCGCGCGCGGTCCACGTAGACAGCAAGCTGCCGCACTTTGTGCACACGGTCGCAATGTGTTTGTCCGAGCAGTTCATCAATCGATCGTGAAGGAGGAACGCACACCCGTGGGCCAAGAGCGAGTCGCGCTCCATCTCCCCAAACCGGATCCCACCCTTCTTCTTACGTCCCTTGAGCGGCTGCCGCGTCAGCGAGTTCATCGGCCCCGTCGCGCGCACCTGGCTCTTGTCGCTGACCATGTGTCGCAACCGCTGGTAGTACACGACCCCTGTAACACAAATCCCATGAATTTCAAACTTGTTATCCGGTTCCGGATAAATAAACCGGACGTACCCATGTAAATGTCGGCGTGCATGACCGTGCCGGTAAGGCCCGAGTAGAGCGGCTCGCTTCCCATGTAGTTGTAGCCAGCCTTCTTGAGGTACTTGCCGAACTGGTCAATAGCACGGTGTTCTTCGTCAAACTGGAACGGGGTCGCGTCCATGTACTCGCCGCGGAGGGCGCCGGCCTTGGCCGCCATGCTCTCCACGAGCATCCCAATCGTCATGCGCGACGGGAACGCGTGGGGGTTGATGATGATGTCCGGGCTCATGCCAGACTCGGCGAATGGCATGTCAGCTTGCGGCCACAGAATCGACAGCACACCCTTTTGCCCATGGCGAGATGAAAACTTGTCACCGATGATCGGGTTCCGCACGAAACGGAGCTTGATGCTGGCCTTGGTTGCTTGCGCCGTGTTGACGCCCGTGCCGTTGCCGAGCAGGTTGATCTGGTCGATCACGGCCGGCTCCGTCTCCTTGTGCTTGAGGAACGTCTCCTTGCCCGTGGTCTCGTTGATGTGGCACGCAATGGGATCGCCATATTCGACATGCTGCCCGACGTGGGGGAACCCATCGGCGTCCAACTTGGGCGTGAACAAGGTCGTGCCGTCGCCGTCTGGCTGGACGTTGCCAAAGTACGACTTAGTCGTGCTGTTCTCTTTCGGTGCAATGTCCACCTACAGGAATAATATATAAAAAACCCGTCGAAAACAAATAAACACAAGTGCCATTGAAAACTAATAAAAAATATTTCATCTATTGTCGATTTGATACAAATTTGGGGAGTGGGTGCAATCGAATCGCGCCGACCAAACCGATCCACAATCGATCTGATTGGTTGAATTTCATTGGGAAGGTTTTGATTGGCTAATAATTTTGAGCTCATCTGACGTAGCCAATCAAATCGATTTAAATTCCAACGAGAAACCACGCCACAACACGAAGTTTCACTCGAAAGCACAATATTGACGTCCAAAAGATAAATCAAGAAGTATTCAGCCCAATATATATATTGTTGTCCAATCGTCGATTGGCTCAAGAGAAGGATAAAACAACCACCAAAGCCAATGAAAATCACGTTCTGTCGAATTTCTGCCAATCAAAACTCTGAATATCACCCCATTGGCAAAACCCAAGTCTACAACATCCTATATTGTGTATGGTACAGTTTGTACAAGCTAAATGTGCATCATGTGCATACATATACATTCAAACCAATCAACTCATAACTCCAACTTTGAGTGAAAAATATACAATATATATTACCATCACCATATATATATATATATATATATTGCATAGTACCTGAATTTGCTTGTACACGGAGGCATGGCCAAACCCTCGTTCATAGCTCGACTTGTTGAGAATCATCGCGTCTTCCATGTCGAAACCCGTGTACGAGATCACGGCCACGACAGCATTTGTACCTAACGGGTACTCATCGAGCTGAAACTCTTGCAGCCGCTCGTTGTGCACAATCGGCGCTTGGGGCGTCTGGATGCGGTACATTTTGTTGTCCGTGCGGTACGGAATCGAGTGCGCGGGGGTGCCCATCGTCTGCTTGGCCATCTGGCACTGGTACATATTCCGCGGACTCTGGTTGTGTTCACTGAACGGCGTAAGACTCGCCACCAGCGACAGCATATTGGTCGGCTTGATCTCCATGTGCGTCGTGCTGTCGCGAATGTCGGCGGGGAGCACGCCAATATTCATAAACACCTGCTCCATCGGGCCAATATGCTCGATCCACGACGTGTTGCGCTGCTTCACGGGCCGCGTGAACCGCGCCGCGTCCGCCGACAGAAACAGGCCCGGGAACGGCCCGCCTACCACCGGTAGGATCAAGCACACCTCCAGAGTCGGCACGACCCCGCGCTCCTTGCGGAGATGGGACTCTGGCGTGGCCTTGGTGAAGCGGAGCGCGGCTTCGAGCTCGACGCACACGGCCGCGGCCGCCGCGCCCACGAGTTTGCCATTTAGTAGGACCGGAAGGTAGTGATGCGGTGCCACGAACGATCCGTCGCTAAACCCCGTCGATGGAATCATGCTACAAAGAACCACCATATGTGACGCGGTGATTTTTTTCTTTTCGATCCACTATCCACTCGATATATATATATATAGATTTACTCGATATATATATATATATAGATGGAACCACAACGAGACTTGGGGATTGGCAGACACATAGAGACATGTCCATTCTGTCAAGAGCCAATCACATCCACTTAAAAGAATGAAAAGTAGCCAATAGCGTCGATTCGTTGAGTTTCGATATTTATTCGGCAGTTCCGAATCCACAATCACCAAACATAAATCAAGACATAAATATAAAATCAAGACATATATGGAAAAATCAAGATATTAATATTAAAAGCCATACACAAACCATCAGTAGTCAAACGTATGTACCCGAGGTTTGCAAGGAACCGCGCGAGCTTGAGCTCCTCATCGGCGGCGGTCTCGGGAGTGTACGGCGGCGACGTGACGAGCTGGCACTCGACGGCCAAGTGGTTGAGCAGCCCACACGGGGACCCGTCCGGCGTGTGCACGGGGCACATGAACCCCCACGAGTCGGGCAGGAGCTTCCGCACCGTGGTGGTTTTCATGGTTGTAAAGAACTGGCCGCGATGGACGCTGCGAAAGTGAGAAAAGTAGCGGTAGTAGTTGAGCTTTTCCGCCACGACCGTGTACCCCGCCAGCTGCATGAGGTCGAGTCCGCTGGACGTGCGCAGGTTGCCCGTATTCAAAAAGTAAGTCAGCGCGTGACCGATGTTTTGTGTCCGGTCCCACACCTTCTTTAGGTAGGTTGCGTCGACGACTGCGGGCTTGGCTTTGGCGCCTTCGATCTGGCCTTGGATCGACGCTAGCATGTCTTGGAGGCGTTCCTTGAGAATCATCAGGTACAAGTGCCCTGGAAGGAGCAGTTCGTGGTTCATGAGCGAATCCGGGTTGTCTTCGCGGATATCGCCTTTGGCAAATGCATACAGCTTACGCAGCATCAAGCATAGCAACTCGACCTACAACAAGGACGAGATAAGGAGGGAGTGCTCGAGTCGTGGACAGACGAGATACGGTAGGGTAGTTATGGAGAATGAATCATAATGTATACAAGAATCATTGGATTGACCCAATCAGATTGCACCAAACAACCATCCTCCTCCACTTGAATTAGTGTGATACCAACGACACCTGTGTTTATATTCAACGAATTTGGCGCCGAAATGTAGCCAAATTTTGGGTAAAAGGACAATAAAAAGAAAGGAAATGTATGGAGCAGCACTCGTATAAACGCAAATTTGAATAATAAATAAATAACAATATCCTCGGCAACAACGTTGAGTATTATATATATATATATATAAATATTCGAAACAATAATATATTTTTTGGGTTGTCGTCACGCACCTTTTGTGCCCGCCCTTTTTCACCAGGTTGAATATGCACGAAGACATACTCGTCGAGAAATCGGTTGCCCACTTGGATGTTGGTCATGTCCGTCGACAAGTATGGCAGCACATGGCGAAAGTGTTTGCCGAGATATGCCAATGCTTCGTCGCGCGAGTACACGGAGAAGCGCTTGGACTCGCGCAGGATGAGCTCCATGCGGGCCGCCAGGTACGTGTTGTCGACGTCGCCGCGGACGACGCGGTCGTAAATCTCGCGGTCCGTGAGGGGGTACAGAGCCTTGAGGAGGAGCCCCGCGGGTACCATAAACTCCTGCTTGCGCACGCCGAGACGGATGGTGGCGTTCCCGTCGAGGAGGTAGTGCAGCGTCAAGGTCACGGCGCTCTGGTCGCGGCGGACGCAGCGCATGGTGACACCGAGCTCCGAGTACAAGTCGCCGCGCTTGCTGAATGCGCCGCGACGGACGGCCATGATGTGGTGGCGGCGGGGCATTTGCAGCAGCCGCACGCATCGTTCGTTGCCATTGCAGATAAAGTACCCGCCCATTTCGTTGGCCTCTTCGCGGGCTTTGACCAGCTCTGGCGGCGACAGATTGGCCAAGTGGCACCGCTGCGACCGCACCATGATGGGAATGTGGCCCACCGTGCGCTGGAGGTGCTCTGTGGTGGACCCGCCCACGAACGAACGAGCGAGCGTGACAATCAATGGCGCCGTGTACGAGATGCCGCGCTGGCGGCATTCCGCGGGCAGCAATGTCTTCTGCTCACGGGATCTTGCATGAGACACTAGAAGAGGAGGTATGAGGTAGGTAGGTTACCGAGTGGCCGCCCGTGGCGTCGGACGTCGGGTATCCAATTTGCACGCTGTCGATCCAGACAGTCATCTTGTTGCCGTGACCGACGTCAATGGTCAACGGCAAGATGCTGGCCACGGCGTAGTCCAAACCTTCCGACAGCATGAAGTTGAACGAGTCGACATGTGGCGCGACCAGTTTTTGGAGGTTGGCATTCCTACAGGTCCAACACGTGAGAAGATGGAGAGCCGACGACGACGACGTACGTCTTGGGCGGACATGATGCGGCGGCGCTCGTGGGGTTTGTCGCCGGCCATGACGTGCCAAACTTGGCTTTCTTTGTCGACGATGGAGCCATGCTGATGTCGACTTAAGCGTTGAAGCACCAGAGTTCCAAGCAATAAGCCGTGGCGGCGAGTGGTCATCCCGCCAGCCAATCAAAACGCCGCAAAAAATAAACGGTGGCAACCACGGCTACATGGCAGAGCCAATCGTTTGCCTCGAATCAAAACCTCCAGAATTTAATCCTCATTTAATGTCAAAGGATGGAAGGATTGTTTCAACTTTCGACAACTACCGGTTTGTATGTATGGGTGTCGGCAGATGTCCGCCGAAGTTCCCTAGTTCACTGTACAGTACTGAAGTACACTTTACAATACCAATACATAATACTGCGTAGTACTGTGCAATAGTAAGCTCACATGCATTGTATACCGGTAGCTCCTTTGTAGCTGCTCTTAAGATTGTGATAACGTTAAAATGGTTTACAGTCATGACTTCGTTCATCTATTAATAATATAAATGCGAAAATGAATCTGACCCTACAGTAGCCAAAGTTGGTGTCAAAACCCTGCCAACCTCGGATAATGGGTGACCTCCGAATTTCTTGAAAACAAAACAAATATTAATATTATTGTAGTATTTTTTGTACAAGGATTGAGCAAATTATGCCTCAATTGAGTATAAAACGGATGTTACAGTAGTTCATGGACGACTCAACTCAATGTACGTCCAAATAACCAACTTTGCTAAGCAAAACATTATATGTCCAATACTTCAAACTAATTAGCATACAAGTAAACAGTACGAAATTGACTATTAATTATGTATTCAGCGTCGTACGTCCTGAAGTCAGAGCTAATCTGATTGCGCTCTGCCCAATCCCCGGCTCACGTCGTGCAGGGTCATATCATGCGCCTGCCCTGTGCCGCCGACGCAAGTCTGCGTTTACTTTTGAATTCACGCCCATCATGGCAACCGCAGCTCCCGCACTTTTCGAACCTCTCCAAGTCGGCGCCGTGACACTCCGCCACCGTGTCGTCCTCGCGCCTCTGACGCGTTACCGCGCTAGCGCCGTGGAAGGCGACGACGAGAGCATTGCCACGGACATCATGGCGACATACTACGGCCAGCGCGCGTCTCCCGGCGGTTTGCTCATCTCCGAGGCGTCTCCGATCTCTCCCGAAGGCCGACCGAACATCCTGGCACCGTCCATCTACACCCCGTTGCACGCGGCTCGATGGAAGCCCGTGACCGACGCGGTGCACGCCAAGGGCGGATTCATCTTCCTCCAAATGTGGCACGTAGGTGCATGGTCTCACTCTGGTTTTGACGTGAAGGGCCGCCCGCCGGCGTCGTCGGCCGAGTTCGACATGGAGCCTGGCACGGGTCGGTTCAACACCCGCGACGGACTAAAGCCGCGCGACCCCAAGACGCGCATGTTGAGTACCGACGAGATCGCGGAACTCATTCAGCAGTACGTGCGTGCGGCCAAGCTGTCCATCGAAGCAGGTTTCGACGGGGTGGAGATTCACGGCGCCAACAGTTACCTCCTTGACCAGTTCATCAGCGACCACATCAACACCCAGCGCACCGACCAATACGGCGGCTCGTTGGAAAACCGCCTCCGCCTGCCAGTGGAGATCGCAACCGCCGTCGCCGCCGCCATCGGCGCCGACCGCACCGGCATCCGCTTCAGTCCGTACGTGAGCATCCAGGGCAAGCAAGACAGCGACCCGATCAATACATGGACCACGCTACTCAAGAAGCTCAATCCACTCAACCTGGCGTACGTCCACTTGGTGGAGCCCCGGATCCCCGGAAGCTGGGACCGCGTGCCCAACCCCGAGGAGCTCAACTTGAGGCCCTTTCGCGAAGCCTACGACGGCGTCCTGATCGTCGCGGGCGGGCACTCCGCGGCCACGGCGGAGGCGGCCGTCAAGCGTGGCGACGCCGACCTCGTCGCGTTTGGCCGCGACTTTATCTCCAACCCAGACCTGCCCAGCCGCATCGAGCACGGCCACCCGTTCACGCCCTACGACCGCACGACGTTTTACACCCCCGGCGAGGTCGGCTACACCGACTACAAGACGTGGGAACAGCTCCAGTCGGATAAGCACGACACGGCTGCTGACACGAGCGACGTGCCGGCCCCTTAACCCTATGTGTGAATCCATGTTGTCGAGGTAGTAGTACTGTACGCGGTACAGTAACGTTTACACTGTAAAGTTCAAGTACAAATCGCATGCGATTTACCCTGGCTGGTATTTTTCACACATTGAAATGTCCATGTGTACTGAAGGTTTGTAAACATGCGTACGACTTCAAATTGAAGGTAGGCGATACATTTTGAATTATGTATGCTTAATTTACTACGTTGTTTTACGTGCCTGTAAACCAGTACCATAATATGCTTGGTATTTGTATTGTACGTACCTTACCAAAATGAAAAAAGGCAGCAAGCAATCCGATATTTGTAAGCCAATCAAAGCTCTGATTTCAATTCTATTCAACCAATTAAATTGCAAGCTTTCGTCGAGTCATTGCCATCAGTAATCAAACACTGCCTGCGCCTTGATTTGGTGTCATTTTGAGAATCTTTGCGGTTTGACAGGGAAATGGCGACAACTCAGCTCTTCGAACCTCTCCAAGTCGGAAGCATCACCCTTCAGCACCGCGTCGTCATGGCGCCACTCACGTATGATGACACTTCCTCCTCATCTCCATTCTCATGTCACTCTTATATAGTCGGTACCGCGCGCATGCGTTGGAAGACGGCGTGGAGAACGTGCCGTCGGCGATCATGGCGACGTACTACGGTCAACGCGCGTCGAAGGGCGGGTTGATCATCTCGGAAGCGTCTCCAATTTGTCCTGAAGGTCGCCCGAACATCCGCGCCCCGTCCATCTACGATCCGTTGCACGTCGCGAAATGGCGTGCGGTCACCGACGCGGTGCATGCAAAGGAAGGGTTCATCTTCATGCAATTGTGGCACGTGGGTGGGAGTTCCCACTCGCTATTTGACCCGCAGGGTCGAGCGCCACCGTCGTCGGCGTCCTTCCAGATGGAAGGCAATCCCGTCAACACCCCCGAAGGTCCAAAGCCCCGTCAAGTGACACGAATGTTGTCCACCGCCGAAGTCCACGACCTCATCGCACAATACGTCCGTGCTTCCAAGCTCGCGATCGAAGCCGGATTCGACGGCGTCGAAATCCACGGCGCCAACGGGTACATCTTGGACCAGTTCATCAACGACCAAATCAACACGCAGCGGACAGACCAGTACGGCGGCTCGCTGGAGAACCGCGTGCGGCTTCCCGTGGAAGTGGCGGCCGCCGTCGCCGCCGCCATCGGCGCCGACAAGACCGCCATTCGCTTCAGTCCGTTCGGGTCGTTCCAGGGCATGAGCGACAGCGACCCAGTCAAGACATGGAGCACCCTCCTCAAGCTGCTCAGTCCCCTGCGTCTGGCGTATGTCCACCTCGTGGAGCCGCGCATCGCCGGCGGCTGGGATGCCGGCGACGCGCCCGATCCGACCGTGATCAACCTCACGCCGTTCCGCGCCGCGTACGATGGAGTGCTAATCGTGGCGGGGGGGCACTCGGCCGAGTCGGGCGCGGACGTCGTCGCCAGCGGAGGGGGCGATGCCGTCGCGTACGGCCGGTACTTCATCTCAAATCCGGACCTGCCCAGCCGGATCAAGCATGGCCACCCGTTCACGCCGTACGTCCGGGAGCTGTTTTACACGGAAGGGGAGGTCGGATACACCGACTACAAGACGTGGGACGAGCAGCTAGCGGGGCAAGTGAACCCGTCGGTGGCGTCGTAAGATGGTGTTGGCTGATAGAGTAATAGACAAGATGTTTGGGCGGGCGGCGTGTATGTACATATTATGGTGGAGGTGAATAATATGGGACCACGACGCGAATGTATGTGACGACGTCTCGCATGTGACGACGTCTCGCATGTGACAGAGTGCGATGGGATGGGGCGTCGTAGCTGCTAACTACAGTACAGTACTGTACTACCATGTACTACTTCGAAGTAGTACGGATTGAGATGTCACAGTAAACCACCAGATATGATATTATTACCCTCGTTTCTGACCCCTTGGCGTCTCGCCATACTATCGTGTGATCCACGAAAATGGAATGGTCGATTCATTAGCTAGTTAGTACAAATCGGTCTAATAAATCTAGTAATTAACGTTAACGGTAACCAGGTCAGGTTCACCGAAGCAACGCTAACATTATTGCTAACACTGTAAACCCTCAAAAGCACAGATTTCCAGAGATAGAGTTCGTACGTGCAGTACACCTGTATTTATTTATCAAATCATGGTCGTGCAAAAATGGGGGCATGACTGAGGTATTGTGATGGTCCAACGCTAGTCCACCAGTGTAATTGCCAGCTGTACATCAAGCACAGGTGGGTGCCTTTCGCTGCCTAGGTTAGGCTGGACTAACATCCCCATCACTCTGACTTAACATTGATTAGGAATGGATCTCCCCTGCCATACTATTACAGTAGTAACGTTAGTGGCGAGATTGACAGGCACGAGCGTTACAGGTAACGGGCGCGACATTCCATCCGGATATTACCGGATGGAATGCCCCTTGGCCGTTTCAGGTTTAGGTTGAATCCATGCATTGCACACTTTGGAAAATGACTGACGATGGATGTGTCGTGAGTTATGGAGAGCTCGTGGTGTTGGGGTACAGCAGCTACAAAAGAAGACAAGCCACTTCCGCAACCGTAGACAAGAGCCAGTGGGTCCCAGTGGGGGCGCCGAACTGCCACTTTGGCCTCGTGAAGCGACCTGTTGCCAATGCTCTAGTCCCGACGAAAACTGTGCTCGTTGAATCGTCTCTTCAAAAGCGAGCGTTTACACATGCGTTGGACCACGCGTTGCAGGCAACATCGAGCCGGTATGTATGTGTACCCGTCACCGACACCGCGACACTTGTGACAGAGTACGCCCCGTCGACAGCCAACCAAGCAGACATGTTTCAACTGGGGCGGCAGCCATCTCCATGCAACGACTTTGTCGTGCCGGGCCATTTGCATGGCGCCAAAGGCACTGTCGCTCGTTTCACGGCGCGGATCGTCTGTGACCGGACGCCGCCCTACACCTGTCGTGTGTTCGCTGGAGGTTTCGACACGGACCATCAAGTCATGGTCCCACTGAACGCGCCGAAATTCTGCCCCACCTGCCAACAATGGACTTCCACTTGGTCAAGAGACCATGCCAAGTGTATCCTTCCTATGGTATCGACGAGCCATGGTGGTGGCAGCAGTGGCGATGACCTCAAGATCACCGTGTGTGGGATACAGTCCTCTACAGGTTCAACAGCCACGCACACTGTGGATGCGCTGACCCGCAATGGCCTTCGCCTCTGGCGGCCAGACTCCCAAACGTGGGCTGAAGTGTCTGTGCATGGGTCCTTGTACGCTGTCCCCACGGCTTCGTCCAGCACTTCATTCGCGCGACCCACTGGTTCACCCATAACGACGGAAGCTGTGCTAATGCACGGCAGCATTCTAGACATTGGAGGTGTTTACGTCAAGTTTGTCCTTCGTCCGAGCTCAAGACCTGTTACTTCACTGTTGCTAGAGCTAACAACGCTTCACTGTCCAGTGCAGCTGACCCCGCTGCACTTCACCAACCACCACCCACAAGCCAAACCACAACATGTTCCCATCGACAAGGACCAAGTTGTTCCTGCATACATTCCACGTGGCTTGCAGCCGCACGTGTATCCTGCCTGTGGCCACGTGTGTGGATACAACGCCCAAATGGCGTCGTCATGTCCACTCTGTCGCACGCCGAGTTCGCTCGTACCCCTTCAACTCGCCCCGTTGAATGGCCACCGATTAGTCTGTGACGACGTTCCCGGGCTTCCGGGCTACGTGTTCAATCCGTGCGGGCACATGACTGGGGCGACGCTGGCGGCAGAAGCAGTGGCGTTGCGGGTGCAAAGCTCCGGCAAAAGCATCTGTCCGTTCTGTGCAAAGACCCTCGACAGTCTCCGTCCGTACTCGAAATTGTACTTTTACATCGACGACGACGACGATCATCAGCACCCTATGGACACCGTCGGCGCCATAGCATAAACCTCGAGTCATCTATATGTTACTCCTAATAATTATAGTACAGTTGGTTCGCTGTATTATAGTACTAAAAATAGTTGTACAGTACTATTGTAGTACTAATAATTAATAATACAATACTATTATAGTGCAGAATATTCACAACCCGAACGTTATCACAATGTGTGCGGGTTGTTGACATGGCGAGGCCTTCATAGGTCGTCCGTGTATTGGAGAACGGTTCGGTTGAAACGTATCCATTTGGCTGAAAAATGGACCCCTTTAAATTGCAATATATTTGTCAATACTATTAATATATTATCCTTTCTTCTTGGCCGGCGAGTGGGTGGTGGCGGCGGCATTGAACTTGGACGACGGGGTAGGAGATTTGCTGCTGCTGCCTCGACGTAGTCCCTTGAGGGTCTTGAGCTTGAGCTCGTCGCGCGACAGCGGATGCATCTGGTCGGCCTGCTCGACGTTTTCCTCGTCGTCGGATGAATAGTCTTCCAAGTTGGGGGGGTTGATCTGAAGCGGATCGCCGCCCATGGGCGCCGTGGGGCCGATGCCGAGCACAGCGTGCAAGAGATGCGACGACACGCCATGACCTGCAGCCAAAAGTAAATTCAAGTAGAAAGATCAAACGTGTGTCCATATATATATATAACAATCATCACACTAAATAAAATGCAACAACTATTACACGAACGAATAAGCTTTGATTTTACAACATTTTTCAAGCAAACCCCCCCAAAACGAATAAACCCGAGTAACGTTAAAAAGTCAACTGAGTAGATATTGCAGGTGTCGTCACGTCCAAAGTAGTCGCGTATATATATATATATACAAATATAAACGCACACATATCCCATGTATAGCCAGCCTGCCTTTCATATACTGTATTGCCGTACCCGAAGTGTGATGGGCTGCTGCGGCCGCCGCCGCCTCGGGGGGTACGTCGACGCTGGCGTTGCGGTGCTTTTGATACGCGGCGTACACGTGCAGGATTTCGTTTGTGCGCTGTTCGACCATGCCCAGGTACTGCATCATGTTGACTTCTGTGACGATGTTGTCGCCCAGCATCTCACACATGGCTTGGGCGTTACACCCGATCTTGGCAAACAGCGTGTGGATTGCCAGCTTGACGGCGTTGATGTTCTTTTGCGCGTCGTTGTACTTGGTCTCGTACTTGTCGGCCGCGTGCTCGGTGCTGGACAGCTTCGACTCGAGCTCTTTTAGCAACTGCTTGTGTTGGTGCGCGTCGTCCCCGGTTTCCTCCGAGTACTTGGCCTCTTCCGCCTTGAGCGACTATCGTATTACATAGTTTCAACAGTCGGCAATGTTAGTGTGGGGATATATATATGGGATACAATTTAGAGGAATAGTGGGGGAGGTAGGGGAATATAAGGAGGATGCAGGGGGAATGCAGGGAAATGAAAGGTGCATCGGATAAACGTAGGGGGGATGCAGGGAAATGTGGGGGGGTGGCAGGGGGAATGTAAGGAAACGCATATCACCAAATCGGCAGACCATCGATCGACCAATATCAAAACCTTGATCACGAATCAAGTAGCCAATCATATCCACTCTTGGGCCAATGCAACATCGAATTGGTGTGTGACACTGGACGATATTGTACGTACAAAAGTCAATCCAAACAATAATCGATCAATTTGGCAAAAAGTCCGCTCAAACGTCAGCCTTTACATTTGGGGTCAAAGGGACAATCGTACGTCGATGTAATCTTGCAGCTTTTCAATCTCGTTGGTCTGTTCGTTCACGTAATTGAACAGCGAAAAGTTCTGATCTTCGTTCTTGATAAAGGTCGTGACCAGCTCCTCAATGTCGGCGATGCCCGTGGCCGCTTTAAGCTTGGCAAACACTTCCTCGTAGTTTTGCACGCGCTCGACGCTCACTTGGACGTGGACTTTGTCCTTGACGGCGCCCCACTGCTGCCGCTGCAGCTTTCGTTTCAACGTGTCGTCGTCGCCCATATGCGCGGCGCTCTCCCGACGCTGGGACTCGCGGATCTGGGCTTCCCGGGCCAAATCAGCCCGCCGCTTGGACTCTTCGATCTTGTCCAAGAGCTCGCCAATCTGCCGACGGTGTTCGTCGGCTTCTTGCCGGTTCACTTGGTCGATGGCTTTGATTTCCATCTAAGTCGAACAGTATGTCCATAACGATATAGTTGTTTTGGTTGTTATGTAGTCTATGGTGTTGAAACGACGATGATGATGATTCTGCCGGCCGGTTTGATGGTCATATATATATATATATATATATATATGATTGTATTTGAGAAAAACGGAATCATAAACAGTAACGTGGATCGATAAAAAAGAAGAAAACAACATCACCCGATATGGTCTGTCAAAGTCTAGTTTGGATGCAATCGTCAAGGCAGACATTTCAATCCGATTATATATACATATATATACATTGACATCTCAGTCTCCAACAGAGAAATATATAATAATTCATACTTGAGCCGAGTCGCGCTGTTCGTAGCTGAGGTTGCTTAGCTCAATGATGTTGGCCATCTGCTTTTTGCGCTCGTTGTGGTCCTTTTCGAGTTTGCGGTAGATGTTGTCGAAGATCATGCGTTCCCGCCGGAGGTTGTCAATCTCCTCGCGAAGGATTTTGTTCTGGGCGAGGGCTTCATTGAACTTGACCAATGACTTGTCGAGGCGGTTCTCGAGGATGCGGATCTGCTTGTTCACCATGTGATGGTTCTCCTTGGCGGCGTTCACCCCGCCCATGTGCTTCTTCTGGTGCAGCACCTTGTGCTTCATGATGGTGATCTGCTGGCCCAGCGTGTCCGAGTGCTTGGTCTCGGCAGCGATCTTTTTGACAAACGTGTCGATCTGGTCCTGCATGCGGTTGATGCTCTCCTGCTGCGCGGTCGCGCTCGACTCGGTGATGTGCCGCGTCGCCAACGCCAACTCGTTCTTCATGTCTTCGTTGTCCCGCTTCAGTTTTTCAATCACAGTCTGCTGCCGACGCATCACCTGATGCGACTCGTCCGAGTACGACTTGCGGTTCATCTCCATGTTGCGGTACTCCCGTTGGAGGAGCGAAAAGTCCACGCCGCCTGGAGCACCACCGCCTCCTCCTCCCTTCATGGCGTCCATCGTCTCGGGAAGGCTGGCTAGGCGCAGTGGAAGCCGAAACTGCTGCGGCCGTTACGAAAGTACGATAACCGGATACTGAAACAGCAGTAACTTCATATGATTCCGGATAACTGGTTCACCTGATATAGATGAACCATCTATTATTTAAGAAGAGCGGCATAGGGTTCCGGATAAGATTACTTCGAAGCAAGTGGTTTACCTTATACAGATTTATCATCTATTATTCAAAAAGTAAATGAATTTCAAGTTTATTGCGTACTGAGACAGGCAGTCATCCGGATACTCTTGCTATGCCCAAAATAATCGAAGCACGTCCAAGATCGGACGGACAAATGGCTACGACGGAGGCCGACGTGCTGGGTCGGTATGAGCGCCGCCTCACAGAGAAGTATCGGTTTGGGCTGCATGTGATCATAGACCACATGAGCTGCCTCGTGAGTTTGCTCCACCACGCACAGACAGAACTGAAGAGCCTCGAAGCGCTGGCGCAGAAGAAGCTACCGCAAATGCTGCCCTTTTTGAACCTAGTGCACGACAAGATCAACGTTGTAACTCAGGCGACGCCGCTGTTCCTCGGGTACGACCACTTGCTTGCGTACATCAAGATTCTGCAGCAAGAGAAGCAGAGCTTTGACCCGCGTCCGCAACCGTGGAACGCACTTCGTCTGTACGACACGGACTACCAAGGTCCGTGGTCCACAACCTCCACCTGCTAAGCCTACAACTACCCGACTAGATCAATTTGCGACCAAAGTAGACGTGTTTACAACGTTGACCCAAGAGCTCGACGTCCACGTGCGTGAATTCCACGTCCAAGTCGAGCGGCATGCATCGTTGCTGCAACTGCTATCCCAAAAGCGCGAGGTGACGTTATCGTTATACCCCGAACTAACGCTACACAAAATGACGTTATCCACCACAACCAACCCAACTAGGCCATGTACGCCATACTTCAACAAGTGCAAAACCAGCAACTTCCGACCAACCTGAAAAAGCACAAGGCCGAGCTCAAGGGACTGTACGAGCGCAGCCTCGTCAAGTACAAGCAAGCGCTGCAGGCCGGTCCCATCAAGCTGGAGAAGCAGATCCAGCATGAGATCCGCCACTTCACCGCGCACTTGCGGTCCATGGTGCTGCCCCACTGGCGCGTCTGCCACACCGTCCGCCGCGCCAACGCCGAAGTCTCGCCAGAGAGTCCGCTCTCCAGTCGACAGCTTGAGCTCGTTGAAGCATTCATTTCGGTTGTGATGCACCTGCACGACCACGTGGGCGACTTTTGCAGGTACAATAGATACAATAAGGCCTTTCACACGTCCACGACTATTACGTGTGGTGGCCTTGATTTATTGATATATATATATAGAAGTATGTAGATTAGAAAATATATTAATATTGGTGGGTACGAATAATAATCATAGTACGGCCATGAAGAAACAAACGTTCTTGGACCAAGTGACTGCGTTTGAAATGGTTGCGACGAATGTACGTACGTGTGGTAGTTTGTATATATATATATATAATATATATATAAATTCTGTGGGTCTTTGGATGGCATGTCGTGTATATACTTTATATTATATATATATATTGGATTTTTGGTTTGGTGGTTACCGTGCTTGGTTTGTGACAGGTGTCAGGTTGACCGTAACGAATGCATAGTTCAAGCGACAGGCCATGTACATAAGTAGTTATATATAATATATATATATATCGAGTCACTTTATATAAATATATATATGTATATATATATCCAGTCACTTTATATATATATGATTGGTGTTGCACCCGTGAATAACTGGACTTTTAGGACTGGTTTGTCGTGTGTACGAGCCCGTTAAAGTTGAATTTCCACGAGCCACTAGACCAGCCTCTGTTTGGCGCGTACTGCGACGACCTCCAGCACCGCATGAACGAGCTGCATGTATGTCTGCTACGATATATATGTCCACTACCATATATAGTATATGGAAACGTGTTTTTCATATCGGACGATCCACAGACGTTGCGGAATTCCAACAAGTTTCAGTCGGCAGTGGCGCATTGCGAAGGTATGAAATATTATTAATTCGCCTGCAGATATAAGTCACATTTTTGTAAAAATTACCGTAGCGAGTCGGGTGGACGTGGGTCGGTGCTTTCTCAAAGTGGAGCACTCGTACGTACCGTAAAGTGATTTCCTGGCGTTGTTGCTCCATATACACAGTATATTGCAACGGCAGTTGGATCTAATTGGATTTGATTGGGGGATAGAAGACACACATACAAGAAGGACTGGTCGAAAGAAGAAGTGATGGCGGCGCTGACACTTGAAATCCAGGAGCTCGCGGCTGCGGATGGCCTCGTCGTGTAGTTGAGTAGATATTTTTCAAAGATAAATAATAAATATTCCTTGGAGGCGATTATAAACGATGAGCTGATGTGTGGGAAAAATTCTACTAGTACTTGAATTTTGATATTTTGGTCTGGTGATATATTCTTGTTTGAAGAGATTTTTCCTGAATCGATATATCTTTGTGCGTCGGGGTAATAATATATGTATTCGCCGCGGTAGCTTACATTCTCTTTCGATTCATATCGCGTTTATACATAATTTTAACATTGGGGATTGATCTTTGTCGGTCGAGATGTTATGTACTACTACTACTACCTCCGATTGGAAATGATTGATAGGTTTCACTTTGGTGACACTTGAAGAACTGTATCTCAGTTAAAATCTTCAGGTAGAGAATTTCACTAGAAATCCGATTTTAATCCTTAGAGAGTCCTAATTAGAATATCTTAAAAGTTAATCGATCAGGAATTTCACTACGCTTCCGAATAATTTCTGTACACCGATTTCTCCTGAACTTATCTGGTTATAGAGGTTTAGGTGGAGAAGTGTGGTACAGCAAATGTGACAATACCTGTATAATATAATAATCCTTGTACGTAACCGGTAAACCTATCTATCAATCATTTCCAATCCGAGGTAGTAGTTACTACTCCGTTCCGAAATACTGTCTCATTTCAACTTTATCACAGTTTTTGTGGCATCCAGAGTGGTTAAGGGCCACTCTGGATGCCACATAAACTATCAGAAAACACAACTCTTTTTGCAACTTTCAGAAATATTATGACAAGTTTTGAAACGACAGCTTTTGTGTGTTTGGGTCCCAAATCTTGACTTTTATATATATTCACATAGTTCGTCGAATTTTCACTATTTTCTGACAGAAAATAGTTTCAACTGCTTAATGTTTACTACGTGATATTCCAGCAATAGCTCTCATTCCATCATGGTTGTATCAAGAGGTCACATTAAACGAGTTCACCTCCCATTGGTAAAGGGAATTCTTATCAGAATATTATTTTACATCAAATTTTCTGCGGCATCCAGACTCGGCCTAAATCAAAAGCATACCTCCAACAAATTTTAAATAAAGCACTATATATATTAGTAGTATGAAATTTTTCCCACTTCAGCTCAACTTTCACGATTTCCCGCAGCCTCCTCTTTTTTACACGATTTAGAAAGTGACGCCAACGATCCTCATATGGTATTGTGAGTTGCATAAAATATCGCAGGAAAAGTGGTTACACTCGGTGAAAAATATTATAAATATTTATTATAAATATAACAATAATAATAAAATAATCCACAGGGCTGAAAAACGAAGTAGACTGTCATGGTGATGGAATTATACAATGCAGTAGGGCAGTGCGTACAGATTTCACCAAGGGAGAACCTGTGTGATGACAACGTCGAGTATTATTTGAATTCAAGAACCAGCTAAGCCAATCAAACCCCGTTCTGTCGAATTTCTGCCTGGATATCATAAAAAGAATGCAGGGATGCGATTGGCTTTTTCGCGAAATTTCTCGAATTTTCATTGGCTGGTTCTACCTAGAACCTTCTCGAAACCAATCCAAACTAACTTACCTGTTGGGCACACGTAGTACTAAACCTGGTATAGTATATAGTTTGTGCAAGCTGAGAATTGCCTCAAAAGCTTTTTGGCGAACTGTCTCAAACGTCCAAAATTGGAGTGAATATATCTGTACCGTTATACTAGTATCAATCACTCGTTGGAACATATTTTACGCTTTTGCTGGGTGGTGGTCCGTGTGGCTACATTCCGTATTGCGTACGTACGCAATTCGAAAATGCTAATTGTGGCGATGGTGAATGCGACGATCAATTACTAGAGGGAGTCAATATAGGCATGATATATGTGCATGGACCTGAGGTGTAGTCTGGTTTCACATCGAACAAACTACTAACGTAAACGTGAACTTGTACTGGAGAAGCCGTTAGTCGCTGGCTGGTCAGTAGCCCAGGTTTTATGCACTAGTTACATCCACCATCATGTAACTTCCGTTGCAAGAGAAGGGATGTGCCCACTTCAAGTAGGGAGAAGCTCTCCATAAGTGCTAACGTTGCATGTGCAGCAAGGAGTCGCCACCCACGCCATCGATGACATGGCAGCGTCCTCTGTCAAGTCCGTCAGCGCATCTTAATCTGTCATGAGTACTACGTAGTATTATACTACTGTAGCCCAACATAACGTGTCATGGCCTGTGGCAGTGTGACGACGCCTCAACCGTGCTGAATGCATGTCGAAACATCGCATATATATGCACCAAACGCATTCAAATCAGGGTCATACGCAGTCCAAGTCAATGTGAAACCGTGACGCCGCCGCATCACGACCACAAGCCTCGATTGGACCAATCAGCGGTCGCCGATTGTTCGTTCGCTTTTCGCAGCCACAATCGCCCGTCGCGTCAACAGGTTCACCGAGTGCCTTCTGTACCACAGAAAAATACACAAAACAATGTACATACATCTTGGCTCATTATTCGAAATGACAGCACTAACGTACCCCAATATTACCCCCAGCAACAGCAGCCATCACCACCACCACACCATGACCGCGCATCAAATCGGCGTCGTGTTCAATCCCACGGGGGGCCCGTTCACACTCATCACAAGCTTCATGCGCGGCAAGCGCGCCATAGACTGGACGGACGCGTATACTATCCTCAAGGCGGGCCACTCGAGCCTCCTTCAACCTTCCATGATCACCCCCGCCACCATGGACGCCGCCGCGGAAGACGGCCGGCTGGACATTGTCCAGTATCTCCACGCGCACCACAATGGCGTCGGATGCACCACCGACGCCATCGACTTCGCGGCGGGCGAAGGACATTTGGAAATCGTGAAATTTCTACGCCAGAACCGGTCCGAAGGTTGCACCGAGCAAGCGATGAACTTCGCCGCAGCCGGGGGCTTCTTGGACGTGGTCGAGTACTTGTACCATTGCACAAGCACGTATGACATTTCCCACGCCCTTTTGTACGCCTCAGACTTTCGACAAAAACAGGTGGTGGAGTGGCTGGAGTGTCAGCCGTGCCGCCGCCACCCCCTGCTTGACAGCTGCAGCATGTATACTCACGTGGATGTGGTCGTTGCACCCCTCAGACGAAAGACATTACTGGGCAAACTGAAAGCTATGTTGGACTGGAACATTGCGCCAGACTTGGCGCTGTAGTAACAAGCCCCGTCCGTACACTTTAATATATCGTAATTATTGAATCGAGCGTCATCAGTACGAACGTGCGCCTATAGTCCTCATTTATTCGTTCGAACTCAAAGTCGTCGGCGGTATGCAACGAGTGTATCGGCAACTCGAGTTTATTTATAGACCCACGCGAGATGGGGCCCAAGCCGATGCCGCCAGCGAAGTCCAAGCAACTGTCCCCGTCCAAAGCAGCTGCAACCACAAATACAGGCTCCATTAGTAAATCCCCCCCTTCCAAAGGCAAACAGCCTGACATGAAGTCGGAAACTCTTCCAAAGATCACGACCCCCAAGGCGGCCAGCCCCACCAAACAACCCACACCCAAAGGTACGTACGCATCTTTGCATGATAAAGGTCCAAACCTTCAACTACACCACGTGTAGCCTCGGACACGAATGCCTCGACTGCTCAAAAGATGCCAAGCATCGACACTCGACCTATATCTGTCCAAAAACTCACTGAAGTGGCCGACACTAGTATAGCTCCAACTGACGTAGCTGAAATCAGCGTCGTCAACACGGAAGAAGCATCCTCCTCCAACGCTGCTGCCGGCGAAGTGGCAGTAGTGGCTGCACAAACAGCAGAAGCGCTGGAGGCCACCGAGCAGGACCATGGGGAAGGTGAAGCAGCAGCGCTGGCCAGGCGGCAGCATGGCCGCGTCGTGCTAAAGTACGAAATGTACAGCGAACAGTTTGACATTGCACAGGGAAGCACCACGGCCGCCGTCGTTGACGACGCGTATTGCTTGAGTTTTGTGATGCCCCAATGTCGCATCCACCTCTCAGAATGGGACCCCCCCACGAAGGTCGAAAAGGAAGGCCACGTAGACGTGTTTGTGCGAGAAGACCCCGTCGGAACGTACCACGGACTCGAAGCAGACAGGACGTACTATGTCTACATTGAGCAGGAAGCCGACCAGTTGGCGCGAGATCAAGCGGCGATGCGGGCCACTGCCGCCACGATGGAAGGTGCGGCGTCGATGACCAAGGCTGACAAGAAGGACGACGATGGGCGGGGGTTCGAGAGCTGCAGTTGCGTCGAAGGCAATCCTTGTGTGGACGAGTACGGATGCAAAGATTGGCACAATCGGTATGCGATTGCCATGAAAAATGGCTGGAAAGGCTTCTGACGACAATAATATGAAGTTGTTTGGAGGTCTCTTTACTATGTAGCCATCAGGGTATGCATGTTAGTGCTGTACGAAGTGTCATCCATGCAGGACTATGTACTGCATAGATGCAGTGACACGCGATTGCAAAGCGCCGTGGCTACAGAGAGCTCAGAAGTTCCCCAGTTCACTAGGCTGACGCCATGGCAATGTAGACACATGCATATTCAGCTGAAGGAGGCAATCAAAGACAAGTCATATTTGCCAGGATCTATACTATTAATAGTAGGTATTGTTGCGATCTTGTTGTGAAAGGTTATGTAGAATACGTGTGGATTGGCTAAAATAATATTTGAATTTACCAATGAAATCCATGAGTTTCTCGTGTGATGTCCACACCAAATGCCGCAACCGCCGCTCGCCGGCGACATGACGAGTTTGTGGCCTTCCTGGATCGGATAGGATACGAGCCTCAAGGGCGGTATGCCAAAGCTGGCAAGTTGCGACGTGAGGACGTCGAGACGTTGATGCAAGGCGGGGCACTGGACCACATCTGGTCCTGGGTCCAACACAACATAAAATCCACCGAGGACATCAACATGCTTCGGCGCAACCTGCACGTGTCTCATCAAGCGATGACTTCTCCGTACGTTTAGAAAGTCCGTGAGTCTACCGAATCTATATGTCCTGACGATGCGTTACTTGTAGGGATGCCATGGAGCTCAAGAAGAGGCGGATCGCGGCGCTCACCGAGAAGAGGCGACTCCTTCATGACGCCGTTTCAAAGTTACAGGCTGAAAACAAGCAAGCTATCGCCAACTTAGTTAGTGTAGAGCAAGCCATGACATCTATCTGCGACCCTCCCATCCAAGCGCTTCTTGAAGACACATATGTGCTACAGACCCAGTATCGGCATCAAGAACGAGCTATTGCTGTCCAAGACCTTCACACAGTGCTCACACCGCCACTTGCCTCCCCTCCATCGCAATCCCATCAATCAGCCGTCGTCCAGGACGCCTTGCGTCGTCTAAAAGACTTGCTGAAGCAGTCACGACCCCACCAGCCGTCATCATCTCCGCGGCACCTACTGCCACGCACTGCATCCACCGACAAGACAGTTCAGGTAACTACAACTACTATGCACTACTACAAGCTACTACTCATTTAGTATTACTAAACGCCACCTTCCTTGTACTACATTTTTGCAGGCGGTGTTGCAATTACCGGGCAAAGTCGTTTTGGACGAACTTGAAGCTAGTACTACGTCAGCAACAACAAACCCGACACTGGCCCCGTTGACGCCTTATCGTAACCGACATACATTGCACGACATTGAATCCCAAGTACAGCACCACGTGCATCACTTGTACGAACAACTGGCCCGTCGCCAGCAAGAGTGCGACCACCTCCTTCTTCACGTAATATCCCCCCCACCGCTTTATACATGTCGATCTGCATCTTGTCAAGCATGGCCATAGAACACTCCTAGTCCATGTGGAGTCTCGCCGTGTGCAGCAACTACCTCGGCAACGAAACTCGAGTGGCTGCAATCGTACGGAGACGAGTTGGTGTTGGAACTCAAGTCACTGGACGCCGCCGCCGCCGCTGCCGCCGACCACATGTCTGCCATGGCATCGTTTGAAACTCGACTGGATCATGCACACACGAGCGTGGCGTCTGCGTTTCGAACGAACCGCGCACTGGTGGTCGACATATTAGACCGCCAGAGCAAACTGCTGCTGTTTCTGCAGTCCGAAGTCGTGGATGCATTCAAAGTGGGCAGTTATTAGTTGGAAACATGTTGAGCAGGAATACATATCTATGGTGATGATGGAGTAGGGACTGAGACAAGAGACCCAGGCGGCACTGGACGATGTCATTCGACGAGAGATCGACAGATCGAGGGAGATGCATGAAGAAGCAGACCTGGAGGTGCCATCAAGAACACTCCATGGACATGCAAGCGTGAGGAATAGTGCAATCATGCAACGCCACGAAGATACAGCCATGTCGAAACTCCACATGAGGTTGGTAAATGTTGGAAATGATTCTGGAAATTCAATCAAACTTCAAAAAGTAAAATAAACTTGAAAAAGGGTTTAAATTTGAGGCCGAAAATGCATCATTTTGAATGAAAATACGACATTTGTGAAAATACCGATGAAAATATATCATTTTGAATGAAAATGACATTATTTGTAAAAATACCTTTGTTTTTGATGAAATAAATGACAATTTTTAGCTTAGTGGTTAAAAAGGGACGTTTACTTTGAAGAAAATGGACAGAAAAATTGCTATCGGCCAAAAACTTGACAATTGTGTATATAGTGTGCGCAAACTGGAAGCGGCAAAGGCCGCGTTTGACGCGTTCCTTCAGTCGTCGCCGTGCTTTACGGTTCTGTCGTGGGAAGGTAATGTCGATGGCTCCATGATAATCATGGCTGTAGTAGCATCCCCTGACGATCCAACGATGATACGTGAATGTAGAGCTATTGGAGCAAGTGCGAGAAGTGGATGCGATCGTGTCGGATGAGATGTTGCCGGACATGGGTCGCATGGAGGAAGCTGCGGCCGAGTTGCTCTACACGAAGCTTCCTGCGCTGTTTCGTGCGATACACAACTGGACCGACGAGCCCGCAAAGGCGTATGGCGCAGACGGCGCCCATCGGCCAGTGGAAAGATGTGATTAGAATGAATCGATGTAACGTTACGAGGTTGCATCTCATGTGTTGTTCTTGTCGGTGGGCTTGGTGGCGGCGGCATGCAAGTCCAGAAGCTTCTTCTTTTGCTGATCGTCCAGCAGCTTGCGCGTGTCGGCGCTGAGATCTTGTCCAAAATGCGTCTGCCGTTCTTGCAACATGGTTCGGTAGTTTTGCCATTCCGTGAGGAACCCGTGGACGAACTCAGGCTTGGCGGACTTGTGCAGCTTGAACTCGTCGCGGACATACCGATCCCCTAGCACACGCATGACAGGCTCTAGCTTTCGTCGATGCAGACGAAGGATATCGCGGTAGAGTCCCAACACTTGCGACCGCTGCGGCTGCATGTTGTCGCTGCACCCTTGAATGAATGCCACCGAAATACGGCACTTTTAATTATAATTAGTATATATCACAGTAAATAGCGATGTTTTGTTTGACTGTATGACACACTACTTTGTATTTTAATAGCTTATCCGGATAACTACGATTGTGGTTGGCTTTTTTCCGGATATGTAAGGCGCGCAAAACGCTGCGAAACCGACAGTTCTCCGTATCATGGCCTTGAGATCATCATGACGGAAGCGCTGAACGACGTGAAGATGGAGATAGATATTGACCCAGAGAAGCTAAGGAATCGAAGGAAGAAGCGGGACTTTTTACAGCGACGCGACGATGTGCTCAAAGGTGTGGGGGCAAAAGCCGCAGAACTGCGTCGGCGGCTCTTCAACCGGCGCACCATTGCCAAGGCAAGTATCGCGAACTTGCCGATGATGCAACAAGCAAAGAAAGATGCCCTGGACGTTCGGCTGGCGTTGGTGGAACATGACGTGAAGACACGCATGATCGACGCGCATACGCACCAGCACTTCGACTTAGCCGAATCCGTTCGGTTTGTGATGGAGAAAGTACAACACGTGCTGTTGAATCACGTTGCCATGTAGGTACTTGAGCCAGAACCTTCAGCATTCGACCCGCAGTGTCCGTGATAACACGTCGACGCTGGACGACCTCGCTCGCCGGGTCGAGTTCATGCAACACGTCAACACAAATTCTGCCGTGGTATCCTCCTCCTTTCTACGTCGTTATGCGGCGCATCATCTTCTCTTAGTACGGATTTTCGGGTGTGTAGTTTACCCAACCGCCAGCAGTCGATAAAGTGATGCAGGAAGTAGTGGCCAAGTACACGTCCTTCCTTCCCCTGGAAGCATGCGCCACGTGCGGCAAAGTCCTCGCCACATCGGCCCTCCGTGCAGTCCACGAACCATATTGTCGCGGGATTCTCGCCCGGGACTTGCCTCCGACGATGCATCGATGTGTGCTGTGTCATCGCGTGGTCAAGGCGGACAGGATGACGCATCATGTGGAGCAATGCCAGCGCGACTGCGACCGCAAAGCCATCATTTGGTCCAAGTACGACGTCAAGGGGCAGCCGCCCCAACCCCCCACGGATTTGCGTGTGGTGCAGACGTCGTACAGCTCGATCTCACTCGCGTGGAACCCCCCCATGTTCACAGCAGGCCTCGACCTCGTCGACTTTCAAGTACAGATGCACGTGCTCGTCGTGGAAAAGTTTCAGACCCTCAAGCATCGCCAGCACGAACGATCGTTCCAGCCGCTTCTTCCGCACGTGTCCACGTCACAGTGGAACGCGCGGCTGCGGCCCGTGGCCTTGCATGGATGCACTATTGACCACCTCCCCGCCAAGACTACGTTTGGCCACTTGAGTGTACGATGCCAAACCAAGAACGGGTGGAGTGCCTGGAGCGACCCAATACATGGTGATATCGTGACCAAAGGTGTGTTATTACCCGCAATTTTCAATGCAAGTGGTTATGCATAGTCTGAAGGCCATGATGGTGATAATACTTGCGGAACTCTATTCTATTGTGTGATTGACTTGGCTTGGTTTTGCCATATGTGGTGCTTGTTTTAGATCCGGTGCCCCCCACACCCCCGTTGTTCCTATCGGTGGGGCTCATTACCGTCGACAGCATCGCATTGAGTTGGCTGCCCCCGTTCGACTGTGGCGGAGAACCCGTGGACGAGTACGTGGTATCGTTTTCAGGCCTTGTGCAAGTCCAAGATGGCCGAGACTCTATCGATTTGCGTGCGGCCGAGCTCAAAGCCTTTACAAGGCGCGTCAAAGTAGCTCGATCCGATCAAAATCCCCCAAGCAACGACCTACTTGGCGTCGAGAAAGATGGCGCCCAAGTCGTGTGCTGTACCATCGATGGCCTGCGCAGCGGACAAGCATATTCGCGGCTGCGCGTGTGCGCCGTGTCGGCGTCGGGGTTGATTGGCCAGGAATCCCCGGAACTAGACCCCGTGCGAACCTTAGGTACACCCTACGTCCCTTCAAACTTCTATTGTTATACGGATTCAGATATTTGGGGTGACCTTGAGCATATCATTTTCAACGAGTAGTATGCCACATGGATAGCGCTTGTGTGATGAGATTTATATATATATATATATATATATATGTGCACTTTTGTATGTTGCCAATATCACGTCGTCGTCGAGTATAACTTTGTGTTTATTCTTTATTAGCTCATGGCAAGGAATTGCAGCTGTTGGCCGAGCTCCAGGAAGCCATCAACAGCCCTGCATCGTACATTGACTCGTCGTTTTACAACGGGTTTGTCCAGCGATATGACCGCAAACATTACATTACACTGGTGGCCGACACGATCAAACTGCACCATCCAGCGTTGAGCCACCGCGTGGACGCAATGCTGCCTGTGGACAGCGACTCTGAGTCGGAATCAGACTCAGACGCGTCCACAGCGTCGTCGATGCCTTCTGGTGACCGTGAGAATGCCGCCGTGATGCTTTTGTCTCCTGCTTCTTCAACCCCACCAAAGCCCACATTATGTGCAAACTCGGACGACGGAATGGACCAAGCCAATCAAAAGCGACTGGACAAACAACATGTCCGGCGTAAACAGTTTCAATACCGACTCCACCAACTACGCACGCACGTCGACACCCTCGAGTACAACATTCAGTGGGCCGACGACCGATGCATCGTGCTCGTGTCCATGATCGAAGCCGCGGAGCGTCGCATAATGGACAAGCAAGCCGAGCTGGAGCGAGCGCGGGGGTTTCAAGGGCCAGCCATGGATTCACTCGCCATGCACGGTACCTTAGCCTACTTTCAATTCCTGCGTGTCATATATATATGATACAGCATGCCAGGCTCATGTGTGTTCTGTAGGGGGGCTGCAGCGGTTTTACACCCCCGCGTTGATCACGGCGCTGGAAGAAGAGTTGGATATTGAAAAATATTACATCGTTGACACCAAGGCCGACTTGCGCGCCGTGGAGGACCAGAAGAAGGCCGACATGGGGATGCTGGCCGTGAAAAAAGCCCAAATCGCCGCTCGTGTGACAGCGTTGGACGCGTTCGAGGCCGATTGCGAGTTTGACCAGTTCAAGGCTGCCCAAACCGCGAACGTTCTGCTCAAGTTCAAGTCGAGGCAGCTGAGCTACGTCTTTGACACGTGGCGGCGGCACGGGCGTCGGCGCCGCGCCAACCGCGCTGTCATGTTCAAAGCACTAACCCGACTCGTATTGGTCAAGGTGTCGAGTGCGTGGCACCGATGGCGGCAATGCATCGACGGCCTCCGAGACCAAGATGCGATTCGCAAAGACGTTATCATCGGCAAGGGTGGCGTGGACTTGAAAGGCGCGCACTTGGCGCGCACACACCTCCAAAGCGACTTGTATTCTATGCTGCACGAGTGCCGCCAACTCACGGGCACATTGGCCGCCACGACGCACACCATGAGCCAAAATAGCAGGACCCGCACCAACGTATTTGCCAAAGAACGGCAGTCCCAACAACTTCGCGGTGTGTTTGTCGAGTCCAAGGTACTAACTACTACTAGTAACTACTACCTACACGTTGTAAAAGGACAAGGCGAACAACTGTCAGTTTGTGTGTGTACGACAAGGTTCATGTAGACACGGAAACTGTTGTAGTGTAGTTGAATGTGTTCATGTGCGATACTGCTGTATGATACATGTCCATGCAGTCGTGTTTATGGTGGTGGATGGCTGTATATGTGACACTGTAGCAGCGCTGCTCATAATGTTGTACATATGCTGTAGGTGCAAATGTCGTTGCGCGACCAAGGAGATGCCCAGTTGGACATTGGTGACTACGACGCTGCCATCAAAACGTACGACTCGTTACTTGACAACTTGCATATTGTATCCGTCGAGTACACATTACAAGCCTCGAAATCATCCCGTTCTTCTTCTTCGTTGGTACCTCATTCGTTGCGGTCCATTCAGGTAAACATTCAATATCCAAATTAGGAGGACTCATGCATCCAGACGACATGTAATCTATCGCATATTATATATATACGCTTGTGTGATGAGTTTTATATATATATATATATATATACCATATACTAGTATTGCATCTCTTAATGTCCTCGTCATGATATATACAAACGTTTGTGTGCGTTGGTTCTTAGACCCAAACAAGCCAAGTATACAACCGACTAGGACGTGCGTATTTCCTTTTAAAACAGTATGATCGGTCGGCCAACTCGTTTGAACGGGCGAGTGGGATCGCGACGATGTTGGGCGACCCGATCGAAGGGGGGGTGGCCTTCCGAGGACTCGCAGACTGCCACGTGGCCAGCCGCGATTGGTCGACGGCATTGGACTTGTATTTGAAAGCCGCGGGGATGTACGAAGACGTGACCGACGTCGGCGGCGAAGTCGCCGCGTGGCGTGGCATAGCTTTGTGCTACCGCGAGATGGACGCCGTGGATCTGGCCGCAGACGCCACCACTAAGGGCGACAGCCTCGAATACGCGCTCGACCAGACGATGGAGCACATGGAGCGGACGCTGGCCCAGCTACATGCGCGGCTCGTCGGGGTCACAGTCAAGATGTCGGTGGAATGCACATGCGAGCGCGTGGGGGCGATCGTGCCGCGTCTGCGCCAAGAACGGCTGCAGTGCAAAGTGGGGATCATGGACGAACAGAAGGTGCTTGACGCCCTAGATATGATGCTCGACGAGAAGAAGGCGCTGCGTGCGCAAGCAGAAGCCGATCTCGAGACAAGTGAGCGGACAGACTCTGGGTTTGTGGACTCGACTGTGTTCTTGGGCGTGTCGACGCGGTACACACTCGACGACTTCAAAGCCAACGTCCAGAAACTGATCAACCAACTGAGTGTCGTCCAAGTGGCCCTCGACAGAGAGCGAGCGAACGCAGCTATTCGCATTTCCAACTTGCACGATCGGATTCAAGAGGTACACACATATATATATATATATATGCAGCAAACTGTGGTTTTTTTTTCACGTGCAATATGGCTCCATGGATGTGACCAATCTAGATATTGTCCTTTAACCCAAAATATGGACTTTTCTGAATCGCCAAATCTATCGATCAATGGGTGTTTGTCCTGAACTTTGTATGTAAAAAGGTGTCCTGTGATGATTGATATCACACTAATTGAAGTCACACACTAATTTCAAGTTGATGACGGTTTGCTGCAATCTCATTGGCTAAACCCTCTGCCGCTTCTTGTGTCCATTTGGTTGTGTCGATTCATTCTCCATGTCGCTCCAGAGAATAAACACACTAACGTTACAATATGTGACACACTCTAAAGTATATATTGTAATGCGGCGACCACACACAAAGAATTCCCAATCGATCTATATATATATATATATATATATGTGTGTGAGACACCGTGAAATACACTCTTATAGTATAGTAATACTGCTGTGTTGCCTTGCGTTTGCCCTTCTGGTGTTACGATGATGATACATCATCACATACATCTGTGTTGTGATAGTGTGAAGAAGAACTCAAGGCCGAAACAGGTCCGTTGATGCGGCGGGTGCGGGGCAAGGACCCCCTCCGCTGCTTTCGTTTCAATGCAATCAACGCCATGTACAAGAACGTGCTGGGGCGCGCCAGTGGCGGCGTCGACACGGCCGTCGCCTCGGTCGGTCCTTCCATCGTCGTCTACGATTTCCTCACGGGGGTACTAGAGTTATCCTCGTCATCGTTCATTCCCCTCGTTGAAATGTCATGTTGCTGTGTATTTGTAGGTTTGTATGGGTCAAGGCGTGGGGGATATTGGAGGGGACCAACGCCACTTGGGGGCCCCACTCGGCCATACCAAGACCATCATGTCGTTGTGCTGCTTTCACGCGTACGTGTACTCTGGCAGCATGGACTGCACGCTACTGGTGTGGCAACTGGTGCAGAACGTGCCCGTACTGCGCCATCGCTTGACGGATTTCGATGCTGCCGTCATGGCCATCGCCGCGACCACCTCGTTCGTTGTCGCAGGAACTGCCGACTGCTGCATCATGGTATAGACTGGTTTGTGCGACAGAGTTGACGCAGATTCCGAGGTACAATGACATGACGAGAGAGAGTTTTATTTTGTAGGTGCACGAGACTACTACGTACGACCGAGTGGTGACAATTCCGTCCGCCCACTTTCGAACCATCACGTTTCTTGCCATGGATCTGAACGTTGTGTGCTCTGCTGGGGCAGACAATGAACTGCGATTTTGGCACCTTCAACATGTATCTGTACCAGGGAAACCTGCTATTTCCATAACAACACAACAGAAGTCCAACATGCAGTACACGCGCGGCGTTCGTTTGCGTTCAACTCGCGACGGCAACGTATGGTATGTATGTATATACTCTGTCCCGCTAAATCATATCACTCCGTCGCAGTATATATATATGTACATACAGTATAGGAATGCAAAAAGCATTCATACATGATATATATATACATGTATATACTGTATATATATATCATGTATGAATGCTTTTTGCATTCCTTTTATTCCTAGTAGAATGAAAAAGAATAAAAATTGAGTCAAAATTGGTGTGTGGGGCTCAATCAATTAAGCGACAGACAATCGATATACGACCAATCAAAACCCACAACAAGAATCAAGTAGCCAATCAAATCCACTCTTCGACGAAATCAACGTCAACTTAGTGTATGAATTAAATAGTGTGACACTGGACGATTTTTACATACAAAAGTCAGTACACAGAATGGGGATCATCGATAGATTTGGCAAAGAATCCGCACATTTTGAGTAAAAAGCCACAAGACTAACATACAGATGATTGGTGTGACACAGGAAACACGGACATGTGCATCCTGTGTCGTGTGTCCAATTCTCAGCCAACGAAGTCGTGAGCGGGGACCAGGGCGGGTGGGTCGTCGTATGGGATGGCGACACGGGCGCGGCCCGCCGGCAGATGCACGTACATGCATGTGCCATCACGTGTCTGTCGTTTGATTCGCTGCGGGTCGTGACTGGCGGCAGCGACGGCAGCATTTGCATTTCCGACTTGGTCAGCGGCGTGTTACTGCAGACGTTGCTCGGCCACCGCGCCAAAGTTCTGGATCTGCAACTTGATCGCGTCCATCTTGTAAGCGCGTCCGAGGACGGCCAGTTGCGGCAGTGGCGATGGCATACGCGGGATGGCGATGCCGTCAGCAGCAAGCGATTTCATATTCTGGGTACGTATCGTGCTGTCAAATGGGCCTATTAATTGGGGGATGGATGAAATCGCCAAATCTAATCGAGCAGTGGAGTATGATTGGCTACAAAGAATGAAGGTTGCAATATGATTGGTTAAACAGATTGATTGTTGTATTGAAGTCACAGAAATAGTTTTTCATGATATGTCCAAGGTCCGGCGATTCTTGGGCGGTTCATTCAACCAACCGCCGGAGGAAATTTTGAGTTGACCAAATCACAATATGATTGATTATATTAAGAAAAGGATATTATATTGTCGATTTGATATACAAATATTTGGGGACGGGGTGCAATCGAATAATCGCGCCGACCAAACCGATCCACAATCGATCTGATTGGTTGAATTTCATTGAGAAGGTTTTGATTGGCTAATAATGTTGAGCTCATCTGAAGTAGCCAATCAAATCGATTTAATTCCAACGAGAAACCACGCCACAACACAATGAAATGCCACTCGAAAGCACAATATATTGTGATTTATATATATATTCAGCAGTCACGTAATTGATCGGATTGAATGGTGGCGATAGGACCGGGCGAAACATTGCGATCAATTTCGTTGCAATACCGCACGAGCGTGGCGTCGATTCGAGAATGGAATCGCATTCAAGACGTGACCAAGCTATACTTGGGCCAGCAGTTGCTCGTCCAAAAAGACTTGCCAGAAAACGACGACAGCAACGAGTCTGGAGCAAATGTGATGATTTCCCCTGTCTTGGGCAAACTTGCACTCGAAGATACATCGTTTCTCGCCCAAAATCGCATGTCCAAGGCGGATCTGGATCAGCGCATTCAAAATATCATCCAAGAATTGTCCATATCAGAGGACAATACCCCACGAAAGGCATCAACTACTGAGAGTGAAAAGAAGGAAGACAACGAGGACAACAGTGACGATGGAAGCGATGATGACGGCGATGACGACGGCGATGATATTAACCCAGAAGACTTAAACGATGGCCCAGGAGCAGCAATTGAACATGACAACGAGTAGACACGACATGCAGTATCCGTGGCCAACATACAATCTCGAAGTACAAGGGAATTGCTGCGATGGATGTCACTGAATGGATCACATTATTTCTTGATATTTCTATATATTAAAATGCTGCCAAGCGTGATTCCAAAGAAAAGTAAATATTGTGAATTTGCGAAACATTCTAAAACACGCGTGGTTTGTCGAATCAAGTATTGAATCACGCGGGAGTCGTTCTGATTGGTTGAATATATATAGAACTTGTCCTTTTTGTATGAGCCAATAACCAAATTCACTCGAAATTAAATTAGCCATAAGTCACGTCGATTATACAATATCTTTGACTAGTTTTTCTAAATGGACTACGGGGATACTGTATCTATGTGTATCTTGTTCGCTACATACTAGCACTACGTAGTATATTACACTACTACGCTGTTAATTTTACTCTGAATCCAGACTCGACCTAAAGAACTTTTTTTAATATATATTCATCAGAAAAACGAATCCCCTTCATATGCTAGCTACTCTTAAAACTTATTGCAAATTAATTGTACATTGCTCTGTCACAGGTTAAAGCTTTGGCGTATGGTGGTCACTAATAGTTGGTGATCTTCGAATAACGCCACACTTTGTTTACACATCGTCATGGGCCCAGTCGTCGTCGTCGGTGAGCCATCGATTTGCTTGAGACGTCAGCGCAGACATCCGATGGCTGAGAGACGTCGGCGGTGGTACTGACCGAGTCGCAGGGGGTGCCGCCGTCTGTGGCTTCCTTGGAGTTTGCAACTGTATCGCAGGCGTCGTTACCTTGTCGCTGGTTTCCACGGTGGCAACGACGAGTTCCGGCAAGTCTGTTCCTTGATCAACCATGATCGGACTAGGCGCTTTTTCCTAGCTCAAATATGTGACTACACTCGACGACTACTACTAGCATAAGAGTACTACTAGTAGTATATACTACTACTTGCATACTAGATGGAATACGAACCTGTTCTCGAAGGGTGGTCAACAAGGCATTTCGTTCGCGTCGCAATTTGGTGATTTCCACGTCCCTAGGATTATATTAGTGTGTGACTTCAATTAGTGTGATAGCAATCACCACAGGACATCAGTTTACATACAAAATGCAGTACAAAGAATCGACCGATAGCACATTTGGCGATTCAGCACAAACGTCCAAATTATTTTGGGTAAAAGGACAATACCATAACGACACTAATTACGGTGGGTCGATTTATCTAGACGTACCGCTTTTCAAGCTGACGAGCGAGTGCCTGAAGTTCGTCCTTTTCTTGGGCCACCACCGAGTCCTGAAGGCGCTTCAGTTGCCGCTCCAGCTGTCGAATGTACACGTCTTGCTTGGCCTGGTCTTTCTGGGCCTGCCGCACTTGAAGTGCCGCATCCTATATATAAATATGGTCACAAGTTCACTAGCAACGCCATCAACCAGCATCACAACGACCTGCAACGCCATCGCATGGGCTTCCTCGAGGCGCGCCATGGCCTTGTCGTGCTCTCGGGATACACTGTCGAGTTTGAGCTCGAGTTCGCGCACTTGAGTGCGCCACGCACTGTCGGCCGTGGCACTTTGCGCACGAACTTCGGCGAGTTGGGTTTCTACATGCGCGTGGGCGTTGGTTTGCAACGCGAGCGTGCGCTCCAAGTCTCGAATCGTGTCCTACAACATAAGTACCCCTCGTGAACTTCATTCCAAGCAATGTACATGGAGGTGGGTGGTGGCACCTGAAGTGCCGCCATCGACTGCACTTGGGCGTCGCACTTGACGTGCCACTGCTGCTGCACGCCGCGCACGCGATGTTGCAACTCGCTGGCGTCCTCCTACCCCATCATATTTCCACGTGGAATCAGAATCAGATATGTCCACGAATCAGACTCAGAATCACCCTACCTTGACGCGACACACAAGCCGCGCCCGTTCCTGCTCCAAATGTACGACGTGGCATTCCAATTGGTCACGAGTCCATTCGTCCAGATTCAATGGCAGCGTGAGTGCGGGTTTTGTCACTTTCGACCCCTCCTCAAACGGCACCGGGACCCCATCCGAGGTTTCAGGTACGTTGTCGACCACGGGTGCGTCTTTTGGCAGAGGTGACAAATCCGGCAAAAACAGCAGCACAAATTCCCCCCACGTCACGTGTTTTGTCACTCCAAACAACGGACTATGGCTCATCACCGCCATCAACTTATCGACCCCCGCGGCCCCCAACTCTTGCCGCACAGTCCAGTCCTTTCTAATATCAACCAATAAATATTCGGATTTTTCTCAAATGTGCTCATATTTTGAGGGATGCTTGAAATCACGAACAAATCTAGCTAAACAGCATGATTCGCTAAAAAGAATGAACGTTGTTGCACAATGATTGGCTAAAAAGAATATCGAATGTAGAAATACAGATACAACGGGACCTACCTCTTAAACTCAGTTTTATATCAAATGTCGAAGGTCCCGGATTGTAGAGCGGTTGTTCATTCACAATAGAAAAAATACTAAATTGAGTAGAACACAATACAAATGCTCCAATCCACATTGAAATATCATTCCATCTCTCCTTTAAAATTACCAAATAGGTTGTAGTGTTAACCCCATATATACGTACTGCAGAGCCGCAATGAACCGCTTGGTCGGTGCCAGGCCCGTTTGATAGGGATCCACTCGGTGAAACACGGCGCGCAGTACGTGTTCCGACTCGGGTTTGAGTTTGAACGAACTCTTGGCCTTGGTTGGTGGCAGATTGTGTAGCGTAGTAGCTGGTTTCCCAGTAGTAGTACTAGTGTTGGTGTCTGCCACGTTGGCGCCTTGAAGCCGCTTGATCCACACCCGGCGCTCGCCTTCCCATGCCGCCTCTTGGTTCCGAAGCCGCGCTTCCTTCCGGGCTAAGCACACGACCAGCGTCTCAGCATGCTGCACTTGCCGCCTCAGCCTTTGCTCGTGGTCTGTTAACCTCGTGTACATGTGCTGCAGTCGCTGCACCATCCCATTGTCCTATGAAATTACACAAATTGTATGTATATGTATATATATATTATATATTTAGTGAATTCGCTATACACTTGCAAAATTTTGCGTGGGTTGTCTATAATATCAATCTTGAATCACGCTGGTGTTTTCTGATTGGTTGAATATACTTGTCCTTTGTGTAAGAGCGCCAATCAAATCCACTCAAAAACAGATTAGCTCGAATTCGTGCGAGACTAACATGAGTGTGACACTGGACAACGTTTCCATACAAAAGTCAGCACAACGATCGATAGATCGAAACCATTTGGCGAAGCAGCACAAACGTCAGCCAAATTTGGGCTCAAAGGACTATATATATATATATATATATACCTGCACAAAAGTCAGCCGAATTTGGGGTCAAGGACAATATATATATATATATATATATATATACCTGCACAGACGCGATGACGTGATGTGCCATCTCGCGCATACGTTGCCGCTCACTTTCGACAGTGACAACATGGCGCTGACATTTGGATTGCAAAGTCGTTCGATCGGCGTGGAGTTGGTCGAGTTGTAAGTGGAGCAGGCGGGCGGCGGCATCGGCATCCGCGAGGCGCTGGGTCAGCGACTGGATATGCCGCACGTGGTCAGCCACCCGCGTCTGTGACATGGTTCATGTGGGAATCAACACCAAGAAGTACCATCAAATGATGATTTGATCATCTGATTCTTTGTTATAGAGAGTGATATATATCATTTTGTATCCCAGCAAATACTACATGTACATAGATGACGTGATACTGTCAAGGCGATTCAAAATTGGAGTAGGATGCTAAATCAAATGAGCAGATTAACCAAATCGGCAGACAATCGATCGACCAATCAAAACCCAGAACAAAAATCAAGTGGCCAATCAAATCCACACATCGACGAAATATTCAACACCGAATTAGTGTGTGACTGAAATTAGCGTGATACTGAACGATCTTTGCATACAAAAGTCAAGACAAAGAATCAATCGATAGATTTGGCAAAGAATCAGCACAAAGGTCAGCCAAGTTTGGGGTAAATGGGCAATATACGGGTCTTTCAACCTGACAATATACCATGTGTTGAACCATACTAGGAGTACCCACCATCACCACATTGGATGACGTGATCGCATACATGCGTTGTGACGACATGTCCTTTTCTATCCCAGCGAACAACGTCATATGACGTGAGCGTACCTCCATGATGTGGACAGACCGCGCCGCTTGCTGCCCTAGTTCATGGCTTGCCATGTCTTGGCACTTGGCCGCCACGACCATCTCAAACACTTTGGTGCGCCACTTGGCCAACAGCTTTTGATACATCGACGGGGGATCGGGTGTTACATGACTCAATTGTTTTCGCGCTGTCGCAGATACAACGGCATGCGACAGCTCCGTTTCTTGAAGGGTGAGGATTTCTTGCAAGGCATGGATGCGATGTTGCATGAGTTCTAGTTGTTTGGTCGAGTTGGAGGGAGGTGGAGGTGGTGGATGGCTCGTGGTAGATGGAGCTAACTGCTGAAAATGCAAGAGTTGTGGAGGGGTACTGGGAGTCGAAACCACGGGGGTCCGTGGTAAGGGCGATGTATTGGTCAACGGACTAGGCAGTGGCAACCGAAAAGCTGGAGGGAGGGAGGATGTAAGGGGTTGGTTGACGGAAGTTGCTACGCCGAATCGTCGGGCTTGTTCACGTTCCTGAGGCCGAACAGGTCTACGATGCAAGTTATTAGATATATCCAGAGAAACCGTTGATATATAGATATATATATATGAAACGCACTCTTGATCTAGAGTTTGCAGTTGTGGCAGTCGACGGAGAATGTGCAAACGCCTGGTGCTATCCAAAGCGTCCAACTTTGGATTGCCCTGTGCATTATAGGACCCAATATGATATGATATGTGCATAGCAGGTAGCGTACGTGTAAGCTGAGGTCGGAGAGCAAAGGGAGGTCCTTGAGGTAGTCGAGTTGGTCGAGGTGGTCAATGGCATTTGCAGACAAGTCCAGATGTGTGATGGTTTTTAGCGACTGGAGCGATTGGAGCGACGTGCTACGTCAAAACGAGGATCAGATCAGTCAGGTTGGAAGTGAGCGTACAATTTGTTGTGAGCTAGAAGGAGCTGGGTCAGCTGTGGCAGGTGGGCGTGCAGCGTGACCGGCAGGTCGTCGAGCTGGTTGTGGCTCAGGTTTAGACGGTTCACGTGACGCAAGAGAGAGAAATCGCAGTCGATTTCCCGGATGGCATTCTTGGACAGATTCAGGTTGCTCAGCGTGGGGAATTCTCGGGCGATTTCCACCACCAGGTCGTCCGTTAGCCGCTCTAGCGGCATGTCCGATGATGTCGGACGCTAAGATTTGAAAAGCACCAACGGAATGGACCAATCAGAGCTCGGACATGGACATTTGACCTTTCGTTTTTTATCCTATACAAACATTCTGTTTGGCAATACTGTAGTTTGGCAATATAACCAGGACATAGTATTAATATTAATATAGTCTTGAGTAATTTTAATAATGTCAGAACATAGTATTTCTTACTGTTAATCGCCAATCAAATGTGTACTACTTACTATGAATAGTCCGATTATTAATAATAATATGCAACGCCCGACTGGTACGTGACTTCGTACTACACCTTTTCAGAGCTCATTTTTCGATTTACCTCAAGTGGACACGCGGAGGCCATGGACAACATGGGCGTTGGTATGTGACGTCACAGCAACGATGCGGCATGTGTCGTTTGACGACTATTTCTATGTTGAATTGACTTGTCATTGCGTGATTTCCATTTTCATTGGGCACATGACACAATTCATCGGGCACATGGGCAATTCCTTGGGCACACGGCCAATTATATCGGGCACACCGCCAAATATATTGGGCACATGACATTCGGGTGCCAAATTTAACGGGCACATGGCCAATTATATCGGGCACAACGCCAAATATATCGGGCACACGACCAAATATACCGGGCATTTCGTCCAACTTAACTGCAAAAAGGTGTATTGTGCTTTGCACTTGTTTTGGCGTCGGTTTTACGTGGCTAAAAGAGTGGTACTTCTGCTGTATCTGTGTTACAAAGTTGAATAATATTAATACCTGGTGTTTTAGCTAATTCACTGGGGTTTTATAAATGCCACATACTAGTAACTCTGAGCAATAATAATCACATGTGATGCTGAAGTGACCAAAACACCTTGGCTATTATTCCATCGCGTAGTACACGCTACCTGCATGTATTATGCGATAGAACATGAAAATGGCGTGGTTTTCTACGATGTGGCACCATACGCACATCGCTCGCTGTACGGTAGAACACCGGCGCTTGTCCTCGCTGTGTGACATTTGTAATATCAAAAGTTGTTTATGGTGACCGCTGAATTGTGCAATTTGGTCCCGAGAATAGCAGATATAACTTCGATTTGCACTTTTCAAATGTGCAAAAGCGAGGGAGTTGCATAAATGACCTCCCTATAATTACATTATGTAACGAAACATGATCCTAATTCACGGTACGGATTATCTAAAACACTGGGTCGATGTAACAAACACCCAGGTTTATGGTGTGAATAGCCAAAACGAGTGAAAAGCACAATAGTAACTAGTATGTTAAAGGACCTGGTGCTATACAGCTAGCTGTACATACCGGTACGTACCCGCAGGTACTAGTAGATTGAGATCGGAATATTTAGTAGTAGTGGGCACTGTACTAATGCAAGCAATAATAACTCATGCCTGCCCTGGAAACGAAACATATATTACTACTCGACATGATTAATTACACAGTGTACTTCCAACGATACACGACCACACTAACTCCACCCCCATGAGATACGTCAATTTCTAGCACTGTCGTACACGATCGTAGTGGCGAGCTGGCTTTGAAATCGATTGGCGACGATAGTCGCCGTCGGCCGCCGAGTCGGGTCCGCGTCGACGCACGTGGTCGCCACCGACAAAAACCATGACGGACACGTGGGGGAGAACGCGGGTGACGCGGCATTGGTGACGATGCTCACCAGCACCTCCTGGTTGGCGTGGTCGCCTTCGCGCAGGCGTCGGGGAGTCACCACGCCCTCCAACGACGCACTCGAAGAAAATGGCATCTGCTCCGTGTCGAGCTCCGACAAAATCACCCCCAAGCTGTACATGTCGGCGGCGGGCGTCGGCTGGTTGCCGCGGAGCACCTCTGGGGCGACCCATCGGAAGGCCCCGAGCCCGGCGGTGAGCAGCTTCAGATTGGACCCCCTCGACCGACCAAACCGCCGGAGCCGCACAACATCGTCGTCGTCGCCGTCGGGGGGGTTGCAGCTGCCATTGATATCTGAGAGCTTGGCCCCTTTGGCCGAGTCCACCAGTACGTTGAGCGACGAGAGGTTGCCGTGCACGAGCGACTTGGCATGCAAATAGGCCAATCCGAGGGCAATGTGGGCGGCACATTGCAGTTTGTGGCTCCAGTGAAAGCTGCTGTCGGCGTGGTTGGTGTCGAGAATGCCGCGCAGGTCGCCGCAGTCCATGTATTCGGTCAAGAGCATCATATCAGTTGGCTTGCGACCCAACACCCCCGTCACGCCCACAAAGTGGACAATGTACTCGGGGCACTGCATCCTACGCGCCAACAATCCGTTAGATATGCCTTGTCTCATGCATCGTCCGAACTGATTAGCAATCCGTACTTTGTGCCTCGTCACATGTATACGGCAACGTCATATGTCCGAAACTGATAGTTGACAGTGATAACGTCATACGTATGTCCGACCAAACGTTGCTCCCGAAAGGCAATGTCGTATGACCGACATTTCAAAATTCTGGAGCATAATATAAATGATATATATATATATATGTAGTAGTGCAAGCACCAAACCCATCGTGACCATACTCAAAAATGCGATACAGTATACAGAAAAACATACATACATTCGTACCGAGCTAAGAAGTGAATCGACCGCACAAACACATGCAGTTCGTACGGCGTTTTCATGTGCGGGAGCAATCGGGTGGCGGTGATCATGGTCTTGTCCTGGCTGTTTTGGGCTAGCCAAACTTCTCTTGACAGGCCTTGCGCTAACGGCTGCAGTAGCCGGACGTCCGCCGCGGATATCGAATACTTGGCCAAGTCAGCAACGTCATCGTCATAGGGAAGGGGCGAAGGCGGGGGAAACGACCGGCGCGGCTGCTGCTGCTTGGGGGTACCGCTAGAAAGCGCGGTCGCATGGTGGCTGGAACGCGAATTGGGCGTCATGAGATCATAGCTATCCAGAACAAAGCTGTTGCCACCACCGCCGCCGCCATGGTTCATCGTGGAGGTAAAGTACGGTGTCGGGTGGAGTGGATGTGGTGGTGGCGGGGGGGGATGGTCCATGGTCGTGGTGACGGACGACGTGGCTTGCTCCCGGCGGCGTTCCAGCAGCATCATCTCGGTCGCGGTCAAATCCTGCATGCTGCTGTACTCTTCCACGCGGCGCTGCCGCCGCACCGCCTTGCGCACGAGGCACACTACGCCAAACACCACCACCACCGCCAAGAGGATGGCGCAGATGATCAAGGCGGCGGCAGCGACGTTGTGGTTGGGATCGTCGGCTTCTTTCGGTTCGCGGGCAGGGGTGACCGAGCCACCGCCTGGGGACACAAGTGGTTTCACAGACGACGAAGCGACCCAGGACGGATCAATCACTTGGACGACGCTTGTGTAGCTTGTATATGGCTTGGTTGAAGTTGGAGGGGAAGTAGAGGTTGTAGTAGAGGGCGTGACGCTGGAAGGAAGGGCAAATGAAGGCAGAGGTGGAGGCGGTGGTGGAGGCGGTGGAGTTGGCGGTATTTCCCCCAGGCACAATGCATTGAGGGACGCGACGGGGGTCGTGAGTTTCGTGGGGGTGTCTGTGAGCAGACACTTGGCGAGCAGGTTCGTCGGGAGTTGAGGCTGAAACGCCGCCACAAATGTCGTCAGCCCCACGCGGCACTGCGACAGGGGGAGGCAGTCGGAGGACCGGACGGACGTCGCGTTCACCTGACTCTGCGCGAGTAGCGACGTAAACGCACACGTGGGGTACCGTTGGATGAACGGAGCGTACGCGGCCTGGCAGACCGAGTTGACGTTGACGGCTGGCGGCGGGTTCGCCGTGGTGGTAGCGGTACCGCCGTCATCCATCGGCTGTGGGGCGAGAAGATGGCAGAATGCGCCCAGCAGTGGTGGGTTTGACTCGTGTGAATTGATTGCACTCGTGAGTCGTGGATAGTATCTGTACAGTTCCTGCAACTGTACTGCTCGCAAGGGTTGGACTATACCCAGTAGAAACACTGTACTACTAGACAGGGGTTCATTGAACTCGTCGTACATGGTGGCTTGTACGTTGATCGTACTAACGTTAGTTTTAGAAGACTGCTGCTGTTGCTGCATGTCTGTGCCTTCGTCACCACGTCACGCGTTGCTACTGTTGTACTGCAATGTGACAAACCCGTCCTCGTTTGGCTGACGCGGACGTGTCACGGGCACACTGCAATCTCGACCAATCTCCCCACAACCAACTTGCAACACTCTGGTGGTAAATAGTGTATATATTAACATAAACGCCAAGTTATCCGCTGTCGCGGCTACAGTCCGAATTCGGCGGTTCGTAGTGAGTAGCCAGTCAGCTAATACCTCGGACAAGGTGACTGTTCAAGCAAAAGTGGAGCCACCTTCAAACCAAGTATGTATAGCATATAACCCGTACAACGTTGTGAGTTTGAATGAACGACATCGTAACGTTGTCTAGGTTGGATTTGTAAGCACACTAAGAACGACCAAGTACCTCGGGTGGTGCATGCTATAACGTTAAACCATTACGCGTAGCTACCTTGAAACTTCAATTTGCAAAGTACTTGTACTTGGAGAGTGAAAGGCTGCATTACATATCCAGCATGTGTCGGTTCCTCTCGTGAATACAGCTGCCCTCCCCCTTCCACAAGCCACGGCGGCGTCATACTTTGATTCTCGCAATGGCATGTGTCTTGTATAGACCAAATTCACGGTGTTTTATATATATATATATATATATATATTTACATGCGTCTACTCTACTATGACTCGTGATGCAATGCTGTTGCTGCCAGGACTGCTTTTTGAAATCGAAACGCCAACATGGTCGCGCTCGGTCGGGCGTGAGGATCCAGCGCCAGGCACAACTTTCCGAGCTCTGCAAACCACTCTGGACAATCCGATGCAAACGTCGGAATCAGCTCGCCCGTCATCACTTTGGCCATGATGGCAGTGTCAGTATACACGTTGCCCTTGGCGTTTCGCAGGTCAGAATATGGCACAATGTTCGTACTCAGCTCAGACAAGATGACGCCAAAGCTAAATATGTCGGCTTTCTCCGTGTAGTGGCCGTCCAGAAGTACTTCTGGCGCCATCCACCGGAACGTGCCGATGCCCGCGGTCATGGTGGCGTCGTCCGTCTCCCTTGCAATGCCAAAGTCGGTCAGCTTGGTGTTAAAGTCTTCGTCCAGCAGTACGTTGCGTGACTTTAGATCGCGGTGAATGACTTTCGGTGTCATAAAGTCGAGGTAAACCAGCGCTTCGCCAATGTGGTGGGCACACTGGAGTTTCTTAACCCAGGGAAAGAACGCTACGTCATCGAGCTGGTTCGTGTCTAGCACGTGCCGCAAGTCGCCACCAGCCATAAACTCGGTGACCATGACAATGTCACTCGGGCGAGTCCACGCCGCGCCAATCAAATGCACGACATACGGACACTCGATTCTAAAGTTCCCACAATGTCCGTAAACCGAGGGAATCAATATGTACTGACTGCATGTACCTGGACAGAAGCACAATTTCCGAAATGAACTTTTGCAAATCCACGGCCGTGGTCCGCCGAGTCGGCAGCAACCGCTTGATGGCTACGGGGCCGTCATACAGGTTGCCCAACCACACTTCGCCGTACGCGCCTTCCGCCAGCGGCTTGATGTATGAGATCTCGTCGATGGGAACGCGCACCATGTCGAGGTCCAGGAGGCTGCGCTGCATGAGACTCTGCTGGGCCGAGTCCATCAGAGAAGCTGCGTTCGAGGAAGAGTTGGCGGTCGAGTGGTTGTTGGGGTGGTGGGTGGGAGTTCCGTGGGGTTCGTAGGTGTCGCCGTCCAATCGATCGTTTGACGTATGAGTGGAGTGCTTGGAAGAGGAAGTCGTACTGGAATGATTGCGGCGATACCGCGTCCAGCCAAACACGACAAGCGCCACGAGGACCACCACGATGCTTGCAACGATACCGATCGTGGCTGCGGATGATGATGTTGGCGCTGAGGACGGGTTGGTCGTCAATAGAGACGCCGCAGGGTTCGATGGCGTGGCGGTGGAGGCCAGTGCTTTGGCTGTCGTGGGGGCGCACACGGATGCGAGCGAGGAGATGCTGACGGTGTGTCGTGTCTCTTGGTCGAGGATAGGGCAGAGGGACGTGAACGAGACAAACTCTGCCCACAGGGCGGCGCAGTCTGGGTTCTTGCAGTCCTTTTCCCGCAGCTCGGCTGGGTCCACTTGGGTCGCGGCCTTGTTCAAGCCTTCGTAGTACGAACAGCCGCGGAACACTGTGCCATTGTCGTCGTCGAACTGGCTGATCACTTTCCCGATCAAACTCGGGCAATACGCTGGGTCGTCCATCGTCCTTCTTGTAGGATGACAGCACTGAAAAGTCACACGGAAGCACGAGCATCCGGATTACTTCACTCGTATCCGGATATGGATATCTGCGAAATTCGCTCCAATTATTTGAAATGCAAGAAAATGATTCCTCGAGCCCCGAAAAAGTACTACTATTAATACTAGTAGTAGCAGTATAGAAATTGTCGCAACGTGCAAATTTTGAGCAATTCCCCGATTAACTGTAAAACAGGCCCAATGAGGGAATTATACCATCCGGATACACTTTACTACTAGTAGCCCGTAGCTACCCCCCGCGAGTACATTTAATGCTAAATCCCCGGTTATGATCGCTAATTACTGAGATACATTTAAGAGCATCTTCACCAGGGCTGGGGAGAAAATAATTGGAATTTAAAATAGTGGTAATTGCCCCACTGCAATACTGTAATTTATTTTCTGTGTTTGCTGAAAACAATAATTTACTTTCGACAGTTCGATCACCAGCACCAATAATAAATTGGTACTATTTAGTAGACCATATTGACCAATAATCGTTTAATTGTTTTCAACGTCCTCACTTCTCATTACTATGATACAAAACACCCTTATCCCAACTATTAATATGGCGACCTCGTACTCTCAAAGGAACTCGCCAAACACTTCTTCGAGAAGATCGACGAATCGTCATCCCGTGATCAAAAGTGGCAACCACCGCATCATAACTCGGTTCAAGTTCAAGTCGCCAGTGCGTGACATCCACCATCAGGTAGTCGACTGGCTACTAAAACCTTGCCCAACACGTGAACTCTACACACCGAGCCTTCTTCGCCACCGTGCCGCCGACACAAGTATCTGGACGAAGAGGTTGATGAAGGGTTACGATGACGAGTTCGATGAGTTTAAAAATTACCATTTGTTTGAAAATATTCATCTTAAAAATATATACATTTTCAGGAAACACTTGGCGTACTCTATCCACCACCGCCTGGTCGTGAAACCGATATGCTACGCGCCAAGGCCTTGGATTTTGACCATCGTTTAAGTCAATTATGAAAATATGGACAATAATTGCTCCGAGTCAGCAATATTGAATTTTTCGGTGGTTCGAATTTCAATAAAATTATGAATTGTTCTTCAACAATACTATAGTGCAATTATATATTGACAAGCTAAAATAGATCTTAATATAGTTTTTCCCAGCCCTGAATTCCCAAAATGTCCCAACTTGGGACACCAGATGGGACAAAATTATTTTTGTAGCAATGTGGATACTATTAATATCCCTATAGGAGCGTTTGACTTGGTTTGACTTCCCGTCCTATATAGACGGGATGTCAAACGCAAGTCGTATAATATAGACGGAAGTCAAACGCAAGTCAAGTATACATAAGAATAGACTTGATTATAGTATGGTTTCGTCGAGGTGAGAGATCCTATCTCCCAGAACTTCAAGTTAAGAGGTATTAATAATACCAGTACTTGGTTAGAAATGGCGTACTTTTAATCACATTTAGTCCAGGTGATAAAATCTACACTGTTAGTTAGTACCACGTCAGCAACGTGGACTCTGATTGGCGCATCTCTTGTTTACAGTTAATTCAATGTCGAATATGTATTGGCTACAGTAATGTATACTACGTAGGAGATGTACTTCCCTCCATTTACGAGTTCTTATTGGCTTAGGCCCAGGTGAGAGATTTATCGCGACTAGTAACTATTAATACATCGAGTGTTGCTCTCCACGTGCAATCGCAGTCGATATGCCGCTTGCATGGCACTTGGTCGGGCGGCGGGACTCAGCGCCAGACACTCCCTTGCGAGGGTCGCAAACCACGCAGGACAGTCGGGGGCGAACGACGGCTGCAGTTGGCCGATCATGACCTTGGCCATGATGGCCGTGTCCGTGAATGCGTTGCCGGCGCCGTTGCGCAAGTCCGAGTACGGCACCAGTTCCGTACTCAACTCGCTCAGAATCACGCCGAAACTGAACAAATCCGCCAGTTCCGAGTAGTGGCCGTCCATGAGCACCTCTGGCGCCATCCACCGGTACGTGCCGATGCCCGCGGTCATGGTGGCGTCGTCCGTCTCCCTCGCAATGCCAAAATCCGTGATCTTGGCGTTAAAGTCGGCGTCCAGCAGTACGTTGCGCGACTTCAAATCGCGGTGAATCACCTTTGGGTCCATCGTGTGGAGGTACACTAACCCCTCGGCAATGTGCAGCGCACATTGTACCTTGTGGTACCACTTAAATGACTGGGCAGACGAGTTAGCGACGAGCACACCGCGGAGGTCGCCGCCGGCCATGTATTCAGTCACGAGCGTCATATCGGCTGGCTTGGTCCACGTCACCCCCACGAACTGCACCACGTACGGCGAGTGAATCCTATAATAGCCATGTCATTTTTCGATTAACTATAAACTTCAATATCAACATGTAAACACTCTGGAATGAACTGCTAGTTACAGTACAGTAAGTAGTACATCGGTTGTTGAAGGTCAAGAATGAGTTGAAATATAAAATCACAAAAAATAGAATGGCACCACGCAATGTTATTTGAAATCCAGTAAAGACTGGCATGATTTAAAATAAAAATACAATACCGTGAAAACTTACTTGGCCAAGAGGGAGATTTCCCATATGAACTTTTGCAAGTCCGACACTGTCACAGGTGTGGACGTGAGTAGTTTTTTCATGGCGACCTTTTGACCAAGATATTGGCCGAGCCAGACTTCGCCATACGCGCCTTGGGCGATGGCTTGCACTGGTCGGACTTCGTTGGACGCGATGCGATGCATGTCGAGGCCACACATGTCGAGCACACCGTCGGGGATCATGCTACCTGACGAGGTCTTGTTGCCGGTGGCGGTCGTGGTGCCGGTGGCCCCGGTGGCCATCGTGGAGGGATAGCTCCCCTTTGGTGGCTGGTGGCTGTTGAGGTTATTAGAGCGTTGTACTTGTTGAGTGGCGGTATCTTGGACTGGGGCGTACGGAACCCGAGTCGGGATGTCGGTGGCACGCTGTTGTTGGTTGCGTCGGCAGAAAAACACAACCAGAGTCAGCAGCAGCAGCACGCCGACACTCACCCCAATGACAACAGCTTTGTTGGATTCAAACCAGGTCGGTTCCGAGGTCAACGTGATCGATCCGTCCGGCCATATCGTGAATGGGGGCATCGAGTCACCGCTGGATGACGAAGTCGAGATGGGCGCTCTCGTCACCGGCTTGAATGACGAAGGCGCCGACGTCGTAGGTAGTCGGGATGTGGCGATAGTGGTGGTCGCTACGGGGATATCGCAAAACTTGTACAAGTTCGTCCACTGCCATTGGTTGCCCGTTTGAGACTCGACGAATGTGCAGTCGGAGCTCGTGAACACGTAGATCTCAGTGATCAGCGACTTGCAGTTGGTCACTTGGCAGTCCTCGGTGGCTATCCGCAGCGAATCAATCGACCCATTCAGCAGGCCATGGCGAAGGTAGCAGTTGGCATTCACGGTCACACTCATGTTGGACGCGTAGTTTGTCATAAACGCCTTGGTGCACGGGAGCGGCGCCATGGTAGAAACAATAATGCACCAGAATTGCAGTGGCTGTATGATTGTACTGTACTACTACGTAGTAAAGTCGTTGATAAGTCAAGATGCCTTGGTCATGTGTTGGTGGTGCGATTGGTAGGATATCTGCAGGTTTGTATGCTCACAACCCGACGACAACAGCACATTCCGATCAACGTGGAACAACGAGGTCGAGTACTTTACGGTATACTGTACGACCAGTGTACGGTCAAGATTTTTTGTGGACGTAAACGTACAGTACAAATCTCAGGAAAATCGCTGATCTTTGAGTTACATACTCATCCAACTCTGTTTGCCGTGACGCTCAGAACGTACAATTCGTACATATTACTACAATACACGTACGGTATTCCCTTTTCTTTAGTCAGTGGTCGCATCTATCGAATGATACCATTCAACCCTCTTGGAGTGTTATTAATTAATACCAATGATAAAACGCGGGTGTAGCTAGCTAGCTACCCTATCAGATGTAGCCATTTAAATCCCAGGCACGGACAAAAAAAAAGCGAGCAAGGTTGCGGCTGTTCTGCATGTCATGATCCGTGTGGGCGCTGCCGACGGGACCGGGGGTGGACGGGGGGAGGTCCCTGCGCAGGTCTGGGCGACGACAGACGCTGGCTGGTCGTTCAGCGTGCACTTCAACGTTCCGTACAAGGCAAACGTCCGGGTGCACTCTGGATACTGACAGAGCGCGTCCATGGCTACTTTGGTCGTAGGGGGGCTAGCCATATTGGCGACACGGAGGCACACTGTTTGTACAGCAACTAAGTCTGCAGACAAGGACGAGGGGGAGCATTCGTTGTCCGACTGGGGGGATGTTGTCGTTGTGGATGCAGTGGTGGTTTGGAGTGGGGGGGCGGGGTCGTCACAGAGGGTGGTAAACGAGGTGGCCGGCGCGCCGTTGATGGCACAGGTCAAGGCAGCATATTGTTTGAGACTGGCGACGCAAATCGGAAAGCTGCAGTATATTTTCAAAATCGCGACCGTCGTCACGTTCGCCACCGACGTGATGTTGGACACTTGTTCGCACTTGAGTTTAATAAGGGCTAGCGGCTGCAGCGCGTCCGTACTGCACGGCACTAGAGGGTCTCCTGGTGTCGTCGTCGGGGACGCTGAAGGCGACGAAGGGAGGGTGTCGACCAGTCGAGGGGTGTAGTTGTCGCAGTTTCGTGCGATCACAGAAGTCGGGATGCCCTGGCTGGTGCAATTGACGAGGTCGTGGGCCCGAATGTACGACCGGCACGCCGGAAAGAAGCAGATTTTCGTGGCTTCGCTCGTGTTGGCCAGATTGAGCCCCGACTCGGCCGTGCACTTCTTGTACAGTGGCAAGATACCCGTGATGTCGTCCGAGGTGCATGGGCTAGCTAGGCATTGCTCCGTCCAAAGCACTAATATGACGCCTAGAAGGCCTAGCAAACGACATGCTTGCGCCATGACAGGCGTTCGTCGATGGTTGGTTTTCGATGAATAATTCAAGGTGGCGCGCCTGGGTGGTTGACGTACTGATATACTACTGTACTAGTACACTGTACCGTGAAGACGTACATTGTTGTACCGTTTGCATCCTGGTACATACCTGCATTAAGACTCTTTGCATTCGTCATTTTTGTGGTGTGCGCGCTGAATGCAAGCGGTGGTAGCTCACTTATCCGCTGGTGTATGAGGATGTACTCGCTACTGTAGCTATTGTAAGTTAACTATTTGCAATGTATTTTTGAGCTCTCCCTACTCACGTTGCAACGAGCAACTGTAGAGTTCAATTTGTGCAGCGTTCCTTCCATGCTATTCTTGCACCCACGAACGATGATTCCACTGGACTACTACTAGTATAGTACTAGTTCTTCTTTGCGATCCTAGCTCTGGGCTTTACTCCTTTCCAGCCCCGTGCGATACTAGTAGGAACAATGGCATCGGTAGCCTTCTTGATGGCACCACGTTAGCACGCTTGCTGTAAACCAAAAACTGTACAGTACAGTACTTCCTTGTCAACTCTGTCGCTTCTCCGAATCTTGGTACTTTGCACTTCGAAGTTGCACCAAAACTTCGACTTTGACCACCACAATCGGTTCACTTTCCGCATCCGACAATGAAAGGTGCCATGGCGGCGGCTACACCGACCCCCCACACGGCGTCTGTGACGATGTGCAGTCAAGAGATCATGACGCAGACCCACTTGATCTTGTTGAATCAGCCGATATACGCTAGCTGCTATGTCACTACCGTCGTGGACACCAACATCAACTCGACGCGGCTCAAAGGCGACTGCACGATTCCCGATTGCTTTAGCCTGCTCAATCAAAACCAAGTGGCGGCCGCGGCTTCTCCGAGTTTGAACTGCTATATGTACGACGTAGTGACCAAGTCCGCTTTTCCCAACGGCGACCTTGTCAATTTGTGCTTTACGAAAACGACCACCCCCACATCTCCTCTGATCGTGAAGTCCACGGTGGTTGGTTCTAGCTCAGCCGTGGTCGGAGGTGCCGTCGGTGGGGCTGTAGCCCTCTTCCTTCTCATAGCCCTTGGATGCTGGTGCCGCCGCCGTCGCCGCAACCAACACGAGAATGATCGGGGAGCTGCTGCTGCCTTCGACGCCGTGAGCTCTCCAATGGAAACTCGCCCCGTAGCCAAGCTATCCTCCAACACTGCCAGTTTGCCCAAACACAATAGCAGCAGTCAGAATGCAACTACTCATGCCTCGTCAGGGAGCTATCCCATGAATGCCCTGAACAGCAGAAAAGACCTCGACGTGACCCAGACGATGCTGGCCGACTTGCAGCTGCTGGAACTGCATCGCATTCCCGTCTCCAGTGTCCATCTAGTTCACGTCGTGGCGGAAGGCGCGTTCGGCCAGGTGTGGCTCGGCAACTTTATGGGCGACCGAGTGGCCGTCAAGAAATTGCTGCCTCGAAAAGCCACCACGAGCATCGCGGTAGCGCAATTCGTCGCGGAAATCAAACTCGTCGCCAAGTAAGTGCAGTCGTAGTAGTACTACTCCTACTAGGTGCAGGATACGAGTACTAGGTGCAGGACAGCCAACCCACACACTCATTCACGTCAATACGTAGAATCCAGTGCAGATATGTGGTGGCGTTCGTAGGTGCAGCGTGGGTCAAGCCAGTGGATATGCTGCTCGTGACCGAGTTCATGGACCGGGGCGACCTCCGCAGCGTATTGCAGGCCAACCACGCTGCCACGTCATCTCCACTGTTTGCATGGGAGGACAAGGTCGAGTGTGCTTTGAGCATCGCCGAAGGACTGGTGTACCTGCACTCGATGGACCCCATCGTGATCCACCGCGATCTCAAGTCCCGCAATGTGCTGCTGGATTCTGTCCGTGGGTCCAAGATCACCGATTTTGGCATTGCTCGGGAAACATATGATCAAACTCTGACCCTCAACGCCGGCACGTACCGGTGGATGGCGCCCGAGGTGGTTCTCGATGGCCACTACACGGAGAAAGCCGACCTCTTCAGCTTTGGCGTGATCTTGAGCGAACTGAGCACGGAGCTGCTGCCGTACGCCAACGTCCGCAACGACCGCGGCCACCCGCTCACGGACCTCGGACTCATGGACGGCGTCGCCAAAGGTCGCATCCTTCCGACGTTTTCTGCCACTTGCCCGGCGTGGTTTCGACAGCTGGGACTGGACTGCCTCGCGCTGGACCCCCACCGACGGCCGTCAGCTACGAACGTGTCGTTCATGCTTCGATCGCATCTTCACACTTGTTCATCCACATACCCAGACGACGAGGACAGACTGAGTACCGGGTACCTCGTCTAGTTGGTCGTCGCTTGTACGTTCACTGTACCTAGTTTTAATAATGATTACATAATTCTATTGGGTTTGAGTCAAGGGAACAACTGCATTCAGTGGTAACTAGTGCAGTTGGTTACAGTAGCCAGGTTACATAGTTCCAGCACTATTTCGATGCTCTGGGGTCCAAGGGGAATTTGACAGCCACAATCATCATGAATCACAATATAGTATGATGGAGAAACGAACGACGCAAGCCCGAGCAGGATGATGGCTGTTGCTGTGCAACGTGGTTCTCGTTGCTACGACGGAACGGGCGTCGTCACAGATCCACGGGAGGTGTGGCTACTTCGTGGTGCAATCTGGGCACGGGCACAGTGCCACCTAGCTTGCGGCTCATCACGGAACACAACGAGTCGACCAGACAGTTGTGGGGATGCCGTAGGTGCAGCAATTGATATCCACATACACTGTTTTTGAAGTGGCCGTAATAATATTGATAGTCTGAAGAATACTATGAGTATTAGTTGAGCTTACAAGTAATACTAGTAATACGTATGAATAGTATACTAGTGCCACTGAAAAATTATAAGTTGAAGTGCAATTTCAAGAATCAACTTGTCGCGTCATTCACCCATGACAGTACTGTGAAGGACACACTACTACTGTACGTACTAGTACATGTACTACTGTACGTAGTCAACGATTAGGTACTACTCCATGGTAGGTACTAGTACTTCAAATCGAAGTTCGAAGTCGTCAAACTGCACTTACAGTTAAGCACTTGACACGCCCTTAACTATGCGCTGCGCCCGCCTTGTTGCCGTCGCGACCACGCTGGTCCAGTCCATCATCCACGCCGTACCTTGCTCGTCCTCCGTAGACCTTGCCAACGTGACTTCTTTCCTTGAAGCATGTGAAGCCTCGGTGCCAGGAGGCAACGCGCCTCAATACTCTCGGCTCAACACGACCCAATACTGCAGTGTGCCCGCGTGTCGGAGCTACGAGGACGCGGTGTTCGCGCTACCTTGCGATGCGACCAACCGGACGTCTCAATTGACCAAGTCCTTGTGCGCGTTCATCGACTCCACCGCCAGCACGAAGCCGCCATCTCCCACCACTAACATTGCACCGTCTTCCCCGTGCTCGAGTGACATCGTTCAAGTCCGCACACCTCTCAAGCTCAAATGCCGCCAAGTGTTTGGGTCTCGCAACCCCACGACCCAAGAGGACCTCCGCGCGTACTGCGCCATAGATACATGTGTCGCCAACGTCAAGCAGTACGCCAACCTCTCGTGCACGGTGGGGGAAGTGGCAGCGGCAACGTACGCCACCATCTGTGACGACGTGACATCCACGCCGTACGTTCCGCCTGCGACGACGTGCTCTGCCGACGTCGTGGAAGTCCGCGGGGCGCTCAAACTCCGATGCGAGCAAGTGTCTGGCTTTCCTTCTCTCATGAATGCTTCAACGGTGGCCGATCTAGAGGCGTATTGCGCGTACCCGGAATGCAAAGCCAATGTCCAGCAATATGCCAACTTGACATGCGGGCTCAACGGGTACCCGTCGTCTTTGTACGCTTCAATCTGCGACGACGTTTCCAAGCCTCCCCCGTTAGCCCTTCCCCAATGCTCGGCCGAAGTGGTCGACGCCCGGGCCGCGTTGAAACTCAAGTGTCAGCAAGATACAGGCTTAAGTCCCCTGAACCTGACAACTTCCGCCGCCCGCACGGCGTTCTGCGTGAACATCGCCTGTTCTGGCCACCTCAAACAGTATGCAAATGTGAATTGCTCCATCTACGGCGCCCCCGCGGCTGTCTGGTCGACTCTTTGTGAACCCGTGGTGAAATCTCCGTACTTTACAACGCCAGCCCCCACGCCCCCCCTCACCAAGTCCACAGAGTGCGCCGCCACTGCGTACCCGTTTGGCTTTGACGTGGCCAAAACTAGATGCACGACCGCGGCGGGCATCACATCTCTCATGACGTCGTCGGGGTCCGTCGCGACCTTGGCGGCGCTGTGCCAGTTCCCAGAATGTGCGACGACGTTTTTGCTCTTCAAAGGACTCGCATGCACGTTCCAAGGGGTCCCTGCCTCGACCGTCGCCGCGATCTGCACCCCCGTAGCTGCCCCCCGTGGACCTGTGACGACATCCGTTCCATCGGTAGCAACGACCACCACGTTGCACAGCAACGCCATCCTCTTCCTCGGACTACTTGTCGTCATGTCATTCATTTGCGCGCCATACTAGTTTGTAGTTCATACACTAAAACGACTAGATTGTTGCTGGATCAACATCTGGCTAGCTAACCTTAACTGCAAGCTTAAGCTGTTCGTTCCAGAATGTAACCACATCAATTCTACACCAACCTTCAGACTCAATTCAGGTTGATGTGGCAAGTTTGTTCACTGCCAATCCTACTAGTACTGTATGTATTCATTGTTCAAACTAGATACAGTGGACATACTGAACAACTAGACGAGGTTCCTCTGTCCTCGTTGTGTGTGGTATACCCGGTGTGAAGATGCGATCGAAGCATGAACGATACCTTCGTAGCTGACGGCCGTCGGTGGGGGTCCAGCACGAGGCAGTCCAGTCCCAGCTGTCGAAACCACGCCGGGCAAGTGGCAGAAAACGTCGGAAGGATGCGACCTTTGGCGACGCCGTCCATGAGTCCGAGGTCCGTGAGCGGGTGGCCGCGGTCGTTGCGGACGTTGGCGTACGGCAGCAGCTCCGTGCTCAGTTCGCTCAAGATCACGCCAAAGCTGAAGAGGTCGGCTTTCTCCGTGTAGTGGCCATCGAGAACCACCTCGGGCGCCATCCACCGGTACGTGCCGGCGTTGAGGGTCAGAGTTTGATCATATGTTTCCCGAGCAATGCCAAAATCGGTGATCTTGGACCCACGGACAGAATCCAGCAGCACATTGCGGGACTTGAGATCGCGGTGGATCACGATGGGGTCCATCGAGTGCAGGTACACCAGTCCTTCGGCGATGCTCAAAGCACACTCGACCTTGTCCTCCCATGCAAACAGTGGAGATGACGTGGCAGCGTGGTTGGCCTGCAATACGCTGCGGAGGTCGCCCCGGTCCATGAACTCGGTCACGAGCAGCATATCCACTGGCTTGACCCACGCTGCACCTACGAACGCCACCACATATCTGCACTGGATTCTACGTATTGACGTGAATGAGTGTGTGGGTTGGCTGTCCTGCACCTAGTACTCGTATCCTGCACCTAGTAGGAGTAGTACTACTACGACTGCACTTACTTGGCGACGAGTTTGATTTCCGCGACGAATTGCGCTACCGCGATGCTCGTGGTGGCTTTTCGAGGCAGAAATTTCTTGACGGCCACTCGGTCGCCCATAAAGTTGCCGAGCCACACCTGGCCGAACGCGCCTTCCGCCACGACGTGAACTAGATGGACACTGGAGACGGGAATGCGATGCAGTTCCAGCAGCTGCAAGTCGGCCAGCATCGTCTGGGTCACGTCGAGGTCTTTTCTGCTGTTCAGGGCATTCATGGGATTGCTCCCAGATTTGGAGGAATCGTTGGTGATCGCTTTCTGACTATTTTTCAGTTTGGGTAAGCCGGACTTGGAGTCAGTTGCCAGTGGAGAGCTCACGGCGTCGAAGGCAGCAGCAGCTCCCCGATCATTCTCGCGTTGGTTGCGGCGACGGCACCAGCACCCAAGGGCTATGAGAAGGAAGAGGGCTACAGCCCCGCCCACGGCACCTCCGACCACGGCTGAGCTAGAACCAACCACCGTGGACTTCACGATCAGAGGAGATGTGGGGGTGGTCGTTTTCGTAAAGCATAAATTGACAAGGTCGCCGTTAGGAAAAGCGGACTTGGTCACTACGTCGTACATGTAGCAGTTGAGACTCGCGGAGGATGCCGCGGTGACTTGGTTTTGATTCAGCAGGTTGAAGCAGTCGGAAATGGAGCAGTCGCCTTGGAGTAGCGTGGAGTTGATGTTGGTATCCACGACGGTAGTGACATAACAACTCGCGTACATTGGTTCATTCAACAGGATCAAGTGGGTTTGGGTCACAATATCCTGGCTGCACATTGTCACAGACGACGTGTCGGGGGTCGGCGTAGCCGCCGCCATGGCACCTTTCATGTTGTGGACTGAGCTGTGAAATGTGTCAAGTGAACCGATCACCATTTTGCACGTCAAAGTCGAAGTTGTGGTGCGACTTCGATGTGCAAAATTACAAAAATTCGGACGTCGATTCGGAATTTCGTTACCAATTCAATTCTATAAATAGTGATAATATTAATACTTCTGTACTTGTATTGATTTCATTATGAATACTAGTATGCTTGATTAACAGATGTAAATGCGAAACTAGATCATTTGATGTATTTGATACGAATCGGTGTCCATGAACGGCCCATACAGCATGTCGTACTTGCCCGAGTTTTCACATGTAAAGCAAATGGTAAAGCCGGCTTGGTTGCGATAGGCGAACGAGTGCATCGCCTTGTAGCAGCCCTGGCAGTTGCCCTTGCTGCCCACGGCTGGTTGTTGCTGCTGGTGTTGCTGCGGTCGTTGCTGTTGCAGGAACACCATAGGTACATACGGCCGGTTTTCAGGACTCGCCCCACAGTCATGACAGCCCACACACAAGTGAAAGTTGAACGTTGTGGTGGATGCATAATTGGTGCCCGTGAGGGGCTTGGCACACCCGTCGCATTGCGAGGCAAACATCAGCTGGGAGTCCAAGTAGGGAGGCAACACAGCCTGGAACGGACCTTTCGACGCCCTCCACCACTGCGATCGGTCGCACTGGTCGCACAGCACAAACCCAGACAGGTCGGTCAACGACAGGTGAATGGGGCCGGAGAGCGGAAACAAGTGGCAGCCGTCGCACTGGGTGTCGTAGCGCACCGTCGTCGAGTGGTACTGCTGCTGGCGGAAGGGGCCGTGCGAAATTTTCCACTTAGACGAAGCATGGCACGAAGGGCATAGGTCGAAGTCGAATGTGGTGGTAGAGCCAAACCCGGTGGCGGTGATGGGAACGCTGCAGCCATCGCACACGGCATTCGCTTTGAACAGAGCTGGAGTATCGGCACTCTGAACGTCGAACGGGCCGTGGGACGTGGCGAACACCCCAGAAGACGCGCAAGGTTTGCACAACGCAAACCCAGCTACACGTGTGGACAGGAAAAGCGGACCAGTGAAGGGAAACAGGCCGCAGCCGTCGCATTGGGCGTCGAGGCGTCCTGGCTTAGCTGTCGAAGTGTTGCTCATGGGAAGTTGGTCAAGTTGAACAATGAGGAAATTATTGTTGAAAGCCAAGTCGTGGGGTTGTGATGCATTTAAGAACTGATCCGAACAAATAATAATTCGTCAGGAATTTTGATGTCTTACAGTAGATCCGAACAAATAATAATTCGTCAGGAATTTTGATGTCTTACAGTAGATCCGAACAAATAATAATTCGTCAGGAATTTTGATGTCTTACAGTAGCTTGTGATTTTCCGAGTAGTAATGTTACTGGAGGCTGCGGGAAATGAAATCAACTTTACAATCCTCAAACGATATGGCAGTGCGTTGTTCATCATCTACGCCATACAACACGCTAGAATAATCAAATCGAGTTGAGCCTGAGGAAGAAAGCAACGTGCACTGCTTTTAATTGCCATTTTGAAGGATTGGCAGCATCGTCCTCAATCGATTGCTTGGCTCCACACAAAACGATTGCATAACTTTTAAAAATATGACATTTAAGTATTAGAAATTACTACGTAGTATAACATAACATATCAATCATGTATGCTACTCGGAGTATAAATCATAGCTCAAGATGACAATAATTGTTTGTTCACGCTATATTTGAAGTTTTTGCCAAAATGCTGCTTCAAGGCTCAGAGATCACCGGTCAACGCAAGAACATGGTAGCATGTACAGCAGCATTGATACTACGTAATAAAGCGGTATGGACGATGTTACGATGCTTATTGCGGGATATCATCACACCCAAAGTAAGCTATATTTCAGTTTTTTGGCATGTTTGAGGTCACTTCACGCATGCTAAATAAGTGCAATCGCCACACATCACGTCTCGCTATATAGCCCACAGCCATCTCTTCAGTTTTCATATTAAATGTACCACGCCCAGGCAAGCCATTGCTGAGCAATTCAACGACAAAGTCATGTACTTTCTCGATGGTTAACATTGTCATAAATTATGACAAAGATTGATGTAACTTACAGTTACGTTAACTTGATGCTATATTTCGATGTTATCTTTTTAAATTATGACATACGTATTTTATATTAAAATACATAACGTATCCTCGTGGATACTTTTCCAAAAAACATCGTAACTGGCGGCCAAAATTTGAAGTCCATACTACGTACACGTTTTGAACAGCGGAATCGAATACAAAGTCGCCTTGCACCAAAACTCAATTCCGTCGTCTAGACATAGACATATACTTATGTCGCCGAGGATGGCTATGTTGGTCATTTCCCGCAGCCTCCTGGAACAATAAATTACTTTAACGTTAAATGTACGTATAGTTAGCAAACAAACGCAAAGTGGGGAGTATTGTTGATAAGGACTGTATAAATAGAGGTCTTCTACCTAACGTTACTAGTATCCCGGATATACAATTTATATATATATCAATGTAAGAACCACCACGGGTGGGTTGGAAGTGTTCGTAGGATTTGCAGAATAATCCTCGGAATTTTCCATTCTAGAGTGCTTCACAACTCGAAACCAAATACAGTAACGTTATCCAAAGCCAAACTTCGATACGGTTAAATCAATTGATGAATTTGATATGAATCGGTGTCCATGAACTGCCAGTGGAGCATGTCGTACTTGCCCGAGTTTTCATATGTAAAACAAATAGTAAAGCCGGCTTGGTTGCGATAGGCGAACGAGTGCATCGCCTTACTGTAACGTTAGCTGTCGAGGTGTTGCTTATGACGTACGTACAGTATAACTGGTAACGCATTAGTAAGTAGCCGTTGTGTACTGATATGCGGAAGTGCATTTGACAGGGGTGAAATATTTGACAGTGTAGGTCCTTCAACTGAAATCATCGAAAATGCGCTTATATTTGACTGTGAGCTAGCGAAACCGTCGTCGGTATGTGCTAGTAGTACTAGTAGTATATTCGTGAAAACAAGATGGTTCCACCACTATTAATAGAGTGCACGCGTACCAGTATGGGTACTGGAGGCTCTAGTTGGCTATAAGCTATGCCGGTCCTGGTAGCTAAGTTTGTTCCACCTAAGCAAGTTAGTTAGACTTCCTGTGGAGTAGTACTTTCATTACTAGTAGTACTAATAGTTTCAGCCACGACACAACGACGTAGCAAGCTATATACAGGATCTAGTATCGAACCATGCCAGTGTATATTTTGACTATATGAGTACTTTATGCCTATCTGGTCGAATCAGACCGTGCGACAATAACGTACACCTCCATTCCTCTTACATGTGAATCTCGTGCTGGACAAACAGACTCCAACTTACCAGCCACAAGCAGCATCGCCCCCATGGCAGCCTACGACACCTGCAGTCTAATCTACTCGTACCTCACAACGTCCACTTCAGGGTACTCGTGCACGTATGCCAAGTACATAGCCACCAACCAAATCGACCTCGCGACAGTGAAGACGGTCGACTGCACGCAATCCTTCTGCCGCAGCATCCTCACCACGTTTGCCAGCGTCGGCGTGTACTCGGACTTTGGGTCGTGCTACCTCAAGGACACGTCGTCGTCCAAGAACGTGAGTCTGCTGTCACTCGCTTCGGTCTGCAATGGCATCGACGTCGCCAACACCGGCGGTACCAACATCTACGTCCCCACCTACAACCCGTCCTTGTACCCGTCGGGCCTCGTCACGGACGTCCAAACCGGTATCAGTACCGGTGCCATCGTCGGCATTGTCGTGGGGGTGGTGGTCGTGGTGATCTTTTTCGGAGTGGTGATCTTCAAGTACCGTCAAAACAACAAGGCGAGTCCACCACCTCCAGCGTACATCGTGTTGAACGAGCCACGACAAGGGCACCACGCCACTGCGACTTCCACCGCAGGCACGACGTCCTCCACCGCCGCCACTGGGCAGTCGACTCGTCTTCCGAAGCCTTTGAAGCACCAACCCGATCCTTGTCAACCTCCGACTCGCACGGTCGGGTCTACTCTGGACCAGACTACTTCCAATAGCTCGTCCATGACGACCCTCACGCACAAGAGCATGCCAGGTCAATTGGACTTGTGTGAATTGGACATGCATCGCGTGCATCCCAAGGACATACATCTCATCCAACCGCTGGCCCAAGGCGCGTACGGTGAAGTGTGGGTCGCAGAACACTTGGGGGTGTCGATTGCTGTCAAGCGTCTGTTGCCGTCCAAGACATCCCTAGCCGACTTGCAAAAGTTTATTTGGGAAATCAAGCTCTTGTCCAAGTACGTTGTTCTACACATTGTATGTCATGGGGGCTACTACTACTAGTACTACTATAGTATGTATATGACAAATGGCCAGTGAGTAGTCACTACATAGTACAATGACTACTAACTGTATGACTTGGCATGGAATGGACGACAGTTGGTTGCTGTGACGATCATAATATTGACTGTGAGAATCATGCATGGCTACAATTAACAAAACGTGACTAAAATGAATGGACAGGATCGATTGTCCATATGTCGTGCGCTTCCTTGGCGTGTCGTGGACGAAACCGTCCGACATGATGCTCCTGACCGAGTTGATGGCCGGCGGCGACTTGCGCCAAGTGTTGGAATCGAATCAATCGACCAATCACAACCACCAGTTTACGTGGCACGACAAGGTGCAGTGTGCGCTGCACATTGCCGAGGGACTGGTGTTCTTACACTCGATGGACCCCAAGGTGATTCACCGCGATTTGAAGTCGCGCAACGTACTCCTAGACGCCGACTTTAACGCCAAGATCACGGATTTTGGCATTGCGAGGGAGACGGACGACGCCACCATGACCGCGGGCATCGGCACGTACCGGTGGATCGCGCCAGAAGTGCTTCTGGACGGCCACTACTCCGAGTCAGCCGACATTTTCAGCCTCGGTGTGATTCTGACCGAGCTTAGCACTCAACTCATTCCGTACTCGGACTTGCGTAACGACAAGGGCAACGTGTATACGGATACGGCCATCATGGCCAAAGTGATGGCGGGCGAGCTGACTCCGACGTTTGCATCGGAGTGTCCCATGTGGTTTGTCAAGCTGGGGCGGGAATGCATGGCGCTGACACCGCAAGACAGACCTACCGCCATGAAAGTCGCGTATCAGCTGCGAAGTCACGTCCAGGGGTTCGTGTAACCGAATATCTAGACGTTTAAACGAGTACATATACAGGAGTACATAGTACACGTTGTAAACGAGTGTAGGGACTTGATGGGGTGGTGTAAGTTAGTGGAAAGTATAAGTCGGCCATGGTTCTGTACGGGATTGCATGGGATACGTCCACTGTGGCGTCAGTAGTGATAGGCAGCGATGATGCGGTAACATATATCTTTTAAATTTCCGATTATATCGTATTGTGCAAGAATATTTACTGCTTCATTCTTTCGATATCAAGATACACGTGCGACATCGATATGATATATATTGCGCATACTACGTAGTAAGTATTGCACCAGTATACTAGTACGACTCTACAACCTACACATTTTCGCTGTAAGTTGGAAGAACGCCCGATATATTTGGCCGTGCACCCGATATATTTGGTGGTGTGCCCGATATAATTAGCCATGTACCCGTTTAATTTAGCACACTGAATCGTCCAACTTACAGTTAACTGCAAAATGGTGTAGTAGTAGTACATAGTATACTTCAGGACATTGGAATGGCCTGTGCATATGCTTCCATCTCTCAAACCATCATTCAAAAGACAAGCCACCCTATTATAACAAGATGTTATCCTTACAATAAGAATTCTATTATCCTCTATTTATACTCTTAGTTTATTAGTTTTGAAAAAAGAAATAAAGTTACTTAAATTTAATGCATTATTTATTAAATAAGAAGAACTATAATCTATTGTGTGGAAATATTGTCTAACTGAACTTGAAGCGTAACGTTACCACTGATCCTTTGTCCCATAATCAATCATACAGTAACCGCTAAATCCTGTTTTCAGCTGATTCCACTTCAGGTTATTATTATACAGTAACTACTATTAATTACACCCTTCCACTTGTCTTCGAATAGTGTACGCCGTCTTCATAGCTGTAGGTCGTTCCAACGGATCTAACGCCAAGCACGGTGTAGCCACGTCCAAGTACCACCGAGGACAATCCGATGCAAACGTCGGAATCAGCTCGCCCATCATCACTTTGGCCATGATGGCCGTATCCGTATACGCGTTGCCCTTGTCGTTTCGCAGGTCAGAATATGGCACAATGTTCGTACTCAGCTCAGACAAGATGACGCCAAAGCTAAATATGTCGGCTTTCTCCGTGTAGTGGCCGTCCAGAAGCACTTCTGGCGCCATCCACCGGAACGTGCCGATGCCCGCGGTCATGGTGGCGTCGTCCGTCTCCCTTGCAATGCCAAAGTCGGTCAGCTTGGTGTTAAAGTCCGAGTCGAGCAGTACGTTGCGCGATTTTAAATCGCGGTGAATCACCTTAGGATCCATTAGGTGCAGGTACACCAGCCCCTCGGCCACACTGAGTGCACACCTGAGCTTGTGCACCCATTGAAACGACGTCGGCGTAAGTTCGAGCACTTGACGCAGGTCGCCGCCGTTCATAAACTCGGTGAGGAGCATCATGTCGCCAGGAGTGTTCCATGCGACACCAATAAAGTGCACTACGTACGGGCACTCGATTCTACCACGAGAATACTAATTATTCACAAGCAATGATATTTGGCAGTACAAGTTACTCGAATAAAAATATATTAACAATAAATGATATTTGGCAGTACAAGCTACTTGTACGAATGAATTATGACCATAAACATATTTTAAAATATGGGATAAGGAGCACGAGTTATTAGTATTGTTGTAGGTGAAAAATGATTGTACAGTACTATTAATAGTATGGATTCTACTCCAAAAATTAAAAGAAAATGGAATTTATCTTTTCAAGTTTTGGCCAAGCAATTCTTTCTTTTTCATTTTTTGGAATCGAACAATGTCATATAAAACAAAGTTGAAGAGGTATCTTTGTGACTGCAATACTACAATCAATCTGTTTAGCCAATCAAATTGCAACCTTCATTCTTTATAACCAATCATACTCCTTTTCTCGATTAGATTTGGCGATTTCATCAATCCCCCAAAATACGCAAATTTAACTGTTGTGAAAAGCACAATACAATGCTACCGTTACGGAGGGACGATATTCACGTAGAAATCCCGTTTAAATCCAACCAGATTTTTCGGATATCATAATTGACCAAACAAGATGGAAAGTGACAGAGGATCGTATCATATCGTATTCTACCTAGTAATAGTTTGTATATATACAAATATATATATATATATATATATATATATCTGGTGGGTGTGCTTGCCATGAACGTACTTGGAGAGTAGTTTAATCTCCCAGATGAATCTTTGGACGTCGGGCAGCGTCGATTTCGTGGGCAGCAGTCGCTTGATGGCAATCTGGCTACCTTGGTAGTCCCCTACCCAAACTTCTCCAAACGCGCCTTGGGCCAGTGGTTTCACGAGGTGGACGTCGGAGGTGGGCAACCGGTACATGTCTATCTCGCACATGTCCAGCCCCGTCGATTGAAACGCAAGTGTGCTACTGTGATGGTGGTAGTTGGTTCTAGAGGGGTGGGTCGAGGCTGCAGTGGCGATCGAGTTGGACCAAGTAGACGACAGTTGTTTGAGTGCTACGGAGGCTGGATTAGCAGCGGCATGATCGTTGAGATGGAGGAAACTGGTGGACTGCGGAGGTCGTCGACGTCTGGTGCGCATGTACACGAACGCGGCAATGGCGACGCCGACGACAACGACGGCCGCGACGGCGACAATGATCGTGACCGAGTTGTTGCTGCTTTCGTCATGCACAACAGACGGGAGGGTTGGTGGTGGCAATGGAGGGAGCGGGGACTGGCTGGCTGGGTTGCTTGGCGACGATGGTGCGGCGACGGGAGGTGACGACGACGTCGGAAGGACCGACTGGCACGCCACGGCAAAGTCCTTGAAAGGAATCCGCTTCGATGTTGATTCATCTGTCAGAGTACAGTCCGCGAAGGTCGGCATCTTGGCATACTCGATAAAGGTGGCGAAATACGACCGGCAGTACACGTTGCCGCAGTCGATGGATCGAACGCGATCTAGATCAACCACGGACGCCGCGATTTTCTTGGGGTAGGAGCAAGCATCAAAGTATGGCGACGAGAGCAATGCGGTTGCCAAGCCGTTGTACATGATGCTGCATGCATCGGCGGCCATCGCGGGATTCAGTCGAGCCGGCGAGAGATGGGATTGTGATGGAACGAATGGCGTAATGGGTACAGCACCACAATCAACGACAAAATTCATGAAAAAGATTGGATATTTTGGCAAATAAGTGTGAAATGTAGTCGCAAACCAGTGAAATTAGTTCGAATTCAAAGTCAGTTACAGGGTAAAAGGATAAATTTGTAGGACTAATTATACAATGTAATATTATCAATAAGATTCCTTGAGCCTAATTTCAATTGTATCGTACAAAACACTCGCTATAATTGCATATTTATTCTAAACGCTTCATGTGTCCTTACCGGAACACGTACGAATTGTTGCAAGTCAACCATGCTCGTACTGCCCATAAGTCTGCTCTCCCAGGACAAGCCGACAGATTCGACGTCCACGATGGAGGACTGCGCGGCGTACATAGGAACGTACTCCAATGCACTCCTCCAACGGCCTGAATATGTCAACTGCGACTTCCCCAAGCAGTTTGCGGCTGGCAAACTCGACTCGCGCCGCCTGAAGGCCATCGACTGCACGCTCAAGCTATGCAAAACCGTGATCGAAGGCAACAAGAACGCGTTCTCAGTGTTCCCAGGGTGCTCCCTTCCCGACACTGCAAGTAGCAACACACCCGTCGAACTCGCCACGCTCAGTTCGCTGTGCACGGACATTTCAATTGTCGACACGGGTGTCGTCACCGGTCCTCCCTCGTCATCGCCATCAGCCTTCGCCCCTGCATTCTCTCCTTCTCCATCCAATCCATCACCCATGTATCTAGCTACCCCTCCTTCATCGACTCGTTCGACCTTGGATGCTCCGAATAACACTGGCATCCTCGTCGCGGCCGGCGCGAGCATTGCCGTCTTGGCGCTGGTCATATGCGGATACGTGTACATGCGCACCCATCGAAAGCATACCACCAGCGCCTTTGCACGGGTAGAAGACGGAGAACGAACGGACGACCAGCAAACCCATCAAAAGGGCGACCCCACGTCCGTAGCACCTTCGACCACGTCTTCCACGGGAGATTCTTCGTACGCGGTTACGGGGGAGCTGGACTTGGCCGAGATGGAACGGCATCGCATTCCAGCGGCCAACGTCGTCCTCGTGAAGACGCTGGCCAGTGGCGCGTTTGGCCAAGTGTGGCTAGGACAGTTGAACAGCCGACAGGTCGCCGTGAAGACGCTGCTCACGACCTGCACGACCAAGTCAGATCTGCAAAAGTTCATGTGCGAAATTGCACTAGTTGCCAAGTACGTAACTTCGTGTACATCGACTATTTGTGGCTACTGTACATTTGCTACCTATGGTGTTGTTGGTGGCGGGGTTGTCTGATTGGCTTTTGCATTGACATGTGACACTGTGAAGTTGTGATTCAGAAACCAATCAATGAGACAAATGTCGTCACAGTACTACCTAGTACTACTACTACATACTACTACTACGTAGTAGTCGAAGTCAGTCGACATTGCAGTAACCAATGTTTGAGGTCAAAGGCTCGTCTAACGTTCAGTGCAGATGGGGCTGGGTTGTGTGGTACGATTGCAGTTTGCACTTGGGCTCCATAGTATGTACTAGCATGTACTACCGGTAGTATGTAACGTTCGTTGATTCGTTTTGATTCATACTAGTACTGTACTAGTATGCACTGACGATTCCACTAACTGTACAGGATCGAGTGCGAATATGTTGTGTCGTTCATTGGAGTCGCTTGGACGCGGCCAACCGACATGATGCTAATCACAGAGTTCATGGACGGCGGCGACCTGCGCAGTGCGCTGCAGCCCAATCTCGAAACCCATCGACGGCTGACATGGAAGATGAAGGTCCAGATAGCCCACCGCGTCGCCGAGGGACTGGCGTACTTGCACTCGATGGCACCAAAGGTGATCCATCGAGACTTGAAGTCACGCAACGTACTGCTGGACTCGGTCCAGGGCGCCAAGATCACAGACTTTGGCATTTCCAGAGAAACGAACGACGCCACCATGACGGCCGGCATCGGCACGTATAGGTGGATGGCGCCAGAGGTGCTCCGAGACGGTCACTACTCGGAACTGTCGGACTTGTTCAGTTTCGGCGTGATCTTAGCCGAGTTGGACACGGAGATCTTGCCGTACTCGGACCTGCGCAACGACAAGGGCAACCTGCTCACGGACACGGCCATCATGGCCAAGGTCATGGCGGGACAGCTGCGACCGACGCACGCGCCTCAGTGTCCGGACTGGTTTGTCACGCTAGGGAGGAACTGCACGGCGCTGCATCAGATGGATCGACCCACTGCCGTCGAAGTCGCCTACGTCCTTGGACAACACCTCAGCAAGCTTTAATGCTCCACCCCAGGTGTTTCGTCCATATTACCAAAAAAGATCGATTAGTAATACTAGTACAGGTATACTACAGTGGTACTCTCTGGTGTTAGCTGGCTATTAATACTACTAGTAGTACGATGTATACATATGCTACAATTAATAGTACTACTACGTAGTGACGTTGCCATCGTTTGATTGGCTACATGACAACAATTTATTTCAAGCGTTGTTACCAACTTATTTTAATTCCCTTGAATATGACTTCCCATGTTGATTACTATTACTACTTGAAGTAGTAGTACTATTAATAGACGTAGTACGAAGTAGTATGTGTAGAATTCCTGTAGATGTGTCGGCAAGTTCAGCCAGCCAGTGTTCCGTCACCTACCCATTCTCAATCCTCCAGTGTCATGGTGTCAATGCTGCACAGTCTATTCATATGGTACTTCGAAGTAGTACAGTAGTAAGTTGGCCCTTCTTGGCTGGGACTTTTTTAGTGTAAGTTGACCTTCCATATTACGACGTTTTAAGGGAATTGAACGTCGTCCAACGTTTTGCGTCCAGAATTCAAGGAAACTCTGCAAATCTTGAGGTCCTGGCAGTGCGTGCTTCATGGCTACCCCATCGCCGCCCTTTTGCTCGCTCCCTGACATTCTCAAGGCTTCGCTGCTTGCATCGAACGATCTCGTGAAGTCATGCGACAGCGTTCAGGCGCTGGTATCAAGACTGTTCCAACCCGTCCCGTTCGATGTCGCAACTTCGCCATCATCATGCGGCGAACGAGAAGTTTGCAAGGAACTCACTGACGTCCTAGAGTCCAACAGCGTGTTTGGCTGCGCATTCTCGCCCGCATCCGGACCTCCGGGGTGTGTCCTTGCCCCGCTGCCGGTTCCCCCGCCGACCCCGTCGTCCAATCACACCGTGATCATCGTCGCCGTGGCATGTGGTGTTGTCGTGGTCGTTGCTGTAGTTTCTGCAGTCGTATACGTGAAACAAAAAGCTCGCCACCGAAAGCTCTCGACCCTTCCGATGCATGAAGACAGTGAGTGTTGTGATGAAGGGTACGTGGCAGCTCCTGGTGGCACCGCCTTGGCTTCCAAACGTCCGGTGCCCGCATCCGCCTACGTCCGACCTCCGTGCGCGACCTTCTCGGACCAGCTCAACTTTTACGACCTGGAATCGTTTCGGCTTCCGTACGACCATATCGTTCTCGAAAAACCATTGGCCCAAGGCGCGTTCGGCGACGTGTGGCTAGGACACTTGCTCAACCAACGGGTGGCTGTCAAGACTCTGAAAGTCGCCAATGTCGCGCAGGACGTGCAGCTTTTTATATGGGAGATCCTCCTGCTATCCAAGTACGTTTATATATGAACCTGTTGGTCTTCGATTGAGTGGTGTGGGTTGATTGATTGGATGGACAGTTGGAACGTGTGAATTTACATCGTGTTGGGGAAAACGAGCATGCGACAGGGTCATGTTCGAACTATCCCATTTATATATATATATATTACATATTCATTTAAAAATTAAAAAAAGATATAATTTTTTAACGATCCTTTTTATTAAAATTGAAGGAATCCTTCGAAGTATTTAATAGTACTACGTTGTACTCCGGAGTACTAGTATATTTTATTGAATGTCAAAGAATTTTTTTTTTTTTTTAAACTTGACTTTCCATTTGGAAATATCAAAAGTCCTTTGCGATGCTTTCACATGGCGTAGTAACTACAACTAACGTTAACGTTAACTGTACATGGATATAAATCGATTTTCTTTGGTTTTGCTGTTGAATTGACCTTCACATGTCCAACCACGTTGTCGCAGGCTCGACTGTCCATATGTGGTGCACTTTCTCGGGGTAGCCTGGAACGAGTCGCCATCACGCATGATGCTTGTGACAGAGTTTATGGACGGCGGCGACCTCCGCTCCGTGCTGGACGCGAGCCGGACCTCCCGCCGCTTTTCCTGGCTACACAAAATGGAATGTGCTCTGCACATTGCCGAAGGGCTGGTGTATTTGCACTCGTTGGACACGAAGGTGATCCACCGAGACTTGAAGTCGCGCAACGTGATGCTGGACTCTGTGTCGGGCGCCAAGATCACCGACTTCGGGGTCGCGCGGGAGACGAATGATGCGACCATGACCGTCGGCATCGGCACGTACCGGTGGATGGCACCTGAAGTGCTCACAGACGGCCACTACACGGAGAAAGCCGACATGTTTAGCTTTGGAGTGATTCTAGCCGAGCTCAGCACGGAATTGGTCCCGTACACGGACTTGAGCCTATCGGATGCCGGGATTATAGCCAGGGTTATGGTGGGAATGCGCCCGACCTTCGACACGACAGAGTCCCCGCCCTGGTTTGTGGAGATGGGAACTCAGTGCCTGGCACTCCAGGCGGACCAGAGACCGACCGCCGCCGCCGTCGCGTACGCGCTGCGCCAGGCGTTGAAACAGACGGCGGAAACTAGGGTTGTGTGAATAAAAATCTACGAAATATTTCCAAGTGACATCGTTTTGTGTGAATATATGCTTGTAGTATTAATATTTTTAGCATTCTAATTCGAGATAATGTCCTGGTAGGATGATCTCTTCAAAACGTGGCCGTGAAGTGAATCAATCATCATCACGCACAATTCCGTCCGATAACGTTATATTTGAATGCAGCGAATTCGCAGTGTGAATGGGAAAATAGGTATTTCCAAAAAGGGAATAAATTTCGACATAATTAATAAAATACAAATTCTATAGATCTTTTTAATAAATAAAAAAATATTAAAATAATTATTTTATGTAGAAATATCTATAATAAATATATCATAGATATTTAGGACTCGAACCTAGATAATGTAGCTTAGAAGGAATAATACTGCACTATGTACTACTAATATTACCAGGACTAACTGTAAATTATCAAGGTAGTAAATACGAAGTATTAATATTTGTATAACAGCGCGGTAGTATAACGTAAGGTTACAATCGGAGGATGATATGGTTATCCGGATACTCATGTACCAGTGTGTATGATAACACGCATTTTATCCGGACGATACTTTTGACACAACATCACATTTGACGACGCAAGTCCATGGCGTTCGACAGCTGCGGCAACTTCATCGCGAGCATTGTAAAGAACACCGTTGCATCCGAGCTATGCACGTACCTAAAGACTGTTGGGGATCGGAAGGTGAACTCGACCCTGATGCAGAGTGTCGATTGCAGGGACTTGACCTGCGATCAATCGCTGTTGAGCCACGACGCGTCGTTCGCGTCCATCGCCAACTGCGCCGTATTGGACGTCGCGACTGGAACGAACGTGGAGATGAGTAAATTCAGCTCTCTCTGCGGCAATGTACGGGCTTCGTTGACTCCAACGACCTTCACGCCAAGCAGTAGTCACAGTGCCGCACCTACCACGTCATCCACACCATCTTACGTTGCTCCTGGAGCGACTGCCAGTCCCGCCGCCACCACAATCTACAATACCTCGTCATCCTCCACCGTGACCATCGTCATCGTGGTCGCAGCTGCTGTGGTCATGATATTGCTAGGCGCCATGTTGTGGCAGCGTTACCGACAGACGACCACAATCCCATCGAAACAACTCGATCCGCGAGCCTTTGTCATGTTGGACGAGCCGCCGCCATCGACCGTGGATTCAAATGGTACCAAGCAACCCTCTAGCCCTGCTGAATCGACCTCGTTGACGTTGTTGGCCGACCTAAAAAACGTGGATATGGGGGCGTTAGCTCTCTTCCGAGTACGTCGAAGCGACGTCACACTCATCCAGAGCTACCGCCATCGCGGCGCGCAGTATCACATCCGACGGGCCGAGTACTTGGGCCAAGCTGTGGCCCTAACCTCTTGTCGAGACAGCCACCACATCCCGTCCTTTGTCGCAGAAATGAAACTCCTGTCCACGTACGACAGTACCCATATACCAATGGTGTGTGGACAATTGACTCGTGTGTAATTTTTATTTCATTCTAGCCTCGACTGTCCGAACATTGTGCGGTTTGTAGGCGTGTGGTGGGGTACGTACACGTCTGATTTGACGCTTGTGACAGAGTTTATGGTCGGCGGCACCTTGCGCGAGGCGTTGGCTCGCTCGTCGTCGACTTTGTTTTTTTCTCACACCTTTCAACTGTCCTGGCAACAGAAACTGACCATCGCACGCCACATCGTGGACGGGTTGGTGTATTTGCATTCCCTTGACACCAAAGTGCTGCACCGCGACCTGACCTCCCACCATGTGCTGCTAACGGTATCGTCGCCGTCGTCGTCGTTGCCGTCGTGTTCCCAATCCCTCCAGCCATCGTCTGTGGTAGCCAAGCTCCATGGCTTCCATCGGTCGAGACCAGTACAGTGCGATGATCTGACGCTTACGGCGGGCGTCGGCACGCTCGTGTACGCAGCCCCAGAGGTGCTCCAAGGCGGATACTACGATGACCGCGCCGATATGTTTAGCTTGGGCGTGGTCTTGTCCGAGCTCGACACGGAGGAGATGCCGTACTACGAGAACCTGCAAATGTCATGTGGAGGGAAGCCGCCGCTGTCGAATGCGGAGCTATCTGTGGGCATCATGACGGGGTCGTTGGAGCCTACCTTCTCACGCGACTGTCCTGCCTGGTATGTGGCGCTAGCTCGGGATTGTTTACAGCTGGACCCACACCTCCGTCCATCGGCATCGAAAGTAGCCTATCGCATGCGAGTTCAGAAGTAACCAATACTATAGAGTGAAAGAAATACCACTACAACTTTTCGCCTGTACGATTGATTGTTATGAAGGAATGTATGAAGGAATGTATGTACTATTAATAGTATCGTAGCAGCACTTGTATTACTGTATGTTAGTATTACAGTAGAGGATTCAAACTACTATACTATAATGTCACCATGTACTCGGAGTAATATATTATTACCAATGCAATTTTTTGTTCACTGAAACGTAGGCTACAAATGACTATAAACTGAAGCGCGATCGATCGAAAGTGCCTTACCAGCCTGCCACGTCATACTGCAGGTGGCTCCGCCCCCATCAAACACTCTATTTGTACGTGGACATGTCGATATAATTCTGTCAGGTATGTGGGATTAACCCCATCAAGACTCTACTTACTGCCAACTGTACGATGTACGATGTATGTAGCCCCTCCAACGAACTCTATGGCCACTCGGGGTATTTATTTTCCATAGGATGTTGGATTATGGGTTAAATATGGTTTCGAAGCACTTTCTACACTGTGACAACGTCTGTTACTGAAAGCCCCGCCAGGTGGACGTGGATGTCGTCGTCGTGGAGGGCAGTCCACCCAAACGTCAAATGGCAGGGCTTGGCGCTGTCGTGCAGCATGCGGCCGATTTGGTCGATGGTGAGATACCCTACGTTGATGTGGTTGATTGTCATGAGCTCGTACTCGGTGGTCACGCCGGCGCGGTCCAGCGCTCCGTCCTCGGGCACGTTCTTGACCATCACCGGCGGCGGGTTCGGGTGGAATGCCAGCACTTGCGGGATGCCGGCGGCGTGCCCGGTCTTGAGCACCACCATCATTTCGTTGAAGTTGTCCATTTTCACATCAACCCCGTTGATCGACTGCAACACAAACTTGGCGCGGACGCCGGACGTGATGCGCTTCGACACTCGGCGCGCGACCACCTTTTTCGAGTAGAACTCTGTGGCCAGCGTAATGTCGGCGTCGTCGCCGTTGCTCCACGTGTGCTGGACCGTCTTGACGTCGCTCGGGGTCGGGCGCGCCAGCTGCAACCCCACGCTTTCGCCGCACCAGATGTACTCGATGATCGCAGGAACGTCGTCCAGGTAGTCTGTCGACTGGCTGAGGCTGGTGGCGCGTGGCGTGGTCATGGTAGTAAGTAGATCGCGTCGTCCTTCGTGCCACTGTGCAAATTGTGATTTGTTGAGCTCGTTTTGATGGAAAACGTTGACGGGGAAGGGGCGTATATTGTTTTTATTCGGTTTCATTGACTCCGTATACTAAACCCAAGTGTAATCCGCCTGTCTACGATTAAAATACGCTGGGGTCGGTAACAATATCAAGTCTCACAGGATGTAGTCATCCCACGACCCAATCCGCGCCCGCGATTTGTGATGGATGTCATCGACATCGTTCGTATCCGGTTTATCCGGACAACCAAACCTCTATCATTTTATGTTGAAGCCAGTCAATGACACTTTACACTGTACGATACCGTACCCAACTTCAACAAAGTCATGTCGTGCCAGCCACTCGATTCCTTGGCCAAGGGTTAAATCCATGGATTACTATATATATGTTGCCATCTTATGGGTACACCCCAGCACATGTACAGTATCTATATATATATATATATATATAAACTCGACCCAAGTATATATTTATCTTCGTCACATCGATCCAGTCGCAATCAGTCTAACGTTGCATCCCACATATACGCCGTCGGGTCTGCATCGTCAAACGATTCCCCTGCCGCTTCGTGAACCTATACACACATCAAATCCATACATTTTAGAACTCTTGGCCAATATATATATATATATATAAACCCACATACAACTAGCTACTCGATATATCGTCCTGTACGTACCTCCAGCCAGCCGAGCCCGAGGTCGTATTCGAGTAGCATTTCCGTCATTCGCTCCAAGCTCTTCGCATGGGACCACTCGACGGTCGACTGGTCTGCTAGCTCGACAACCAACGCCCACGGCTGCTTCGCCATGAGCGCGACGACCGACCCCGCCGACGGCCCCCACGACTCCAAGTGCAATTTCAAGCACATTTGGACATGAACATGTCGTGTACCCAGCCACAGCATCACACCCACCACCTACACATATATATGATTAAATACATAAGAATGGGCAATTGATTCAGAATGGTACGAAATCTTCATCCAATTAGTGTATGCCGTTCATCACCCAATTAGTGTATGCCGTTCATCACCCAATTAGTGTATGCCGTTCATCACCCAATTCGTGTATGCCGTGAATCGTTCGGGTGATGAGCATCTATTTACTTCCGAACACACTTGGAGGATGTACATACAGTATATCGTTCAAGTAGACAAATCGATCGATAATCGACCAATCAAAACCCACAACACGAATCCAGTGGCCAATCAAATCCAGTCTCTTTGATATTCAAGTATTGAATTAGTGTACGACTGAAATTAGTGTGACCCTGGACGACGATTTGTACTAAAAGTCCGTACAAACAACAATCGAGTAGAGTTGGCTACGAATCCACTAAAAATCAGCCTTATTTCGGGTACAAGGAAGAAACAAACATTCCGTACACACCATCATTCCCATATCTACATTTATCCACACAAGTATGTCCACAGGACCATCCATGAATCCCATACATCAAAAGCATCGTACCTGCGCCTGCGCCTGGGCGCTCTTGAGGCCATCCATGTGCTTGGCCATAACGTCAAACCACTGGCTCACTCGAGTCTCTTGCAGCGAATCCGAGAGCCCGAGAAACCCGTCGAGTACGTACACGAGTCCAGCGGTGGTAGTACCGTACGGATTCAAATGGCCGACGACGTCCCCCACGACGTTTATCACAGACGTCGTGTACGCTTCCCAGTCGCAGCTCCAGCTTACGAGCAGGTCCGCCAGGGCCTTGGCATGGTCGGCATGGCTAAACATCTTGACGTACAGCGTCTTGAGTAGCAGACACGACCGGGTTTCACTGTCCACAGCCGTGTACACCTGGTCTCGATACAGTCGGGCTACGATTGAGAGCGGCCGCACGAGCGCCGACGGCGGCAATACCTTGGGGAGCCGCTTTCGACTGTATGCGGCGTACTGGTTGCCCATGAGTGGACTCAGATCCCCCAAGTACAAGTCGAGCAAGTACATGCCGCACTTGCGCGCTCGCAGGAGGTTCCGCACCGCCGGATGGAGTTCCGCCAAGCCAGCCAGCACTCCCATCCACTCGTTCATGTGGCGCCAGTGACTCGCCACGTCATCCACCATGCCAAACAAGTGCATCGCGTCCACGAGCCGACCAATCACCGACGTCGACGTGGCAGCGGCGCTGTCAGCTTGGAGCGCCGCCAAGTCATTTTCAAGCACCAACGTGCACAGATGAACCAGCAACGTGGAAAACTCGACGCGAACACTCGGCTTGGTGCAGTGCAGCAACACGTCGAGTAACTCGGCCAAGTTGTGCTGGACAAAATGGCCCAGAACAGCACCGGCAAACGTGGGGCATGTGACGTGGTTGCCAACCAACGACAGCAACGGCAACGGCGCCAACGTGAACGCGCGCGCGTACAGCGGGATGCATCGTACGGCCGACATGAGAAACGTCCACTGTGCCATGTCCTCGTGTAACGGCTGCGATACAGTGGGAAACTGCTCCAGCAACGTGCACACACACGCGAGAAACTCTTGTTCGTGGGCATAACACGACTGGACAAATGCTTGGTTCTCGGCCGCGAGGTCGGCCATCACGGACGACGGCGGCGGTACGGCGGTCGGTGCCAACTCGGAAGCCGCGTCGGCATGTCGTCGTCGTTCGTACACCAAAATGTACGCGCTCTTCGAGTTCAACGGCGAACTTCGCGCATACGGATCTCTGTCGCACGAATTGGTACTGTGACCCTTGTCAGCCCCGCCAAAGCACTCGGTTTCTAGCTGGCCCAGGTCGAACTTGGTCACTTGCTCGTCGTTAAACTCGACCCACTGGCCATTCGATCGGTCTTGAACCAGCGAGTAATAGTGACCCGATTCTGTACTCCCCATATGCACCACACATCCCACGAGGTCGTACATCGCGTCGTCATGTGCTGCCACGTCATCACGTTCTTGTTCGCTTTGCAATAAGCCGGCTTTGGTGTATGGAAACATATCAAGTTTGAGAGGAAACCGAAACTCGTCGTTGACTTTTTCCCGTAAGAACGTATCAAAGTTGAGCTCAAACCGTTTGAGATGGAGTAACAGTGTCTCAGGTAACTGATCGAGGCAGTCGCGCTTCATCGTGTCCTGCTTGGTGCCGCACATGTCGCAGTTGACGCCGCTGAGGACTTCGCCATCCGACCACGTCTGTAGCGAATGGACGAGCGAGTCGTGGCCTTTTACCTCGACCGTCATGCACACAAACGATGTCGCAGCTGTCTCCCGGATCGAATGGCATCCGCCTTGGCACACGAGCTGCGTGCACACGGTTCCCCCAAACAAGGGAGGATTCGCGCCATCACATTGGGTTAAATACTCGGACAAACCATCGCAAAACTTGGTCAGAAACTCCTCGGCGTCCTGCTGGACCATCACGTTGAGCGGACCGGCGCCGGTTTCGTCCGTCAGACACGCCAAGAGGTGGCTAGGGTCCACATGTTTGAGCTGGCTCTCTTGCAGCGTCGCAAAGAGGCGCTGGATGTGCGCAAACACGGGGGGGTCCGCCTCGGAGATTGGCATTGTGAGCACCGCGCGGCGAATCGATGGCGTCATATACAGCTGCTGGAGCGTCGAGTTCAAGTAGCATGTGCACCCGAGGTTGCGAAGGCCCACGTACGAGGCTTTCATTTGGAGGTGCGGGTCCCAACTCCACTCCCAGTCGTCGTAGAAGGGCTTGACGGGAGATTCCAGTACCAACCGAGCTAGTTGGTGCACCACAAATGCAAAGTTGCCATTGGTCACGTCCGCCGACCGCGACGGGTACGTCGAGAGATCGACCACGAGTCGGAACGCGGCTTGCCGACTCGTGGCCGACGTACACCGCGGATGCCACGACTCGTTGGTGGTCGACGGGTACGACATGAGACATGTGTGCCACACTTCTAAGAGCAAGTTGGGCTGAAACGTCTGGAGGGCTGGAAACCCTGCGACGAGGCACCGCAGGATAAACAGCTCGCCGAGGACTGGGTCGGCGTCGTTGGTCGAGAACAAACTGGTCGAGGCATCGGTGAGAAACGCCGACGATTTCGACGTGTGGGTCTGTAACGCTGTCACATGTGCGTCCAACAGCGCTTGGGGCGCCGGGTGTGCTTGCCACGTGTACAGAAACAGCCCCAGAAGCGTACTGTATCGCAGAGGGAGAGGCTGGCCGTTTGTCTCTAGCTCTACAAGTTGCTGCGCCACGACGCCACATCGCACCGGGTCCAACTCGATCGAGTCACGCGCAAAACTCAACACGAGCAACGCATGCGTAATCAAATGGCGCACCCGTCGACTTGTGCTCGTAAACATCATCCGGATAATGTCTACCGGAAGGGTTTCAAACAGACGCGAGTACGAGGCACAGATCAGGTACAGGCGAAGGCCAGCTTCAATTGCCATGTCAGAAGAGGAAGCAGCTTGAAGCGCATCCGTGAGCAGCCGACAACACGCGCCATGGAGCGATGTATAGTCGATGGATGCAATTAGGGCAGCCACGTGGTCTTGCACGGCGGCGGCCGCCTGTGACGTGGCATCGCTGGTGGTTTGTCCCATACTTGTTGGGACAAACGGACTCGTGGTCGGGTCGCGGTACGGACTGAGCACGAGCTCCACCACGACGGGAATGTCCATGTTGACATGTTCTGGGTCAAACTCGACGGTTTTGGGAACAACGTAGTCCTTGTACGTGGGTGCGTGGGCGAGGATGGTCACTAGGAGGCGCAGACACCCCATCGTCACTTGATGGCGCAAGTACGTCCGGAATGATCTGCCTTCTTCTTGTTCTTCTTCATGGCGGCGACTATTGGCGAGAAACAAGTCGACAATACACGCAGGTCCATCCGTCAAGACAAATGTCGTGAGCATGGCATCGCCCGTGGTATTGTCGTCATGGATCAAGTTGTCGAGCACTTGCAACCGATACAGCAGCTGCGTCTGACTTCCGTGGGGCACCGACGCGACCAACAGCGACGACGACCACGTGTCGGCATGCGTCCGGATCGCGTCCACCACGGCCGCGGGCGTCGGCAGTCGCATGAGCAGGTCCCACGCTTCCTTGGCGTCGTGCTCTCGGATCAGCGACATGAGCACGTCCACGAGGCGCGGCTCAAACACGACCGCTGGCCGCGGGATGCTCGGCGCGAGGGGGATGTTGGGTCGGCTCACGACAAGCACCGTGTCGCCGTCGCGGAACCCCGCGTCCGCCAGTGTCACACACCGGCTCAGCTCGTGGATTTCGCTGCCCATGCGAAAGAAGCGGAGCCCTTTGGTCGACAGTGGCGCCGTGTCCAGCTTCCGCGCCACCGCCACCTGCATCTCGAGCACCGTATCGTGTGCGTACACGTCGAGCGGCAGGCGCTGGCCAGTGGTGGCCGTCAGTTTGATGCTGTTGTTCACGGTCAAGTGGAGCGGGGGGCCGCGGGAAGCCTTGCCGTGCGGGACCCAGTCGCCGGTGGCCAGCGCGGCGGCAGACGCTTCGTCCGTGCCGATGATGCTGGCAAGGACAGTGAGGCATCGGCTGCGCACGGACGCGTCGGTCGCTTGCTCCAAGTAGTCGAGTCCGTCTGCGACGAGGTTGAGCGGGGGCAGCTCTGGATCGAGTTTGAACGGCAGCAGCATGAGAAACTTGATCGTTTGTACAAACACAACGTGGGAATGGGATGTGGGGCGCCCGCGTAGCAACACGGTCCACAGCATGGACGTCCCCATGAGCGGCAGGTGGTGGATCGCAAACTGGTTCTGCGACGTGGGAGTTCCTGCGACGTGGTCGAGTGTAAGCAGGCCATGGTGATGGTTGGTCAGACGAAAGTAGCACAGAAAACACTGCAAACTCAACGGCGACAAGGCCCCGCTGGTCAAGAACACTTCGTTCCCGAGCAACTCTTGAAACACAAACGATACGGTCGACGCGTTCCAGTGCAATGCGTTGGTCGTGAGCCACTTGAACAGCATCGTGCGTTCCGTGCCCAGTGTCGCATATTCATTCAATTCGGTCCACAAGAGCCGCAGCTGGTCGAACCGCCACGCCAGCGTCGGCTGGATATTGAGCCACAGCGAGAGAAACCCGAGCCGCGCCTTGATGTGGTCGACAAAGTCGACGTGGCTGCCGTCGGCTAGCAGCCGGGCATTCAGCCCCGCCAGCCCCGAGCCGTCCGCCGCCACATCGACGCGGTAGCTACCATTTCTGTTGTCGGGTGCGTACGACGCTTTAAACTGCACGAGGTCGTCCAAGACGAGCTGGAGCACCCCACGGGCCTCGAGCGCGGCGGCGATCGCGTCGCGCTTGGCGGTGGCGTCCTCAAACAGCGTCAAGATGAACCCTACAATGCCAAACGCTTGGGGCACGTTGCGATGCCTAGTCAGACTGTGCACGGCCAGCTCCAGGAGGTACGACACACAGCCCAAGACCACGGGGGGGGTCCACTTTTCGCTGCTGTCGTCGTCCAGTAGGTCGTCCACGTTGGCCTTGATTGCGTCCTGGAGCTGCGTTTTCGCAGTGTCATACAGCATCCGCTTGGCCACGTCGGTTGTGTCCTCCATAGTCGCCCACAGCAGCTGCATGGCTGCATGACGGACCGAACACCGCTCGACAAACACATTTGGCGTGGCAAATAGCAGATCGTCCGCCGCCCTGCCTTCGATGTCGTCGTCATAACTGTCGAGAGGGGCGTACTTGGCCAGCGCCCCCAATAGCCCCAGCATGGAAACAGACGACACGCCCAGGTCTTGGATCAACCTTAACAAAGCCCAACACACTGGCACCGTCATGTACGACGCCAGCGCCTCCAGCACAAATAGCCAGCTGGCGCGCACGTCCAGACCGTTGGATTGCACTGCATGCCACACCACGTGCAGATCTGCCAGCGAGAACGCGTCGGCATCGCAGAGGAACCGCAGCAGTTCACACGACCGCCGAATCACTTGCTCGTGTGAGTCACAGAGTAGGTGCAGGAGCCGGTGGTGGGTGCACCACGCCGCCAAGTCCGACTTTGACGTGGATTCGCTAATGGGGATATGAATCACCATCGACGACGTTGGTGGCGGCCCATATTGATTTGTTAACGACGACGGCACCAACTTGACACCAAACGGGTACACCTATCATCATGTACGTACTGAATCGCGCACCATATCGAGTACTACTGAATCGCATCATACGGAGGAGTACTAAGTACTACTGATTAGGTAGTACCTACCTGAGCTTGTCGGATCAACGGAATAAAGTCGGTGAGGCACTTGAGCCCGTGCAGCCGGATTTCGAGCACGGAGCTGTGCAGACACTGCAGACACACTTGCAGGAGCACCGCGTCCGCCTTCTCAGACGCATCATAACGACTGGCTACCCGTCGACACAAGGTCTTGACCGATACATGCAGTGTGTCCAGCATGGCCTTGGTCACGGATCTCAATTCCTATTGAGATATATATATATAAACATACACGATATAATTATTCCAGATTGAAATATATATCTATACTTGTCTCGTCAACAACAATCGTCATAACCTCTCACTGTCCTGAAAGAAAAAATTGAATATTATTTCGTACTAAAATCACATTCCTTGCAATAGTATATGTATATATATAGGCAACACATATACCATGAATAAAGAAAATCATCCCGTATTTTTAAAAATAATGTAATATAAATCATGGCACCTTTTATAAAAAATTGATATACTTATCTCCACCCTTAAACGAAACGGAGCAAATTATGCAATTCACACAGTAAATTAACTCTTACAGGTATTTGCAGGCTGTCTGAACCAACCTTTTATACATGCATTCAAGCGCTGGGCGTCTCCAAGTCAGAGCTGAGTATGCCAGTGCGTCTCCAGCAGTTTCTCACAGTGGAAATGATGTCATCCATTTCAATGCCAAACGATTCAAGTGTTCGAATTTTGAAAAAGTCATCACCTTCCGATATGGTTGGATAATATAAAGTTTCAAAAATTATCAAGTTTACCCCGTTTCGTTTAAGGGGGGAGATCAGTATATATATCCTTGTTGTACCACATGGTCAAAATATCCTTCACCCTTTCGAAATAATATCATTATATATGTATATATAATTGTGTCACTACACGAAAAACATATATAGTGTGAAAGCACACACTTTAAATCAAACACAATAATAATGTTCACGGGAACATACCACGGCGGCCAAATGCTGCTGGATCCAATTGTTGCACTGTGTTACGATGGTAGAAGCCCACGGCCGAGTGAGCCACGGGGCGACATTGGCAACGAGGGACAGGGAGGTCGTGACCAATGCGACAGACACGACCGACGACGTTGGCGAGTTGCTGTTTCGGAGCAACGGCAGTTTATGGAAGCCCCCGACCGACCCAAACGCGTTCACGAGATCAATAAAGAAATGAGACGCGGGCACGCGAGTCCGAGGAATCGCGAACGGGATGGTCACCGCGTAATGCTGCGCCAAGTCCACGGACGTTGGAGATGCAGGGTCCGCCTCGTCCGGGATGGGCTCGTCCAAGTCGACGCGGATGGGACCTTGGCCGCGACGGCCGCTCGACATGCTTCCACGCGGCGCCAGGTGTGGGCTGTCGATGGAAATCCATCCGTCGCCTTCGCTGTCGTGGCCAAAGAACCCGACGTATACTTGGTTCTGAGCTGCGTCGTGGCTCATGATCACGCCTTCGTACCACGTGCGATGGTTGGATCGATAGGCGTCCACAATGGTGCCGACGATGCGGTCACTTGGCAGGTCGAGCGGGATGGTGGCATGGGAGTCGTCATCGTCGACCTCGGCGACGGGGGACGCGGACAGGCCGTGGCATTGGTAGAAGAGGTGGCTTGGGTTCAAAATGTTGTGAATTGTGTCCAAGTACGACGCAAAGATGTCGGTACCAGGTTGCATACGAAGCACGATGAACCGAACGACCTCACGGAGAAAGTTCATGATCTGTGGGGGAATGTCGTGGTGGTCAGGGAACAGGTTGAAGCTGCGCCGCAAGAAGCCGTTCGCGACGCGGGGAAGACACACTGCATAGAGGTGTTGGTCGTGCTTGGGGGTGCCCATGCCTCGGTTCACCCAATCGATCCACGTCCACAGTGTATGCAACGACGGCAATGGATCTGTGGTCGGGTCGCCTAGCGCGTTCTCGAGCAGGTTGCAGTTGCGCTGGAAGTCTGAGAATGAGTTCACGGGCTGCTGTTCCCCTACACGGGGCACCACCACAGACTCGTTCATTGAGCGGCGGCGGCAGCGGCGTCAAGCGGAGGACAAAGAAGGTCTGCGGCAGAAACCGAGAGTGAATCTCCCCCTTCGTGCCGGTTGTTATAATTGCACATATTGACATTCGTATGTTGATGCAATTATAACAAATCCGAATGGGAACAGACCATATGTGTTTGAAATTGATGACCGCACGTTCGAAACGTGGTTGATTTCGTGTTCAATGGCCGTTTGAAATACATTTTAAATTGAATTAAACCATGATGGGCATTTTAAATTGGCTTAGAAGTGTTCGAAACACGCGATTTCAAACATGTTCTGAACGTCGGAGTTAATCATTGATTGCGCATGGACATCGACGCGGCAATCGCCGCCAAGGAAGGCCAGCTCAAGGACATTGAGCATGAAATCCAACTTCTCTTCGTCAAGCAATCTGAAGTCGAGCGAGACTTGAGTCTCCTGCGCAAGCAGCAAGCACATGCTCGGGAAATCGTCGTGCTATCCGACTCGGACGACGACGACAATGTACTTTCCACCACGTCACTCCCGACACGGTACACCACCGCGCAACTTGAAGACGTCTTGCACACTCAGGTAATGCAGTTCGTCCCATCTACCAACTTCTACCCTCGTCGTCTCAACCATGCGTCTTGCTGTAGTTTGGGCTTACCTCGTTTCGGCCCCTCCAAGAATCCATTCTCATGGCAACCCTTGCCAAGAAGGACACGTTTGCAATCATGCGCAGCGGCGGCGGCAAGAGTTTGTGCTATCAGCTACCAGCTATCCTTGAGCGCGTACGTCGATCATTCTCATCCACCCCCTCCGCCAAATTCCTTCGCTCATATGCGTGTCCTTTCCCGTAGGATGTCGGGTTCACCGTCGTGATATCTCCGTTGGTGTCGTTGATCCACGACCAGGTTCGTGTCCCTTACATTCAAATGACTCTGATCGTCCATATGGCCCCATTGGCCTTTCATCCCTTTTGTTTTTTTTTTTTTTACTGATGTGTTGCCTCACCTGGTCTGGACGCTCGTCCCTTGTGATTCAAATCCGTCCGTCCGTCCATATGGCACCGGTGGCCTTTACATCCCATTCGTTTTACGGATCATCTCCATGATGTTGATAGTTAGTAGGTGATGCACTTTTGCAACATATACGGCCCCGAGTCGGCCGTAGCCTTGACGGGCGACTCGTCCAGACAAGACGCCAGCGCCGTCTACGCGCGCATGCTAGCTCCATTTTCCCCGCCGCTCCTGCTTCTCTTTGTCACCCCTGAAAAGGTGTCCAACAGTAAACTGCTCCTGTCTCGCTTGGACAAAGCCCACGCCGTATCGCGCGTCCAGCGGTTCGTCGTCGACGAAGCGCATTGCTGCAGCCAGTGGGGGCACGACTTTCGCCACGTACGTGTTACTTTACTTCCTAACTCCATCGTCAGAAGTATCTTAACAAAGCCACGATAGGACTAATTCGTATGAATAGTACTTCAAATTACATCAACTATATATTTATATACATATATTTCAAAAAAAATTATGCATGGAGGAGCTGCGATTTTCGTGTTCATGGATGACTAGTCTTTTTTTAGTTGATTGAAATGGGTAACGTCTACTTGTTGGTCGTGAATATTGTATATTCACCAAGCTTGAACGATATATTCGTATTGTCCATTAACCGAAAATTTGGACTTTTGTGCAGAATCGCCAAATGTGCTATCGATCGATTCTTTGTACTGAATTTTGTATGTAAAAAGTTGTCCTGTGGTGATTGGTATCACACTAATTGAAGCCGCACACTAATTCGACGTTGATGATGGTTTCCTGCAATCTGATTGACTAAATCCTTCTACCCATGATTCTTCTGTCCATTTGGTTGTGTCGATGATTCATTCTCCATGCGCTCCAGTTTAGAATAAACTCATAAACAATATCACAAAATCATGCATTTCTCCTGTTGATGCTTTCTAATCAATATACATATCTTTTTTCGTCATTGTATAGTCCTGTTATATATATATATATATGCCACTTCATGCATCATGCATGATCGCTTCATGTATACAGTATATACTATGATCCTGACAATATGCTATCTCTAGGACTATCATAAACTGGGTCTGCTCAAACGCCAGTACCCGACCGTGCCCATGCTCGCCCTTACAGCCACCGCCACGCCCGCCGTCATCGACGACATCAAGATGATTCTCGAGATCCCGCACTGCGCGTTCCTGCACTCGACGTTTCTCCGCCCCAACTTGGTCTATTCCGTCACTGTGAAACCTGACAAAGACTCGGTAGCCGCTATCGTCGACGCCGTCATGTCCTTCGGCGCGTCGACCTCTGGCATCGTGTACTGTATGACCCGCAAAGAAACCGAGACCGTGGCCGCCGCGCTCCAAGCGGCGGGCGTCCGCGCCGCCTACTACCACGCGTGGGCCCCCGATCGCCACGTCGTACGACTAGTCCTTTTATTAGCTCAACTCAATCTGTATGTAGATGCACACCCAATGGGTGCAGAACCACGTGACGGTCATGGTCGCCACTATCGCGTTTGGTTTGGGCATCAACAAGCCAGATGTGCGCTTTGTACTTCACGCCACCATGTCTAAATCGTTGGAGGGGTACTACCAAGAATCTGGACGAGCCGGGCGCGACGGATTGCCAGCCCACTGCGTCCTCTTCTTCCGGCCCCAAGACGTCCCCCGCGTCGCGAGTCTCGTGCACAGCGAGCGCGACGGCCTCCGCAACTTTGAAGCGATGGTCGAGTACTGTCTGAACACTGACCAAACGTGCCGAAAGCAGACGATGGCGGCGTATTTTGCAGAGAGCATGCCGCGTCCATGCGGAACCGCGTGCGATGTATGCGATGGACGGATGATGGAGAACGCCACATCGTCACAGGACCAAGGGGGGAGCAGCAGCATGTCTGCGACAGCGTATGCGCAGCAAGTGGTGCAGTGGCTGTCTGTACCGTACGTGACGACATATTTGGATCCATCCAATATATATCACCTGTTTTCGTGTATGAGTATGTGTGGGCGTAGAATTACACGTACGACTTTGATATAGGACCATGTTTGTGTTGGTTTGTGCATTGGTTATAGTGAAGGTGCTCGTGTATCGATCGATTGTCGGAATACATGCTTGGGATCACTGTTGTAGAAACAAGCGATATACACTCAAACAAGTGGTGGACGAAGCAACATCCAAGAAAGCTCAGTGGGCCCTCGAGGGGCCTCTGGCCACCAGACGCCTCGCTGTCGAGCGATGGCTCGTTCAGCTCACCATGTCGTACGTACATTGCATGTAATCCAAACTTGTGGGTTTGCATAGATGTGATCGATTCTGTACGACTACCGTAGTTAGTGTGCACCAGCAGTAGTACCATGGTTATGTATATTAATTATTGAGTAGGCATGTTCTCAAGTGGGAGTTTGCGATCACGCCATATGCGACCAACGCGTACCTTGCGACCGACTACTTGGCTGCCAAACTCACCCGTGGCGACCTGGTGTCGTGTCCCCCCGTCGTGTGTTTCCCTGGCTTTAGTGACGTTGACACTCGGTCGTTTTGTGTTTTGCATCGGTTGGACCTGGTCCGACAAACGGTCAGCATCCAACTGAACGTCCTCCCGAGCCAAGTGTGGCGACAGGCCGCCATGTACCAGTTTGTGCAGTCGCACCCCCCGCCCCCATGGACGCCCGAGCAAATCCGCCCCCTTCTGCGACACAGTTTCACTGGAACCGAGGAAGCGGCGGTCACCCAGGCCTTGACTCATGTCAATATACCCAACGACGACGACCTCGATTACCCAGTGTCGAAATCAACTAAGCGACGACGGGAGCTAGACTGAACCCATCGGCCAGTTGTTTGGATATCACAGGTATAACGTTATCAAGTGAGTGCTCCAACCCACGATTTCCGTACTTGAATTGAGTACTTGAACTCCTGCTCCGGTTACCAACAATCGTAGGTTGGTGTATCTTTGAGTACTGTAACACATATGGAGTACTTGTGTACTTTTGTGAACATTGACTGTGAGTACCATGTACTTTGACTGCCTGTAACGACGTACTTTGGTGAATATTGCGTACTACTACTAGTACTTGTTAAGGCACGTGATGGAATGGTATGTCTACGCTGGAGTCATCTTGTCGGTGGCGGAAGCCGCGGCGGCCGCTGCCGCCGCCGTCTTTTTGCTTTCTGTCCGCTTGAGCGTCGTGACCTCCTTGAGGATATCCTGGTCGAGCGTTTCGTCTCTGTGGGGACTGAGCTCGCCCGTGGCTTCGAGCAAGTCGCGCTTCTGCTCGACCCACTTGACGAGTTCGTCGAGCGATATCTTTCCGTCCTTGTCTTCGTCGATCTGTCCGACGATCCACTCGGCCGCGTCCTCCGTCTTGTTCTTGCGCAGGATGGTCATCACCGCCGTCTTGAACTCTGTCACATCCACAACGCCGTCGCTGTCGCGGTCGAGAATGTTGAGCCGGTCGCCGACGTCCTTGTCCACTTGCTCCAGCTCCACCTCAAGCTTGAGCAGCATCGAGTCGAGCTTCTTGAGCATGCGGTCCGCCGTCTTGTTCTCCTTCTCGGCGCCGATGCGGCCGGCCGCCAGCAGCCCCTGGACGTCCATCACGCTCTTGTCCAGCTTCATCTTGGCCATCACTTGGCGCTCCTTTTCCACTATCGACTTGAACGCGAGGGTTTCCAACGCACTCACTTCCTCCAGTGTCAACTTGCGCTCGTCCTCCTACAAACGATATGTCATATATTTTGCATATATATTGCCACAATAAACAGTGCACACCCCATCGAACGACAATACATACACACCGGTAAATACAATATATATATATATCCCTGAATATAAAACGATATTAAAATATCGAATTGTTTGACGGGCTACACCAAAAGAAGCAGCACATGTTTGTGTACTACAGTAGTTAGTATATGTATTGTCCTTCATTCGATTCAAATCAACAGACAATCGATCGACCAATCACCTTTCAGACCACTCATCCAGTAGCCAATCAAATTCTCTCTTCAACTCTGCCACATTGAATTCGTGTATGACGTGTATTCAGGGGATAAACAATCTGGTCTATCTATATTGTATTCAAACATCAGTATAGTTCATTCAATTTGAAATTGGAATGTTTGGGTGGCCAATATCAAATGAGCAGAATCACCAAATAGGCAGAGAATCGATAGACGACCAATCAACACACAAAACATGAATCAACTAGCCAATCAAATCCACTCTTCGAATAATTCATCATCGAATTAGTGTGTGATTGGAATTAGTGTGATACTGGGCGATCAAGGTCAGTACAATGAATCGATCGATATAGATTTGGCAAAGAATGAAAAGTCAGCCAAATTTTGGGTAAAAGAAAAACAATACACAACCCCCACTATATCGATGGATATTTGGTGACTCTGCCCATAAAATTCCAAAAAAAAATTGGCTCAAAAGCACACACACACATCACCCCAAACCATATATACCCAAATATATATATATATATGCCACATGGCCGAACAATATTGCATGTTGAAAGCAAAAGTGCGACGAGGTTACGTACAAACACATGCATGGGTACAGCCTCGACGACGGACACGCGGTCGACGGGCGGCGCGTGGGTCGGCGCCGCCTCGACTTGGGTCACCTCTACAAACTCGTCTGTGATGTGGTGCTTGTCGACCTCTTCGTCCTCTTGCTTCTTCTTGGCGTCCACATCCGACTTCTTTTTCATGTCTTCGCGCAGCTTTTCTTCGTCGGCGATCATTTCGTTCTGGTACCGAATGGATTCGAGTTGGAGTTCCTTGAGCTGCATCTTTTCAAGCGTCGAGTCGGCCGCCGCGGCCGTCTTGGCTGCTAGCGCCACCTCTGTCACGAGCTCTTCATCCATGCTAGACATGGACGCCGCCAGCGCCGCCTCGGGGTTCTCCACCGACGTGATGTTCATTGCTCGCGATAGAATCAGGAGCGACGCTGGTACGTTCTTGTTGATTGACAAGTCCAACCACTAAAATATGTATGAGGATTGTGGATTCGGTCACTAGACCCCGTCGAATATCTCTCCCCGCCGAAAATACAGTGTAGTATATATATATATATGCAACCAACTTATTGAATCTGAGCGGGAATCGTCGACGCTATTGACTACTCCAATTTTGAATGGATTTGATTGGTTCTTACAGAAAAGAGGACGAGTATATATATATTCAACCAATCAGAAAACTCCAGCGTGATGCAATTTAGGATTATTGACCAACCACCACGCGACTTTTGGAACTTTATAGCGAATTTACAAGGACATTTGGATCAAGGACATGTTGAACAACGGTCATTGGACAGAATGAAACCAATCAAGGCCCTCGTACCTGCTTCATTTGCTTGACATACCCCGCCTTGGTAAGACCTGTGGCGCGCATCCCGCGTTCCATGCATGCTATTTGGAGCTCTTCCTTGTCGAGTGAGTCCAGGCCTTCCCATATGATTTGCTACATCCATCGATTCATTCATTATTACCCACATACTTATGTAGTCGACAACAAACATTAGGATTTCAAAACTTGGTTGAAAACGAGGATACAAAGCACACGAAACGGCAAGTACAGCCATTGAAAACAAAATTAAATATAAAATATTTTGATATTTTTATGTATTCATATTTATTAAAAAAACGAAATCACCATTCGAGTGGTGGTTTGTCGAATCAATATCGAATCACGCTGGAGTTGTGATTAGTTCAATATACTTGTCCTTTCGTAAGAGCCAATCAAATCCACTCAAAATTGGAGTAGCCAATAGGCGTCGATGATTCGTGATTCGATTTTCGGTGGTAAGATATTCGATTCGATGGGGATTAGAAATTTGTGACCGAATGCACAATATGTGGCGATATTTCAAATGGATTTAAAATGTGGATCTCACACATATATTTTAAATGTGAATCTAACACACACGAAACAAATTGTTTCAATCGATTTCAACCCACCAATTGATGTACAATGTGCCTAGATTTATACTTCGTCTGTTCCAGGTTACTCCCGACATTTACTTTGAATTGACACAGGCAATCGAGCCCTCACTCAATTTGGGCGAATGATACTTTGACAGGGAATTGCATGAATTTTCGCTAAAGATTGGTTTATAATCAGCGCTTAAAGCAATTGTAAGCCAATGAAATGTCATAAATGTTCGATCTTGATACAAATTGAAGAATTACAGCCAATGAAATACAAATGTCGCCAGTTACTTAAAACATGCGAATTTTGAATTGTCAACCTGGAACAGAAGAAGTATTGTTTATGTGTGGATTCTTAACTGGACCGACGTGGAGAACCAAGAAATCGACACATCCACATAATGTACTGGCGAATGGACACAAGTATGGAGCCAATCAGATCGCAGGAAAACCCATCATCCGAATCTAATTCGTGTGCGACCGAAATTAGTGTGATTCCAACCACCACATTCCGACCATTTTTTACTTTCAAAATGCAGGTCCAACGATATATATATATATACCTACCTGGTCATCTTTTTTCAAGGCGGCAATTTTCATGCGCAGCTGAAAGCGCAAAAAGTTGTCATTTCCGTATGGATTCACGCCCATGTAGCGGCACATGCCGACCAGCTGGGGCCGCGAGATGTTGTCCAGAGTGATCTCGTCGTTGAAGAGGCCAGCGATCTTGAGCGTTTCTTCGCTCGTCAGCGGCTCGCCGCGCTGCGCCCGCTCCACAAAGCTCATCACTTCCTTGGCCGTCGCTCGCTTCTCCTCTGCTACACCTATATATATATATATATGGTCAAATATCCTCGTCCGAAACCCATGTGTTTTGTGTATACAAGATGTATATATATATATATACACACACACACAACAACCAACCCTATGTTGGAAAGGTTGAACAGTAATGCATCCAATTTATAATATGAAACATGGAAAATACAACACAAATGCTAAATATCCAACACCAATCGGTACAATAAAAATCCACTATCACACACTAAATATATATATATATATATATCCACACACACTAAATATATATATATATATATATCCACACACACTAAATATATATATATATATATATATATATATATCCACAGGACTGCCTGGAGCGCATCGTCAAAGACCCAACCAACGTCCTGCTGACGAGGTTATAGTGTTAGACTAATAATTAGTGTGATTACCATCACCACAGGACACCTTTTGTTTCATTTTGTCAAGTCGATTCAAAATGCAGCCACAAATCGGCAGACAATTGATGATCGACCAATCAAAACCCACAACACGAATCAAGTAGCCAATCAAATCCTCTCTTCGACCAATATTTAACATCGAATTAGATTGTGAATGAAAAATAAGTGTGATACTGGGCGATTCTTACATACAAAAGGCAGTACAAATCGATAGAATTGGCAAAAAATCAGCGCAAAAAGTCCAAATTTTGGGTAAAATGACAATATATATATATATATATACATAGGTCATCGTTACCTTCGGTTTCGTGGGTCGTCTGCATCACGTCCTTGACAGTGTCCTGCAGAAACTCGGCCAGCGACACGCGCAGTTGGAGCTGGCGCTTCATGTCTTCTTCGCGCTGGAATGCATGCTTGAACGTGGATGGAAGCATGTTCGGGAACAGCTTGAGCGCGAACGGGAGGGCCAGCTCCATGAACGGCACGATCAGAAAGAACGCAAATGGAATCAACCGAAGGATGTCGGCCACGGTGCGCTGCAGCTGCTTCTTCTCGCGGCGGGTGAGCGCGTTCCCCTTGAGTATGCGGCGCAAGATGCGTGTGGACGTCGATAGTTCTGCGTACAGGAGCTTCGAGCCGACCCAGTAGTGCTTAAGTTCGTGGTTGATTGACTCCTTGAGTTGCTTGAGCCATGCGCGCGCGCGCTCGGGTTCCTTGACGAGGATGCGCACCCATTCCTGGACGGTGGCGGCCCCACCGACCACGAGCGCCGGCGTCGACTTGATGAACGCCCACGCCTTCGCGCTGACGTTCAGGTCGAGGTTCTGCAGGTCCTTGACTTGGAACCCCCGCTCGCCCACCTTTTCCAACGCCTTGTCCAGCCGATCTTCTTGTTGGGCGACACGAGTGGACGACCGCCGCGCAAGCACGTTGGACACGACGGCCTTCTTCGCGGCATCCGTGCTCATCCATCGAGCTTGACCGACCAAGCGAGGATGGCGAGGCGCGCTGGTGAACCCTAGCGAGTACGCATACGCAGCATTCAACGACGGGGCCACGAGCGGTCGAAATTTGAGCGTCGACTTGTCGTCGTGGTGGTCCGACGACGAAGTCAGAGCAGTCGCATGCATGCGATGGAGATGGTCCCATGCACCGAAATGGTGGTTCCCGCGAGAGGACGAGGCTGATGCACGCCGCGGTGCCGCGTGGAATGCTACCCGAAGCATCTTGGTCAAGATAGATTCGGTGGTGATCGCGGTGTTGCGATTGTCAATCGGAATATTATACCGAGATTCAAATCCAATACAACATGGCAGATATTTTATTCCAAACCCATTATTTCGGATAATGGAAGGACCCTGTGGAGTGATTTATCCGGATAACGCAGAGTGCAGGTTTGTCGAATGCTGGTCTTGTCAATAGTGTGAATTACTGTATTTTGTTGGGGGTGTGGTGTTCTATTTCTATTTCAATACGAAGGGGCAGTTCCAAGTATTAATACCACAGTATTATTCAGAAATAGCATGAGCCAATCAAAATCGATTTACACTTTTTACGATTTAGAAACAGACGTCAAGGGTATTTCTACTTTTGGTGTACTGTGTACGTCGGTCGAAGTACACTTACTAGTGTACTACTAGAGTACTTAGTCGAGTTGCGTAAAAAGTCGAATAAAAAGAGGTACTACAGTAGTAAGAAGGTATCATTATTAGGAAACTGTTGTTGCAACTACTTTTTATATTATAACGTTATTAGGTATTGTCATATTTGCTGTACCACACTTCCATCTATAAACAGATAAGTCAGGAGAAATCAGATATAGGTGTACAGAAATTATTCGGAAGCGTAGTGAAAATTGAGCATCATTCCTGATCGATTAACTTCTAAGATATTCTAATTAGGACTCTCTAAGCATTAAAATCGGATTTCTAGTGAAATTCTCTACCTGAAGTATAACCATTGTCAAGGCAATAACCTATTTTAACTGAGATACAGTTCTTCAATTGTCAACAAAGTGAAACCTATCAATCATTTCCAATACAGTTGTAACGTTAGGAGTACTATCAATAGTCTGTACGTAGTAGTGCATTCTCAGTTTTGAACTAAAGGATACTGGCCAATCAAATGGCTCCGATTGTCCAAATAGATAACATCTCCTACAGTTCGAATGAGGGAATTGGTCTCAACTACTGTAGCAATGTACTACATAGCGGTACAGGTACTGTAGTACTACATATACACTGTACTATAGATACTACAAAGTACAGTAATCCCCCCCAGCCTGGTCGGAATATAATAGATAGAGGTATCAGCGCCAAGGGTTATGCATATTAGGAGGTTTTCCTACCCATTCCTCGGCTGAATAAGGCAATTATAGGTTATCCTGTTAGTTTTCAAAGGAGCATTTAACCTCCACGTTCTGTTATACCCGGTATATATTGATATACGGAGTAAACAATTATTTATATGGATTTCAAATATCCGTGATAGTATCGTGTGTCATCCAATCGTCATCCACCATTAATATTAGGTCATATCCCAATTAGTATACTACGTAGTAGATGAGAGTAAATTAGGATAATGCTAGGTCATTGCATACAGGCCTCTGGGAGCGGCACGGCCTACGGCCTACTTGCCGCTGCCCCACAAGAAGAAAAGATTGATCATTCGGTGAAGTGAGAAGCTTAGATCCGCGCTCTCGTACGGCCGCGCTTGCGCAGACGGCCTCCCGGGCGGGCGCTTGGGGCCAACGTAAGGCTTGGTCACTACTTTTGGTTTCATCCCACAACTTCATCCAATTTCATCCTATCCCATGTCATCCAAATGTCATCCACGCTTTTAATTCAACAATTATATTATATTAACCATAGTATCCAAGGTTGGTAATAAAATTCAATGTTGTCCCGTAAGTCTTAAGTACTTGAGGAGTAAACAGATTGTACTTTCATTATTAACTCAAAATATCATCGAATGACATGGGATCGCGAATACGCAACTTCCGAAGAGAATTTTGTACCCAAGCCGCCAACTCAGTGTCAAGCTCAGTTTGCTTTGGTCCCTTGATGTTGCAGCGTGACGCAGTGACATGTTTTTTAGGTCAAAGTATTGACATGTGAATTCAAGATTACAAAATGTAAACTGGGCTGTTTACATTTCGAAAATATTTTATATTAATTTTAAATTAAGAACATGTCCAACTTTTCATTCAAAATTATGCTTCGTTTTGCGAGATTTGCCCAGGTGAAACCGGTTTTCGCAGCCTCCTGTACGGTAACGTTATACGAAGTAAGTTTACTGACTATTAATAGTCCTAATAATTAATAGTTAACAGACCACCTTCAGTACTACTAATGTAGTAGTATGTACTAGTACTACGTAGTAAGCAATACCGTAATTAGGGGGTTACTACAGTCTACTATTAATAGTACGTACTTGTGTACTGTACAGGTATTCTATCACCAACTTACTACTCCGAATAAGTACGCACTACAGTACTACAGTATTAAGAACAGTAACATACTATAAATAATTCAGTACATTAGTCTCGCACTCTTGAACTGAATCATGTGTCTACAACACCTGGTGAGAGTGGTATGATTCCTTGTGGACACGTTACCAGGCAGAGGTGCAATTCCCCCATTAAACCAGTTCCACTGTTGAATACTGTTTCAATGAGGGAAATACAGTATACCATCCGGATAAACTTTATTAGCCAGTAGCCCTGGGACCTGGAACTCCGTCGTACCCCCGGTGAGTACATATAATTCTACATCCCCTCTGGGTTAACTGAGATGCACTTAACGTTACACCTCTAGTACGAGGTGAAGGTGGTCAGAGCATACTAAATCCCATATAAGCAAAAAATTCTGAGATATGAAACAGTGGGACTGTTTACACTAATTTCTGAGAAAGTATACAGTAGGACTATTTTACGTTTACAGCAATTGGGGAAGTGTATCTGTTTTACACCATTTCTGAGAAAATATACAGTGGGACTATTTTACAGTTAATAGGGGAAGTGTACCATGCTGACCGAACATCTTCTCGACCAAGTAAATCAATTTTACCAAAGCCATCAAATTTACTTCGAAGTGCTTCGAAGTATTTGCCATTCCAAATTGATGTTGCGCCTTCGCGTTATTACGTCCATACAAGAAGTTGACTTCCGGTTGCATGCCAGATAATCCAAACTCAATTAACCATAAAACACACGGTAAGCTTAAGTACTTCCTAGTACAAGCTAAGCCGCTTTGTAAGGAACAACGATATCAACTCATGAAAATTGTTATAACGTTATCGCAAAAATCGTATGGCTACTGTAGTACAAGTATACATGTAGTTGTGAATACTCAGCCTGTTACATGGCCCAATCAGTCGTCTACTATTAATAGGACTACAGTACAGTAGTATACATCAATACCACTAATTAATAGTAACGTTAGAATAGTACCAGTATGTGTTACTCGAGTACTAGTACTATTAATATTAGACTGCATGCTGCACCGGTAGTCGTGCGATGTACTGGAGAAACATGTACATGCCTTCCATGGCAGCGTCTCGGAAAAGTATTCTTAAATTGTACTTTTACTAGGTAGTACTACTATTAATCAATATCAAGAGTATTTCTGTACTAATATTAGTAGTACTAGGACATTGACTACTAGTAGTACTTAAAATCAGTTCATCCACATGTCTGTACGAGTAAGCATATTCTTCCAACTACTAATAGTTGGTGGTACAGTCGACTGCGGCCTCTGCATCGCACTTGATTCACAGGAGGAAGTACTGGTATATATATGTATGTTGTACTACGTAGTACGGAGGACTACAGCTGTTCAAGTCAAAGATTTCTTCCGCGGTTGGTTCAATGAACCTCCGAATATCGCCAGACCTGCGGAATATAATATAAAACTCAGTTTAAGAGGTATATTTGGGGCTAAAACAACATGCATTATTTTAGCCAATCAAAAGGCAAAATTCATACTGCTTTGCGCTTATTTGGCACAATATACCACATCTTGAACCCAACCATACTTACTGGTACAGTACAATCAATACACATTACCAAGAACAGCATACAGTTAATAACGTTACAGTAAAATTACCCGGTATGTACAGTAGGATGGTACTATTGTAGTACTACAGTGTTTGCCAGAAAAACTCGACGAAAGTAGCACTGCCTTCAATATGGGACTTTGTATGTAGAGTGGTACAGCTCGTCGACGCGGACGATTTAAAAATATAAAGATCATGTCACGACGAATCTGAGGTCGACTTCTTTGATTACCTAGCCTAAAATTAGCCAATTAAACCAATACAAAAGTTCAAGGGTAAGCGAAAGCGCATGAAACTTCTTAAGGAGCGCCTTGTGCTCAGCGTCGTGTAACGCCGCTGCTGCATGGTGGCTGGCGCTGCCTTTCGTCAAATGCCATTTTGACATTGGGCCAATCACAGCTGAGCACAATCTTTGATTAATGCAGTCAATTTTATCCAATTGGACGTCCGGGTGTACAGTACAGGGGGTCGTGCAATGTCGGCACTGGTTCACAAATCTGGTGTATCTACCGGAATCCACTTTAAACTGCTAGTAAATCGCTGGACACCCGCGACGGAAGCATGCAGCCCAGACGACAACAATAGTGATTCTGGCCTCTCAATCCCTTTCGAAGTTCCTTTGATAACGTCCCACCGACAGATCACATCGCCTGTACCGTTCTGATTAATTTCCGATGTAACATGGCTGAGAGTTGCCACATGCAGAGGCGATGTGCGTTCGAGAAGGAGATAGCGGCCCGATATTGTTGGTGTCGTGCACGACGTAGACAAGATCCGGGTTTTTGCAGCTTGTATATATTAATATCCTCATTAACATATATTTACCGCATTTGCATTGTGAACAGGAGATGGAAGAATTGGTGCAATTTGAAATTCCAAGCCTTTAGCAAATCCTGCGCAAATAAAGTGTCAATCATTTTGACCATACTAACGTGGACACTTCATTTTCGCACGGCCAACGCCTCCAAGTATGCCAAGACCAGCAATGCGGAAAATATTGCATCGAAAGGTGGTGAGTCTATGGCTTAATTAATGTTAACGTTAGGTCAAATATTACAGGTACCGTCGATCTATATACTGTAGTCGCCAAGTACCGGGTGTATGTGTTACGAGCACTTCTCTCATAACCAATGCTAGTAGTATACGCAACCTCTACCAAATTATATTTCACCCGTGCTGCAAAAACCGGGGATATACTGCCAAGTCAGCAAAGCTGAAACACATGCTTTGGGCGGGACAAATGCTCAAAGCTCATATGACACTCAGAACAGTCATTGTTTGAATCGTCCCGCAGTTGGAATGTAGGTACTGTACCAGGTACTGGTAAGGCTGACCTTTGGCCGCACGATGTTCTGGGCAGTGATACGTTAGCCCCCCCATACACATTGGAGCTGAGAAATACTAGTATATACTTTGTAGTACTGCATAGTAGCTGCTCCTTGGAATGATGTAAATACTACTACTGTAGTGCTAGAATGTGATTCGAGACAGTGTCACACAGGGCTCGAGTCAACATTGGCACGTCTCGAAATCGCATGGTCGAGACGTGATCACACTATGTTTGGGAGTAGGTAGCCTGTGAAAACGCATATATTACACCCATCCCCCCACATGCCCACATTACGTTTTCGCGTGAACATCACACCAATGACTGGGCTTAAAGCACTCTCACAGGACCGCGAAATCATGGACCTGCTCTCGACCGTATTTAGCCAAGAGTTCCACTACGGCACATATGAGTCGTCGACGACGATCACCCCCTTCGCCGTCAAATCAGAGCTGTGCCTGGTGCCCCCACAACCGACAGTCTCCGACCACAGCAACGACCACAGCAATGACGGCAACGTCCATAGCAGCAACTCACACAACGACCCGTCGCCCAAACGACACTGCGTACGTCATGGGGTACGTGGCTCCCGATCTTGAAAATGCCGAATCTTATCCGTTCGTTGGCCTTGTAGAAAGGAAAGCGATGCCGTGTCGAAGACTGCACGTCCAGTGTCAAGCTGTACGGGGTGTGCTGGAAGCACGGTAGGATTTCCCGATGAATCCACATCAAACGTAGGTGTTTTCTCACGACTCGAGTAGGCGGGTCTCGATTATGTCAACGCGAAGGCTGCAACAACCACTCCAAGTCCCGAGGGCTATGTTGGTCTCACGGCGGCGGCAAGAAGTGCGAGACGCCTGGGTGCAAAAAGACTGGCTTGAGGGGTGGGCACTGCTGGGCACATGGTGGAGGTAACAACCGAGCGATGATATGAGAAATGTTGGTCAACCCTCATGTCTGTTTTGTGTGCAGGTAAACGATGCAGGATGCAAGGATGCCAGCAGCCTGCATACGAAAGAAACGACAACTTGTGCTACAGACACTGCGACACGGGCGTTTAAGTAGTGTAAAGCGTCAACATTTACAAGGTCAACCTTGTTTAGCTGCTGTGTACAGGTCGAATAGTGCAAGTTGGGACCTGTCAGGAAGAGCATATGTACAGTGTACTATGTAGTACTACGTGGTAGTAGACAAGGAGAGGATCGGACAGTTTCAAAGATACTTCATGGACAAGAGAGGAAGTTCGTTCTACAATGGGTAACAACCCTTGTTACCCAACTAGTAGGTTTTGATTACTGGCGGCCGCCTCCTCGACGTCATCTGCTCATTGGCTAATGTCACACAACGTTAACTAACGTTAGCGTTGTGTGACATTAACTGTAAACAATAAATACTAGTACTACGTAGTACACACCGATGACCGTAATTAGTGCACACTAATTTTGAACCTCGTCACCAAACGTACGTACGGCACATGTATTAGTGTGGACCGCAATATATCTCAATCCGCACTATAGTATAATTATGGGCTTGGAGAATTAGTGCGGAACGCACCAATGTTGAATATTGAGAATTAGTAAGGATTATTATCTTGATTCTTTTTTGTATGTGGGATTTGTCATGAAATGTCACAACGCAAATCGGCATTGACGTAAACTGTCAATACCGTACTAGTAGTGCAGACACAACATGTAGTACTCCGGAGTACAAATGTAAAAGGGGTACTGTACTACACCATACTTGATGGCTTTCTATGACTACCAGATCGTGGCATACACCCCAAACACCCAATATTGCACGAAATTGGTCCGCGACTAATTACCAATCACAAATTTCTGGAATTCCATCACACGTGTATTGAACGCACTAATTCTGAATCCACACGAATTCTCAATATGTACTAATTACGGTCATCGGTGTAGTAATGAGCAGATTTCCATAAGACAGTGGTAACACTTCGGTCTTTTTTAACAGTAAATCGGAAATACTAGTATTGTGCTCATCGCCCATATTTGGGATTGTTGAAATCGCCAAGAAATCAAGTAAAGGAGCATGATTGGATCAAAATAATAAATGTTACAATATGACTGGCTCAAATGAATGAATGTTCAAAAGATAAGATAATGTTACCTCTTAAACTTAGATATATATATCATATTTCGCAGGTCAGGTGATTGTTACTCTTGGACGGTTATTTGAGTTTGGATTATCATTTGTTTAAGATATTCCTCCGCGAGGGCCGATACTAGAACCACATGTTATGGAACAACTTCGCCAATTGTAACGCGCCTGCTCCACCAGGGGCGATGTGTAATCTTCGGTTTTTACTTCGCTCAACCTACCTCGTGTTTCGCTCAACCTACCTCGTGCTTCGACCGAGGCTTCTTCAAAGTTCGGTCCTCGTCTTGGTACGCAGATACCGCTTTCAGTTGATAATCGAATTATCAGTTTAGTCGACAAACATCACAGGTAAATTTGTTACTTTCTAAGTATTTTTTACTCACATTTTGATAACCAATTTAGGATAAAAACAATTATCTTAAAGTATGTATGTGTCGGAGCATTGAAATTCTGTGTTTAGTGTAAGCGGTTACAACAGGTTGCATATAATTTATACAAGGGTACTCTTTATAGAGTTATATTTCTGTTGTGGATGGATGTCCACCGAGTTTAACACTCGACAAAACTTCAGATCCAACCCAATGTGGCCCGTGTCGACTAGGGTCCTTCAAACCCAATCTTGAATGACTGTTACCAATGGTTTCTGCGACGTTTTTGCATTTCATTCACAATGGTCAGCATTATATGACAGAGGTTTTGACTCGAACAAATAACGAGGTGTGATTGGGCAATGCAAAGTTGTCCTAAGTTGGTTAAGTTATCTTAAACTGGTTTTTTACGTCACAAAGACTTGTATCCGAGTGTAGTAATATCTGGACTTCTACAATTCCGATACCATTATTGATCAACTATTTTTTATCCGGATGCATTTATAAATTGTGTTGTGATCGAATAAAGTCGGATATCTCATCCGACTCAATTCTGATTGGCTTAAATTCGACCTAATTATTTTGCCTTTACTTTTTTTGCTGCATCATTTGGGGTCACAGGCTGTCAATTCCGACTTCATTGTGCTCCTACATCCACAATTTTGAGAAATACTGTAAGGCGAGCGCCCAATATATGCGGGTCTCGTGCAATCCATTAAGCGGAAATGCCATAAAAACCCGGATTACAGCATCTCCCGTCTACGTTTTCTAGCCAGCCGTACAAATGTGACCATCTTTATTTGGGACATACTGTACGAAGCTGACGTCCAAGTTCAGTGAAACCCCAGGATGATGGCAAATTGGCCATTATAGTGCCAAGTGCAATGCAGCTATCTATAGCCGTGGCCGAGGTGTAGGGACGACGACGACCCAAACCAGTGCCAATCGTGCTGTTATAAACGTTTTGGAGCTCCTGCACCGCGAACTTCCACTCACACAAGATATTGCCTTAATTCTTGGTCAAGTCCCGCGACTTGATCTTGTACAGCACGACAGTACAGTCAGTACCTTAGAGCCTGGTGCCTGGTACTACTGGTGGTGTGGAGCATCCGCCAGGGGGATCATCCCTCTGGCGACACACCTCCATAGTACTAACTAACCACTACTACCACATCCACACCCACCACCACAACAATTACTACTGCTCATCCTACGACCACCACAGCCAGACCTACCACTACTACCACACCTCCAGTAGTACCAGGCTCTAAGGTATTGTTATGTACTGTCGTTGCTAGCTGGCGGATTGCAGGTAAAACTTCATTAACATGTAACGTCGTGTTGTTCATCTGCCATGGTCAAAGCACTTATAACCAATCAATGGATACAGGACATTCAGTCCGACTTTCTTCTGTCAATTTCTCACGTCTAGTTTTGACTTCGCTTTTGTATAACGTTAGAGCATCTCCACCGTACACGGAGTTTGACCCTGAAACTGAATATTACTCAGTGTCGATGATATTTTGACCCTGAATTTACCCCCACCCCAACACTGAATTCGACACTGAAACTGAGTTTCAGAATCCCGGGCCCTGAGTCTTGACCATTCCACACGCAGTTTTCACTAAAAACTCCGAGTCGAGGTTTTGCGCCGAATTCATCTAATAACAAGACATTCGTATGGTATACAAACTAGTCTACACGAAATACTTTTCAACTGCTGGACGACGATGAGGTTATTGATGAGCGACATGGAGACCGAGTTAGTCTCCAAGACATGGGTAGCAGCTCCTGAGGATCGAATAAAGAGTAGTAACTCTGAGACGACAGCCCTTGTAATGCGCTTCATTGATTCGATGGCTGTCGATTCACCACGGCGACGATGGTGAATCGAGTAAGCGCAGACGCCATAGGCCAGCATAAGCATCGACGCAGTGCACTTCTGTAATGGCGACAGACCTATATTATCTTTTAAGATATCGGTGGTTTCCCGATCTCTCCAAAGTAGTCATCGACAATCTGCTAGTGCCCACCAGCCCGGTTCCGATCCAAGTTTGGCTGGCGACCGCGACAATACCCGCTCCATGATCGTGAGTGCACAACTGCGGCTTGGCGGACGGCTTTTTGGGCTGCCGTACTTACGATGACGTCGATTTCCTCGTCGGACGAATCCATCAGTTGATTCCACAACTGCATGAGTCGGCCATTCCAGCGACTTCGAAATGACCATGCATATCGTATCTATTTATAATGTATTAATTTTCGCAGAATTACGGTTAAAAGGTCAGTGTCATGATGCGGCCGAATATCCATCACACTCAAATTTATTGAATTCACAGTCAGTGCAGAATATGACACTGAAAAGGACTCAGATCCAGGGTCAAAATCCGTGTTCCGGTGGAGATGCTCTAAGTTCATTGTTTAAAAATTTCTCAGGCTTAAATAACGACTAAAGTAACTTGAATAACGGTTGGGTGCGTTGTTTAAAGTTACTTCATCTTATGCGATGATTGGTTGGTTGAAGGTGGTATTACAGGCACTTTCGTAAAACAAGTTGATTGCCGTTATCATTCTGGCCAACAGCTTGCTTTACGTCAACACGTCAAGGTGCTTGCCGCAAAGAAACTGAAGCAGCTATGGCCAAATGCATGACCTCCCATCCGTGATCACTACAAACATTAACTACTCCGAGAAATTTATAACGTTAGGGATATAGTTATGCTAGTCGTCGCTCTGTCCAATGATTCAAAGCTATGCCATACGTACAACACCACTTGATATGTACTAACGTTGGCACTGTACGTGGAAAGCAAGGAAGTATTACAACTACACGATATAAAGTCTCCCATTTCACATTTTAATACGGTATGCATCGTGATGAACTGGTGGTTGCACTGCGTAAGTTGCCCTCGTGCTACAACTCGATTAGTTAGCGGCTGAAATAAAGTAAGGGTTGTTTTATGCTGCTGAAATGCAGAACATGGGTGTAGCGTTGTTTTATCTTCAATCGGGCTTATATTATTTTAAACGCCTGGATGTTTATCGCAGTTAAACAACATGCAAATCACATGAAAAGCACAATACAAAAAGGTAATTCAAGCATTTAATGACATCATGTCTGAGCAAGACTATTTGCTTATACATGTGGAATTCGTAAGGTGGCTGGCCATACTTCTGATTATTAACCAATCAGAGTGCATCATGGTTCCTTTGCCATATAATTGGTCAAGGCGATCATTTTTATCGACTCAAAAATCAAAAATGCAGAATTACCAAGTTCCCAGCGACTCATCTCGTGCCAGCATCAGCTTTATGCTAATATCAGCAGTTCATCGCACTCTCGATTACACTCACTATCATTTTTCCTTAGTGTTTAGTCCTTGTTTGAGCGACTGCAAACGCTATTATACAGTTCTATCCAGATTATTTACCGTTTTGACAACCCCACCGGACGACTGTAAAATACAGGAAACTGTAAAATTTACCGCGAGACGTTGGTTCAAATGGTTCAGAAATGGAATCAGCCAAGGTCGTCCGTGGCTCCAACTTCACGACCGACGAAGACTGCCAGCTTGTCCAGTGATGGATCAACATCTCTCGAGATGCGTCCAAGGGTAGTACTCATCACGCATCACCACATCGTCCATAATTTGTTCAAATAACAGTCTGGCCATTCCAAATTTGCGACGAAACTTGGCCAAGTCGTACTGCATGATCATTGCCCAGGCTCAAGCGTACGCGTAGGAGCAAGGGGTCGCACTCAACTACAGTACTGTAGCTCACAACCATATACTGCAGCCTGCAGCTAGCAATGTAGCAAAGATAATAGAACGATTATATTGGCCAGTTATTTTCACTTTTCTATCATATAATTGGACAGAAATTTGGTTACTATTGTAGTTAAGGCAGTGTTGTCGTGGGCGACTTAATCCAAGTCCCGCCATGACACAGGTGGTCCTCTACCGAGGCCACCGGGTGCCGACCCTTGGCGAACCGACACGAAAAGGCATAGTATTACTAGTAGTACTAAGACGTAGAAAACAGAACACCTGTCCCAGCCAACTGCCAGAATCTCACTCTTGGTTCTGCAACGTCGTGCTAACGTCAAGTCAATCAAGTGTGTGGTTTGCAGGGAGTCGGCACTCCACCATTTGGTTGTTTGTGTTGGCACTGGCGTGGGAAACAACACAAAGTATACTTTAGTTCCAGTGACCTACGGAACTGAGAGCAATGGCGAAGAACTCAAAAGATCGCGCCCAGAAGCCGAAGGTCGCGGCAACGGCGCCAGCAGCTGCGAGCAGCGAAACTGAGGAGGAAGTACAAGTGACGGAGCCACCGTTGGTCCCGGTAGTTGGATGGACCACAGATGTGCTGCCGGCTGTGGAAGAGTCCAAGAGCGAGGAAGTTCGGAAGACGATGGAAGAGCTGGCTGCGGCGAACAAGGCAACGGGTAGCGCGCGAGCGGCGTCCATGACCTGGGATGAATCGCGGCGGCGATATGGTGGACAAACCATGGGCCGAACTGGGAACAACTACCACGACCCCCAATCGAAGGCGCCTATGTCGACGAAGACTACCCGCCGCCAGAAAATTTCCGAGAAGCGAGCGTAAGAAAAGGCGGAAGCTCGAGCTAAGTTACGTGCGGAACGACGAAATCAACCGGACAGTACTCCTGACAGCGAGGAAGACGAAAAGGAATACCAAGAAGAACAGCGTAAGCAAGCTGAGCGGCGGCGGATCAACAAAGCCAATCGTCCGGCCAAGGAGAAGCGCGTCGACCATGCGAAAGTGGCGCGTGCGGCACATGATCGGCGGATGCTGGACACCACCCTTCCAAGCAGCTCGGGATGGGGACCTCTTACGAGTGGACCACCGACGCCAAGCAGCGGAGGATGGGGGCCTAACTTCAACTCCAGTGGACCTTCATTGGTGGTGACACATGTCCAACCCCCTCGGATCACCTGTATGGACAGAACATTCTTAGTCAGTTGGGTGAAGAAGCGGGAGACATATGAGGACAAGCTACGGGCGAATGCGCAACGCATGGGTGGCGAGTGGCGTCGGAGTGCAGTGGGGTGGATCCCTTCCACTGACCGCAGACTCCTGAAGGCTACATGCACCTATGTTTGGTGAGTGCCTGTGGAACAACTCAGTGAAGATGACTACCGCGACCGCATCATGGAAATCGTCGGACAACCAGCGACCAAGTGGACACCCACCATGTCAGACATGCAAAACTACTGTCGGACGCTGAGTATCGACCCCCATGGAGATGTGACCAGTCGCCTGGTGTCATTTATGGAGCGGGTTGATGACGTCATTGACGAGAACGGCTTACGTCAGCAACTCAAGGACGCAACTATGCTGAGAACGTTAGTGAAGGTGGTAGCAGCGCGTGTCACACCCAGCTACCTACGCGACAGAGTTGAAGAACAAATCAAGACCGTGCCAGCGAACGATCTGGTGGCCTTTGCGGATATCCTACGCGAACAGCCTGACCGAACGCATGATGCGGACATGGACAATCAACAAAGAAACAGCTATGGTTCGAAGCGTGGCCGTGAAGAAGATGACCAAGGGCGCCGCATTACGAAACATGCGAAGAAGGCCAACAAAGCTGTTCGAGATCAGCGGGAATTACGAGGAAATTACCCACGTCCACCAGGTGGATACATCAAGCCGGAACGAAGTGCGGCGGTGTGGTCCCCGTCGACGCAAAAGCAATCGGGGGACCCACCAGCCACGGAGTACGGACCGCAAGCGAACTCGCGCCCAAGGCATGATGATCGCCATGTCCAAGCTGTGCGTGATGAAGCACGCCCTGAATTTGCACCCGGCCGGGATGACCGCGGCATGCTGTGCTTTGTCTGCCAGCAGCCAGGACATATGGCTCGGGAATGTCCCATCAAAAAAGACGGGGATAGCGGCGACACAAGCTGGAAGAAGGGCAAGAACGCCGTCAAGCGGTTCAAGGCGCGGGAACGCAAAGCGAATATGCAAGCGAAACGAATGAAGAAACCCCCACCGCCCAGCAAGGAGGATGATGGACGTTGGGTGCGGCTGAATAGTGTGCTGGAAGTTCCATACTGCCCGGACACCGGCGCAGACCAAAACATTGTGCCTCAAGCCATGGTGGATGAACTTCAAGTGTTACAGCCACAACTTCAAGTTGTCAAGTTGGCTGCGCCATTTGTGGGAACAGCATGCAATCAGATGCCATTCGAAAAGAGCTCCTACGTGGACCTTACCCTAACGATGCAGACGGCCGCTGGGCCCGTCTAGGTGCCAGGCAAGCGCCGATGCTATGTGGTCAACGACGGAGATGAATTCGTCTCGGATGACACCCTCAAGACCATTGGAATCGACATTGATCGCCTGTTGGAACAGGTGGCGCGCCTGCAAGTGGATGAGGACGGCGATGACCTGGAAGAAGTTGGTGGCGATTGCGTCGAATTGCCCCAACGATCGGCCGTCAGAGCCGCGACCATGAAGGCGGTGCTACCTGTAGCCAAGAATGAAGTCGAGGAAGCCCTGCAAGGCATGATCGACGGCGCAGTCGATAACGGCTTTCCAATGGAACATGTTAAGTACTTGTGGGATGTGCTCAGCAAGCATGACATCTGGCGAATCAAGTTCGACGGGTCAGACCCACCGGCGAAGGTGAAGCCGTTGAAGGT